GCTTAAGTGGTTTGTATTTGTCTCTGCAAGCGGAGCAATAATTTCTAAATGAATTCACCCCAGGAGATTGGCTTGTGGAGGGTTTATCTTGTTTAGAAGCTGAGTGCAGTCTTGACCTGTCTCCATTTGTTTGTGTTCCTTCCCCCTCCCCACACTCCACTCCGGTCTAAGTAATCGAGTTACACTAAATGTCAGGATTGGCTCGAGTGGGAATTGATTGAATGAAACAGAAAGGACACACCGACAGGAGAGAGGAAGCATTTTTATTACTGATGTGAAGGAAAGTCAGTGCGATTTAATCTCAAATTGATGTCATCAACTCAAAAGAACAGATTCCAAAGAAATTTTGTGCCGATCTGTAATAATGACCTGAGAAAAGAACATAGATTTATGTATAGATTTATACAGATTGATTGAGCATTGAGGATGTTAAACCTTTTCTTTTACAGTTTGTTTCATTTATTCATTCAGAATAACCCTCGCATTAACGTGGAAATGTACCAAAGAGCTTCAAAGGGAATTACTGTTAAGTGTGGTGACTGTGTATTTGTAGACAACCAAACAATACATTTGACTTAAAAACATAAAATCAGAATGAGTAGCAATGCAACTGCACTTGAAATCATTGGTGAAAATGGGCAATATCTTCAAAGGAATAACGTTTCTTTAAGCACTGAAGATGGTTAGTGCTTATTGTAAGCAAAACATAGTGTGAAACTTATTGTCTTAAAATGACTGATATACACACTACCTCATTCACAAAAACATGCTCTCATTCTGAAACACACTATACTTACTTTCGTTAATTCACACGCCTCCTCACACATGTCACTCATGCATATTCAGTCTCCCACACACATTGCGCGCTCTCTCTCACACACATACACTACTTGAGAGTTCGTTAAAGCAGAAAAGTAATAGTTGCGACATGACAGGACATCTGGTCACTTTATTGGAAGTGCACATTTGCTGTAACAATGTGGCACTACTAACAAGACTTGCAAATGCATTATTGAATCTTAGACAGAATAAACACACAGAAATTGCCTAAAACGTACACCAAGCTTCATCAGTGACTAGTCAGACATCGGAGCCTGTCCCTGCTAACCCGAGGCAGCATGTGGGCAGGGTGTGAAACAGTTCAGAGGCAATGATGAGACTTGACTTGACGAAGCAGTAGGTTAATGCACATTTAGCAGCGTTAACCTTGCTTTGATTTCAACAATAATTCTCTCTCAAAGCCATTCTGTTCAGCATGAAATATTGCCAGAATGTTAGATGCATGAAAATTGAAGCCTGCACAGTGTATCAGTTGGTGTTTTTTNCCTTACAAAATTCCTCCTAAAATTCCTCCTTTTCACTTCGTGAGAAAGTTGTCCTCCACGTAAACTGATGCCATTGAAAGTTACCCTTTGCCCTCAGTAAGTTGTATTGTATAAACACACATCACGATTTAATGAATGGTGCCCTTAGTTACCTCATTAACAAATTAGGAATTTTTTTCATTAATTGTGCAATTTATAAGAATAATAATCTTTGCTTTTGATAGAATGCCTTACCATGTTGTCAAAACATTTCAAAACACTTCATAGGATTAACTTTGGTTTTGGTCAGCCGGGTGTCTTAACACATAAGGAAATCCATCACCATCCTTAAGAGTACCCAAACCAGACTGAGGTAGTCCATGCATCTGACCTACACGTGAAATTCCTGTGTCTGGAATGGAATGCGGACTTTCTCCCCAGAGAGTGATTAGCTAATTCTGGAAAGATTGGCAACAGCCAAGGCTAAGTGTGACTGGGTGACTGTTGGAGTCTAAGCAGCTAAAACTTAATAGCTTGCTATCAAAACCATGGTCGGGTAAACTTCCTGGCTCGGACCACCTTACCCACTGTTATGCTTGCCTCCTTCAATGTCCATTTCAAGACCTTACTCTTTGACTGTGCTTTCGGTCATTCCCAACCCCCAACCCCCTTGCTCTCTCTTTATTCCAACCCCCAGCTTCGGAGCAAAACCTTGGCTCTCCAGTGCTTTGGGATGTCCTCCCAATATGAAAGGTACTATATAAATGCAATTTGTTGATGTTGTTGCTGTACGGTTAACACGAGTTGAGCCACAATAATCCTTGCCCCAGTCAGGTTTGGATACTCTTAAAGATGGGGGTGGATTTCCTTATGTGTTAGACACCTGGCTGACCGAAAAAGAGTAAATCCAATGAACGTTTTGAAATAATTTGTGACCAGCCTGCCTCTCCAAGTCCTACCAATTAGCCAGGCTGTCATCAGCAATGCCCTGGAGTTCTGTGGACGCTTTTGGCTTAAGAAATGGATTACCCAGACTGTCACAGAGAGTTGATTAGATTCTGTTGCCAAGCAGGTCACCTTGGAGTCATTTTAGCTCCACAGAGATCATGCTTAGTTGACCCAGGGAGGATCGTATTTACTGTAGGACAGTATTTTCTCTAAAGTGTAGTGACTGGGTAAATGTATAATCCTTTTTATTGGTTGTTAATTACATTATTGTGGGGTGTCAATTAGGCTATTCCCTATGTACATATGTGTTTACGTGTGGAGCAAAATGCACATGCTTTTTTTTGCACATAGTTTACTCATTGCACATAATAAACTCCATCGTGTCTCAATGAGATTGGTTCATGGCATTCATCCTGTGTGAAAATCACAATTTCTTGTTGTTAGTTATTTTCAACTATTTTTCTCTGGTTGCCTCATCCTTTGTGTCCCTGTGTGCTGAAGCTGAACATTAGAAGCTATGTGAAAAGGTCAGGGTATTTGTACAAGGATAGATGGCTTCGCTGCACTAAAGCAATGGGTTGAATGACTTCCTATTGTGTCATAGATTTCTATGGTTCAATCGAGAGCTTTTACCCTAAACTTTCAAGCCATTTACACTCCTGGCTTCAATTGGTCCCTGCAGGAGCGATTCGAAGACCATTTTCATGAGCAGGTTTTGCTTAATTGAGCTTAAAGAGGATTGAATGTTGCTTTTATAACTTCAGCTGCACATACCGTTTTCAGGTTTCCCCTCTGCCTCACTCAGACTAATCTATCTGTTGATATGACAGCAGCACAGCAGGGTGCTAATATGTGTACTTAACCCCGTGGCTTCAAGAGATTTTTTTTCCTTTTTTTATCGAGGTAATGGTTGGGAGCTATCTCAGCTGAGCATAACAGCCTCATTTAGAGGGTGAATAAAAATGACAGCAGTGAGAATTAATCCCCAGTCGCTAATACTATTACTGCTGAATAGACAAGGGGTTTGGTGAGTGATATGCAGGAATTTCAGGGGAGTGGGAGAGGGGGAGAGAATATTCTTAGAGAATATTCAATTGACAAAATTCTACAGTAACTGCTGTGTGCAATTGGCTGCCACGTATTGCCTACAAAAATATACAATTAATTCACTTTACAGTACTTTCTGTGAAACGCTTTGAGACGTCTTAAAGATGTGATAAAGCGCCATATCAAATACAAGAAGTATTATTATAACATTTTTCCTTGTTTCGGCTAAAAGGTGTTCGCCATGGCACAGAATAACTAAGATATCTGTTGCGGAAACAATGCCATCCTTCTTAGAGATAAATTGCGTTGTCATCTTTGTAAATATAGTTGTCGAGGGCTAAAACTCACTGGTACATTTCATTTTTAAATGCTGCATCACACTGGGCTGCAGGCTGATGAATAGGAACACGTATGTGTGTGCAGATAACTTGCGTGTGAAGGAACGAGGGAGCAGAAAATATAATCTGTGATTGATTCTGAATGGGTTTCATGCACTTAGTCGCTGACAGTAGGGCATTGATCATTTTAAAGATGTGCTTCATCTCCAGGTGATGTCTGCTGCTCACTGACTGATGCTGGGTTCAGCCACAGCAGTTCTGTCATTTGGACTGAAGGCAAAATGACCCAGGTTTGCAAGAAGCACCTGCAGATTGGAACACAAGGAACAGGAGGAGGCCATTTAGCCATTGAGCCTGTTCTATCAGTTTATTAGATCCGGCAAAATCCCAGTGCATCGCCCTCTCACCATACCCCACTGCCCAAGCATCCATCCATCTCTCTTTTAAACGGATCCTATTTATTCCACGTCTATAGCTATCGGGGGCAAAGTGATTCCATATCTTCATGAATCTGTGTGAAGAAATAACAGCAAGTGCAACAAAAAAATACATTTATATTGCACCTCTCACACAGGATAGCGTCCCAGAGCGCAGAAATGCTTCCTAATTTCACTTCCAACTGCCTTGGTTTTAAGACTATACCCTTTTTGTAATGGATCTCTCTACCAGAGGGAAGAAGCATCCATCATCTAACTGATCAATTCTTTATCTTGTGTATACACATCAGTCAAATCACTCCTAAACCCCCTCCACTGACTCTGATTCACTGCCTGGCCTCATCTGAAGTACAGCACCTCTGACAATGCAACAACCCCCCCTCCCCAACCATCACTGCATTGTAGCATCAACCAAGACTATGTGAATTCCCAACATGGGGGTTGAACCCAGAACCTCCTGACTCAGAGGTGAGACTGGTACTAACTGAGCCAAGCCAAGAAAAGTGCACAGAATAATGGATATGGAAGGATACTGAATAACAGTAGGACAATATTGAGTACTGTATTATTAATGGATCAGGGAAAATCTAATGAGCAATGAGAGGAGAGCACATAAAGTATTACTGCCAGATCACTGCCAACCTATAAATGTCTATGTGCAAGTCTACAAGTATAGTGCTGGTGGGGATTTCTCACTTGTTGTTCCTTCCTGTGATATTATTCCCTGGCCTTTGCTAACTGTATGACTGCCAGACTGACGTCAGATCTCACAGAAGTCTGTGCCACTATAACTCTAGACTGTTCCAGAGTAACAATCTTTAACAACCTCTGTTAATTGTTGCCCAAAACAGCACTGAGAGAAGATTAAAATGTATTTGCAGTCGTAAACTGGAATATTTTTATTTACCCCATTTATTTCTTCACAGACGCTTGGAGCAAAATTTGATCAAGAATGTCCGTCCAGGAGCCTTCATCCAGTACAAAAAGCTCAAACGGATGTGAGTATCACAGAAGCATAGAATCTTACACCATGAAAGAAGGTCATTCATCCTATTGTGCCTGTGCCGGCTCTTTGAAAGAGCTATCCAATTAGTTCCACAACCCCGCTCTTTTCCCATAGATTTGCAATTTTTTCCTTTTTGCAAATCTCGCAATCTGGACCCCAATTGCGAGATATATCCAACTCTCTGCCCTGAAAATATTGGTGGACAATTTAATCCCCTCCCATTCATTGAGAAACACAACAACAGTAAACAAGGCTATGGCACCCCCACTGAAACAGCAAAGATTAGAATGGGACTGAGCTTGAAGGAGGAGAAGTAGAACAACCTCTGTGCATCTCATAGTGGCCAACCTCAGACCGGCTGTTCCCTGCAGTGAGAAGCATTGCTCATCAAATCTGGAACTGGAATGACATTCAGCAGATCAGATTCAGAAAATGTAATTGCATTTGCTGTTGACTCTAAATGTATCCAGACAATTTTTGATACAGAAAGTGCACATACCAGTTTATCGAATTGCCTGAAATCAGATTGTTTTGGATTCTAACTGGAACTTGAAGCTTGTCCCTGATTCACATGGAAGCCCAGTAGCAATCTGTGAAGCTGATTTGTTTTTGGGCAGGATAGACTGTTATCATAATAACCATAATATTATAATTCTTGCATTTGATACAGCGCCTTATTACGTGGTCGCGATGTCTCGAAGCACTTCACAGAATATTCAGTAAGGTGGAGTGACTGTGTTTTGTGGGCGAAACAAGTCAGCCATGTTGTGTACAGCGATGTCCCACAAACACGTGAATAAAGGAGCAGGACGGGGTGGAGGGCAGGAGGGAGGGAGGAATACACCTTAGGAGGACAAAGAGTGAGACATAGGAGACAATGTTCTGGAGACATGGGCCATAGAGGTAGAGGGGATGAGAGAAAAAGTGAATAGTCAGCAATAATGAGTAAATGGATGCGAGTGGGTCTGAGTGGGAAGATAAGGGAAATGAATGGAGGGACATTGATATCTCTGACTTCTTTTCTCTGTAGAGACCTGAGCAAGAACCAGATCTCCGAGATCGCAGGCGATGCATTTCAGGGACTCCGATCACTCAGCTCACTGTAAGTATGGAGTGTGCTGGGGGAACCCTTCACAACTTTTACTGGACAATATGTTTAGTATTAACTCTAATTACCTTTCAGCAACATGCCTGATATTAATCCACGCTTTTGCTCTGTTGGGCTCAGTAATTCCTCCCAGCCAGCGCAGTGTTAATGACTGTACTTTATGTAGGTTCTGGTAAGGGATATTAAAGTGCTGTTTGTAAAGTATGCTATATTGTGGGGAAAGAAACAACTTTTAAATCAATCTGGTAGCATCAGCCCATTATTGTGAGCTTTGAATTTGTTCATGAGAATGTTCTGTAAGCTCTGAAATATAATGTATGGAATGGAAACCAGTAGCCTCTGTCTGTCTGTCTTGTCTGACTGCGTGTGTCCATCTGCCATCTATCCATCCGTCTGTCTGTCTGACATGAGGTCAGCACTCTTTGTGACCTGAAATATTTTTCTGGTATGAATATGTAGCTTAGGGCGATGCTGTTGTGTTTGCATGCATGAGTTTGTGTGTCTGTGAGAATATTTGAGTATATATGCATGTGTGTGTCTGTGCATGATTATGTGTGTGTTTGTGTGCATGACTGTGTGTATGTTTTTTGTGTGTGTGTATTCATGTGTGTTGATGTATGAGTGCATATGATTGTGTGTGTATTGGGTGCGTGAGTGTGTTTGTGTGTATCTAAAAAAAACATTTGATAGTGTTCGATTGATCTCTCTGCAAGAGAAGCATTGTTGTTGAACTTGCTATTCCTGCGTGCCAGTGACTCAATCTTATCTTACAAAGTGAAGTTTGATTTGTTGTCTTAATGATGCTGGTGCCCACCCCAGCATTCAAGGCAAATTCGATTTATTGAATGGACTAAAAAGAGTCAAGTTGTCTCTGCCAGGGCTTGAGTCATTGACAGACCACACAGACGGGAGTCTGGTTAACACAATATCTTGGCTCTTAAGGCTCAAACTAAACCCAGGGCTTGCAATTAGTGTTTGATGGCAGTTGCTTTGTATTGGTTGATGCTCATGGCAAGAGTGGCACCCTTTGACTTTTCCTTTGTTGCACCTCTGGAATCCTCTTATAAGATTTCCTTTTGCAGTAGTTTACCAATCATGTTGCACGCCCCCACAGTTCCCAGTTGCTGTGTGGTTTCAGTTCCCAGCTCTAAATCCTCCTCTTCCTTTTCCAATCAAACCCAGCAGCAGCTTGAACCTTGTGCCTTCCAGGATTGAAAGCAGGCGGGCGTTGGTGTCTCCGAGGTCTGGTTTGAAACGGCGCCACGCTGCACCGATCAACTAAGCACATTGTTCGAAATGAATTTCTCCCTCCAACAATAATAGGTTTTTGTTCTTATATTGCAGAAATCTGTAAAGATCTGCTCCACAATTTATTGCATTGACCCAGGCTGTTCCTGAAAACAGCTGCAATGTGTAAAAAACTGTTGAACTTTATAACCCGTGAAAAATGTTTAGATCCACTCCCGATAACTGGCAGGATTTCCTAAGAGCCAGTTTTCAAACGTTCTTTCATCACTTCAGCACAGGCACTCTCTTGTTGACTGAATAAGGCATTGAGTAGGGCAGCTCCATCGAGTGCACAGCGCACTGCACCAGAGAACTGTGTGCACCAATCACTGCAGTACACTGCCTGCCATTACCTGTCCAGATTCTATACATTACACTGATGGCTGGGTGGCTTTCTAATGCATTACACTAATGTTGGGTGTAGTCTAACATCCAATGTCTTATACCATCAACTGTAGGGATTGTCTGGTACTTTAAACTGGTGATGACAGGGACTGTTCTTCTCAGAATGGTAGACTAGGAGTCATAAGGACTGGCCAGTACAATACACCCACACCAGGAGCCAAATTCACTTTACACAGGGAACCGTCTTAGTACATCCAAATATTACAATACTACCATTCAGATTATTTTCCCAGCTCTTAATGGCGTGATATTTTGGAAGTATATTTCATACTGTAGCCAATTTACTTGGAGCTTTCATAAGGAAAGAGGAAGTCGAAACTACAGGAGTTGAGTGGAGTGATTAGCCCAGTCAGTAGATCCTGGTTAGTTAGTGGGGAAGCAGATCAAAGAGTTGGTCACTGCTATTGTAAAGGTCTTATGGTAGCCTGATGTTCCACCCCAGTGGTGTCATGAGATCCTCATTGAGGAGAAGTTGATTGATAAATTACCATTCCTGAAGCTAGTAATGTGGAACTTCCTGATGTCATGTCTACACAGAAGGTCCGCTTTCTAGATACTCTCCAGTGCTGGCTGTTCCCCTAATACCTCAAACAGGGACCTCTTGTTTATGATCAGGAGCGTAAACGCTGTCTGCTTACCCCCCCAACCACCCCCGCCTCAACTTGGGGGTGATCAGGCCACTTGGAGTCCTAACTGCAACCCAGGTTGAGATCCTCTAACTCAGCACAGTCCGACCTACAATCTATAAGTTTGTATAGCCTTGTGCTCACCTAGTTTTTCACCTAAGTTTATTGAAATAGCATATCAGTGATTTCATTTCATGAATAATGAATAATCCTATTGGGGAGCGGTTGGAAGTGGTGTGGGGTGGGGGGTGTTTACTGCATGCCTCACAGGTGCCCCCTAGTGGCAGGTGAGGACTTGCTTGAGCAAACACATCCTGTTTGCTGGGCTTCATGAGGTAGTCAGGCTGGGAGAGACCAATAAGGGGAGAAAATAGATCATGTTCTCTTATAACAGAATAGATATTCTGAACAGAAGTTGTGTCTCTTCAAATGCCACTTCCTGATGAGCTGTGTTATGCTGTGTTATTAAGATTACTGGAAACTGACAAAAATCATGGCAAATCAAATCTGAGGCAGGTGGGTATGAGTGACAGGCAGGCAAGAAACAGCAATTTGTAGCTTCCTGGTCTAAATCAATCACTCATTCACAGGAGATATGAGGACATCTATTCTTACAAATCCTGGCCATAATCTGTATGGATCATCTCTACTCAAAAGTAATGTATTTTTCTGACATGCCTGATGTGAAACTCATTTCCTTCACATTGCTGTCTAACAGACATGCTGCCTTTCCTGTGTTTTTCTTTCAGTGTCCTCTACGGGAACAAGATTACCGAACTCCCCAAAGGTCTCTTTGATGGTCTGATATCACTCCAGCTTCTGTGAGTAGCTTTTCATTTGAAGTTGTTCATGTAGCAAAACTATCCTGCCAGAATGATGACCAAGCCCGGTCATGCACATTCAACCCAATGGGAAAATCATTAAAATGTTGATCTGCTTGGAAAACAACTGACACTGTGGCTTTAAGGAGAGGTGGTGTTGCTTTGGCAATGTGTTAATTCAGCGTATATAGGGAAGGTGTGGACAGTGGAGCGATAACAAGAATTGGCTTGACATCCCGTGGTTAGCCTCTCCCACACCTCTTGGCTGTTGGTTTTAGACTTGCGCTAGCAGAACTTAGGGAGTTGGCCCATGCTCTTGGCTCGGGGTCAGGTATATTGCAGAAAATGAGAAGGGCAGCTTTGACCTGATGCTACCAGCACAGTGAAAGGCATGAATTCATTTGACTGATATCCTCAATCAGGCTTTGATAGGGTTCGAATCAATGGGAGGAACTCATGGCTACTTAGAGCTACATAGAATGATACAAACAGAAATAGATCATTCGACCCAAGTAGTCTACACCAGTGTTTATACTCCGCATGAGCCCACACCCCCTTCTAGTCTCCTTTCCTATATCCCTCTATTCCCTTATCAACAAGACTCATACAAGATTGCCATGGGCGTGCCTAATGGACAGAAGGTTTAGTGCTTCATGATGGTAAGCAATCAAACTGTCGTTTAATCTTATAAATTATTCATTATTTTTCAAGAGGCTCAGCCCTTCGTTTTGAACTACTAGAATCAAATTCCTTTGTTTAAAATGATCTTCAATCTTCATTCAATGATAATAATACAAAAAATTAAAAAGAATTGAAAATAAGCTTCATCCAGACTAACCAAAGAATAAAATACCCAGTGCATGTTTTTTGTTAAAGGAAGAGCCACAGTATCTCACATCGGTCCGAACTGTCTTTATATTCAGTGGAGTCCTGTAGTAGAGCACGTACTTAGCAAGTGAGGGGATCTTGGTTCGATTCCCGGGCACGGCAAAATATTGGGCAAGTTTCCTTACTTCATATGCCTCTGTTTACCCAGCAGTAAATAGGAATCCGGTTGTGAGTTAATTGGCGGATCATTTTTCTGGGGTTAATAATCCCTTCAAAAAAAATTATAATAATTTGGTCACTGAATCCACGACTGTTTGTGGGACACTGCTGTGCTCAATTGGCTGCCATATTTTGCCCACAAAATATACAGTTAATTCACTTTACGGTATATTCTGTGAAGCGATTTGAGACGTCTTGAAGACGTGATAAGGCTCTATATCAAATGCAAAAAAGTCAAGGTTATTATTGTTATGAAGCTTGCAGCGCTTGGAAGTTATGGGAAATCCTACAGACCAGGTTGTTAATGTGCAGGTGCAGCTTGTCTCCTGCTCAGAGTCACGCAAACAAAGTAAAATATGCACTTTTGCAAAACTCATTACTGTCTTTGATCTTTTTTGGAGGCTTTCTACTACCAACCGCTTGTTTTACAAAAATCTCTATGGAGCTTTAAGTCAACAACGGCCAGTGAGCTACTGGGATAATCATTCCCTCAACAGTAAAGCCTCTGGCTGGAATGAAATTTTCTTCTTATTCTCTGTTCAAGCGAACTCATATCCCATATTCTGGGCCGTGGCCCATCTAAATCTTTCAACTTATAAAAGGAAGATGGTAAACTCTGTTAAAAATACAAGGTTTTGCTTCATTTTATTACTTGTTGGGGTACTTGTGTAATTATGAAGGTAAGCAAAATTTGTCAATGAGTTCAGTGGGTTTTTATTCTATTCTATTCAGATTGTTTTCTGAACTGAGAAGTTGTATTAAACTTGGGAGTCATGTGCTGATCCTGCCACACAGGCTTCAGGTGAACTTTCAGTCCTTTTAATTTTATACTTACAGAATACCAACCCTAACATCTTCCCTTTGTAACATCCGTTGTTTCTTAAATGGGTTCAGTGTCCTGGCAACTGTTCTAGTTGTTGGTTACCCTCTGTGTAAAGCAATACTTTCTGGTCCATGTCCTGAATCGTCCTTCACACTCCTGAGCCTGCCCTATCTTATCCTGATAACTTTGTGTATCTGAACGAATTGCTCTGGATTTACTTACTCGATCATATAGAGTTTATACAATACCTCTTAAGGTTCCTCTGAGATGTCTCTTTTCAAGATTGAAGAGAGCCCTTGCTTACGCAGCTGTTCCTCACAGCTCATCTCACTGGGGTGCAGCCTCGATGCTTTCCTCCAGACTGCCTCCAGTACCTGGGTAACCCTCATTTGGTGACTTTACTTGGGACAAAGATGAGATATGTCACTACCTGATGCTTAGTGGTACATTTTCCTTCAAACACTGGGTCACTCAGGGTTCGTTGTTGGGTAAGTATCGAGAAGAATTGGTGGGACAACTATTTTACCATCTTTAATATTAGGCTCTCTTTTGATTTAATGTAAATTCTCAACAAAGCTACAGTTCTGAAATAAAAGAAAATATTACAACAGAAGTTTAGTTTTTTCAGATGTATGTTTTCAGGGAGTAAGTGGTGCGGTAGGTTAGAAAGTCTAATGTCTTTACTGGTGGGGTTCATCATTATTATTATCAGACACTGGTACAGTTGTTGTCTACCTGCTGAATTAAATAAGATCTAAATTGACTATTCTTTTAATGCTCTACAGGCTCCTGAATGCCAATAAGATCAACTGTCTACGTGTGAACACCTTCAGGGACCTGCAGAACCTCAATCTCCTCTCCCTGTATGACAACAAACTGCAGACCATCACTAAAGGACTGTTTGCACCACTCCGGTCTATTCAGACTCTGTATGTACCCATTTATGCACCATTTTCTTTTCTCAGACAGATAGGGAAACAATGCGACCACAGAGCAGACTTAGTGAAGGAAGAGCACAATCATTCAAGATCAAGTGGAGGAGGGCAGACTCACAGAGGAGATCCAGTAAAGAAAAGACCACATTACAGAGAGTTAATCAGTGGAGATGTGGGGATAGATGAATGTTTGATTTCAAGATTGTCAGATCTATCCAGAACTTCCCCCAGCACAAAGAATAAGCAGTTAGATGCCATATCAAATAGGGTTAGAGTTCTCTGTGAAAGAAATGGACTCAATGAGCTAAATTACATTTTCTCATTCCCTGATATCTTCTGCTATTATTCAGTCATGGTATTAGCATTCATTCTTATTGTCTAATGAGTCCATGTCTTTTGAATTAAGGGGACAACCATGATTACAGGGCAGGCTGTGTATCAAGTGCAAAGGTTGTCTGAGATCTCTTGCTGGGTATCCAGTCACTAATTCAGGACACTGAGGCCAATTGTAATGTCCCGACTGAGATCAGCTTAACTCAGAGCGGACTGAGGATGAAACCTTGGACCTTCTTGGTCTTTATGGACAATTGGCCTGATGTTAAATCTCTCCTTTTAAAGGATACAATTCACTTAGGACAAGGAAAGGATGTGATGGAGATGTGCCCAGTTCTGGGATTATGTGCCTGTTTTTGTTGACTTTAATCAAATGTATTTTTTGGTTTTGCCTTTGTCATGTTGAAATCCAGGCACTTAGCCCAAAATCCTTTCGTGTGTGACTGCCACCTGAGGTGGCTGGCTGACTACCTCCACAACAACCCCATTGAGACCAGCGGTGCCCGATGCAGCAGCCCTCGTCGCCTGGCCAACAAGCGCATCAATCAGATCAAGGGCAAAAAGTTCCGGTGCTCAGGTAACCCACTCTGAAAAACCGGACGTGCTTTCACTTGGGATTGGGAATTGGACCAAGGATTGTAACTGGGGGATGGGAAGATCTGAGATAAGTGCATAAAGCTGGGTTGTCCTTGACAATAAGGAACCAATGTCAGTTAGAGGAATGAATAAAGGTAAGTTCCAGCAATCTTTAATAATCTTTGCGAACTCATCTGTCTAATTATATATTTTGCATTGGCAAGAACCTTTTGTTGTGTGTTGTATATCTTCCCCAAAAAATTATGAGGCTCTCAAATTAGATTTGACTGTCTGGAACGGCAGTAATAAGGAAATAGGCCCATCTCCTCAAATTAAATCTGCAAAATGTTATTAAGTTAGATGAAAAATGGTAGGAAGTGGAGAGATGGATGAACAAGGTTAAACAGTTTGTTTTTTTCAGATGAAGATTAAAGGGACATCACCAGAGTTTCTTTTAAATAAAGGGAGAGGACTGTAATGTTTATAATGTATATAAGAATTATGATTATTTTTATTCAGTTGGTATTTGGAATATTTGGGGTTTAATACTGAATGGTGATGATATAGTAGAGAACGCTTCACAAATCTTATTGCTGTGACCACAGCGAGGGGAAAATGGCAATTGTAAAAAATAGATTTCAATATCAATGTATCTTTTCAAATCAATCAAAACCATAGGTTCTGTATTTGGAATGAAAGGTTCAGTAACATTAGTTGACAGCGTGGGTAAGATGTCAGTAAGAAATGAGTCAATAAAGCTTTCCCACTTTCTCATTGAGTATAAAAGCAGCACGTAGGGAGTAACAGCCATACAGATCGGAAAGATTCCAGATTTGATACCAAACCTTTGCTGATGGCACTGAAGGGTAGTGGGAAGCCGTAGGTGTGACAATTGGCTTAATCATCCCAAGGATTGGTAAAGTTCAGGCGGGAAAAAAGATAAATTCACATAGTCAAGTGCAACTGCAACAAATTAAATCGCCATGACCCTATTTGAGAAGAGAAGGAAGTTTCTTTGGTGTCCTGGCCAATGATTCCCCAAATAAAATTGATCACTCACTTCATGGCTGTTTGTGGGACATTGCTGTGGATCCCAGTTGGGTGCTATGTTTCAGCCACAAAGCACACAGTCACTACACTTTACAATATATTCTGTGAAGTGCTTTCAGATGTCTCAACGATGTGAAAAGGCGCTATATCAAATGCGAAAATTATTATTATTAGCAGACCCTGAAGGGAAAGTTGCATAGATGGGTCTCATTGGTTTTAGAACCAAGCATGCAATTGAGGCAGTTCATCAGGGGCTGAATGACTGCTGCATCGTGGCATATTTAAGTATAATTTGGTGGCCTCGGTGAGTAATCAAATATTTGGAAGTTTTTGAGAAGGAAAGAATTACTAGGCCTGGCAAGTGTCACTGAAACTGATGTCAAAGGTAGAGCTTAACTCAGCAACCAGATGTTCTTCTAAGACTAAGATGAAGGACTGGTCAATATGTTGCAAATTACACAAGTATATGGCAGGTATCCAGCGTACTTATACTATATATTATTTTTGCTTTTTTTGTCTCCTCCAATTTTTGCTCTGATTTTCTTCTCCTAACTCACTGCCCCCGAGGTGATGATTCATGCCTGCTCCACTTCCACAAGTGCCAGCAGAATTTCCACTACCTCACCCAAGTGACCATTCCTCATTTATGAACCTAGTCAACCATGAGCACTGATCCAGATCGTACCCTCATCCAGCCTCTACACATGCCCTCCTCAGCAGTTAGGAGCTGGACCTTGGCTTTCCTTATATCTTTAATAGATTTAATAGAGGTGTTCAAAATTATGAAGGGTTTTGATAGAGTAAATAGAGAGAAACTATTTCCTCTGGTGGATAGATAAGTAACCAGAGGACACAGATTTGAGATAATTGGCAAAAGAACCAGAGGGGAGACAAAGAGAATTTTTTTACCGTGAGTTGTTACAACCTGGAAAGCACTGACTGAAAGAGTGGTGGAAGGAGATTCAATATCAGTTTCCAAAAGGTGGATAGCTACTTGAAAACAAGAATTTGTAGAGCTCTGAGGTAAGAGGGGAGGAGTGGGACTAGTTGGATATCTGTTTCAAAGAGTCGGCACAGGCACAATGGGCCGAATGGCCTTCTTGTACGCTGTAAGATTCTATTTGAGATTGCTGAGACTGATTAACTCAACACAGAGCAGGGACCTTCTGTAGAGTCCATATACCCTCTGAGCTGTTTGGGAGCAGCTCTTATACACTTGCTATAGAATCAATGTTCTTTGCTATAGAATCAAGTCAATGTTCTTACAAGTAAGAATAATAATCCTTGCATTTGATATAGCGCCTTATCACATCGTTGAAACATTTCAAAGTGTCTTACAGGATTTACTGTAAAGTGAAATGATTGTGTATTTGTAGACAAATAAAAATATAATTTGTGCAGATGCATAGCTCACAGCAACAATGAACAATTGTACCCTAAATCCTTCGATTGGCCAATACCAAGCTGATTTTATGAATCACAGGAATGTAACAAAGAACTACCCCATTGTATAAGACAAATGTGAGATCTACACCATCGAATGTGTGGAAAATATAAGGCAAATTAATAGCTTCTCTGCCACCAAAGTTGTCTGTCATGCCCTGAAATATCAACTCCTCCACTACACTGACCATTGGATTTATAGAGTTCGTAACATGAGTGTAAAGGAGGTGATCCTTTTCATGAATCAGTGCTATGGATTGCCTATTTATCATACGGACAGTTACACATCACTGAATGGATAGTAATTGAGGTGGTTCTAACTCTAGCACAGAAAACCTCATTCCTTTCCAAGATCAATCCAGGATGGACATCCCTTTTGCACTGTGCATTATTCTAGAGATGAATCAGAAAATTGCAGTACAAAAAATTGACAAATAAATCCCGGATAGACACATGGATAAGGAAGTAAATCTGGGATAGACACATGGATAAGGTTAGGCTTTAGTAAACACAGGCATTGAACTAAATTGCAAAGTCACAGTGATCCACAATGTATCATCTGGCCTTTATTAGTGAACCTCCAGTTTGGGCTAAATGTAACTACTTTAGTTTAGAACAGCTTTGCTTTCTTTAAAACAAATGCAGCGAGAAGCAGTCAGAGATTATTTCCAGTTCTACCGCTCGTGTACCACCAGTGTGATGAAGGCAAAATATCTGTAGTTGGAGCCATATGACAAGAGAAGATTTCTTGCATTTTCATTTCAACAAAAAAATCTGTTTTTTTTCTTGCCAATTTTTCTCCAGTTTTCTTCCTTCTTTGCCTAACTGTATTTTGACTTCTAACTTTTCTTCCATTGAGGTATAGTTTCATGGCCTCCAGGCATGCTCTCGTAACTTGCCCGAGTGGCCATTACTCATGTGCAAGGTTTGACAGTGAGTACTGGCTATTCAGTAACCGAGGGCAACACAGTCAACTTCAATCATGTCCTCATCTTACATCCACTCAAGTGCACTTTCCATCTGGGAAAGGTACGATTAGGAGTGGGAACTCTGCTCTCTAACCTAAGGGAAGTAAGGACAATTGCAGCCCAAATACTGTGATCAGTTAACTCATTACAGACTAGTATTTCAAGCCTTCTGGTACCCTCTATTGTTTGATTCTTAAAGCCCAAATGAGCATTGATAAACCTTGTCTACTGGTTGAAGAAGAAATGTTAGTTGAGGCATTAATTTGAATTCCAACCTATCTCAATTAGGTATTAGCTTGGCTCTATGGTATTGCACTCACTTCTGGGCCAAAATATTGTGGTTCATTCCCCTTGTCGGGTTTTGCTCTTGTGGTCTACGATAACACTCCAGTGCAGTAGGGAAAGTACATTTTTGGAGGTGCAACCTTCAGGTGAGATGTTAAACCAAGATGGTCCCATTCTGCATGTTCTTCAGATGGACGTTAAAGATCCAAAAACCATTTGAAAATGTGTCTTGGTCTCCAGCTTGATTAATCTTTCACCACATGGTTGTTTGTGGGATCTTGCTGTACATTAAACGTGTGCTGCATTAGCTTACAAAAACAGTCACTACAGTTGACATTAAGCACTATGAAGTGCTTTGAGATGTCCTGACGTGTTAAGGTGTTATAAAAATGCAAGTTCTTTCTTGCAAGGTAGTGTGCTGTAATTAGGAATTTTGTTTTTCCTTTCTGAAACACTCCACTTAGAGATTTAAAAGTGGAATTTAAACCCAGCTTCTCAGAAAGTGTCAACACTCAAGGGCTGCCTTTATGGCTGAATTGAATTTTATCTCCAAACAAACCCAAATTTCCCTGAAAAATGAAACCTTTTGTATACTACTGATTTCAAATTATCAGACGTTCTCAATTACAGACCACAATACAAGCACAGACAGATGCACTGGGCACTTGAGTTTACTTTGGACTGAATATTAATTCCAATGGCGGCTGTCCAGTCACAGCTCGTATGGTTATCCCAGCTGTTTTGTGGCACTAATTCCACCAGTTGCCTCATTAAATAGTCCTTGAAGCATTGCTCCTGAGCAGATTGTACACCCACATTCTGTATTTAAAGCTAACAGTTAATTTACAAGTCTCTGAGGGTGCCTTTCCTTAAACCTATTATAATGCTGTTCCTCTTCCTACAGTGTTGAACGGATTGTCTGAAGGGTGACAACCCACATAGTGCAGTCAGGCTGTCACAGGGGATACCTAACTAATCCTGAAACTATTGGATGCTCAAGACTGAGTATTAAAATAATAAGCAATCTGCAAAAGAGTGACCCCCTTTAGAGTGGATCAAACAAGGTGCTGTGCGGAGTGTTATAAGTTACTTTGTTCAGTTACTCAATGAGCAGAAATAGACAGTAGATTCCACAATTTGCTGATCATTAAACATATTTTCATTGTGTGTGAAGAATAATGGGAATTCCTGTTACTATACTGGGTCACGGGGAGAGGTAATTGATCCTGACTGTTGACCAGAACTTGCTGACCAGCTTCCATGATAAAATCCTCACATTTGGTACAGTGTCTTTCGTGTTGGGAGGACATGCCACAGTGCTTCACAGCATATGCTGTAAAGTGGAGTGACTGTGTGTTTTTGTAGGCAAAAGTGGCAGCCAATTTACACACAGCAATGTTCCCACAAAAACAAGAAATGACCAATTTTATTGGGAGATTGTTGGCTAGGACACAGAGAGAAACGCCCTTCTCTTTTTGAATAGTGCCTTGGAATCTTTAATGTTCACCTAAATCGTGGAAGAACAGCAGAAAGTAGACAATGGTGAACTGAACACAGCTGTTATTTTCTTTAAAGAAAGAAAATATAAAATACAATCCCCTGGCAAGAAAGGGTTTTGGGGTTCTGTTGCTTTCACTTTCAGACAATTCTGCCAATGACACAGTGCCACACTTTCAAAGTCCTGAAAGGTTGTCAGTAACACAACCCCGCTGGTATGATATGTTCCATGCTTTCAGAATAATGTCAGAGGCTTAGCTGTATGCTGCTTAGTAGTCTCAACGCATCACCTGTGATGTGCAGGCTTCAGTAATTATCCTGAAGCAATGATTTTTCTCTATAAATCCAATAAACCACCTCTGTCTCCAGCAAATTAGCTGGGCCAGGTGCCTGCTTAGCTCTGGCAAGAGGAGGTTGTTGCCATGGCTTCATGATTACAGGGAGACATCATACTGTCCTTTTTTGCTGTGTCGTTATATGTCAAGGTTTAGTGAGACCTGCAACAGCTCAATTGTCATCTATTTATTTGGCTAAGTGTACGGTGTTTTTATACAGAGCACACATGGAATGCAGAATGCTGATGGGGCTCTGTGCACTGGCTGCCAGCTACTACAGTACTGACTGGAGAGTGATTCACAAAGCTACCTGCACTGCTACGGAATAAGGGTATCAATCAGCCAGATAGGTGGCTGGAAGACAAAGTGGCATTGTATTTCATTCTAACATGGAAGTGTCAGCCTGGTACATGCTTGGTGTTGTGTGGCAAAATGTCTGTATGTGACGTGGGGAGTTGTGCAAACCCTGATTTGGGAATTTGAAATTCTGGGAAACATTGTGAGAAAGTGAATGATTCCAATGTTAAGATTTGATGGCAAAAATCTGTTGCTGATACCCACTTGTGAGCCTTTTAAGAATAAGAGAAACAATGGCACACATTCCTGATGCATAGACAAAACATGATGGTGGGACTTGAGTGACATTAGTTCACAGTACCCTAAAGCTGCCTTCAAAGTGACTGAGTTACTTTGTCAGAAGGTCAAACTCACAGGGATCAAGGAAGTGGCCTCCTGACATAACTGTCATGGAGTCCTGTAGCTCAGTGGTTAGAGCACTCACCAAGCAGGGTGAAACCTTAGACAAGGTTTCCAGGGATAGTAACCCTTTTTTTAAAAAAAATTTAAAAATAATTTGGTCATTCAATCCACGACTGTTTGTGGGACACTGCTGTGCGCAATTGGATGCTGCATTTCGCCCACAAAGTACAGTCAATTCAATTTACAGTATATTCTGTGAAGCACTTCGAGACTTCTCAAGAATTGAAAAGGCACTAAATCAAATGCAAGGATTATTATAACTGGGTACTGACTGCTCACAACTCTGCAAAAGTTCCTGTTTCTAGGAAGAGGTTTCTAATAATACATGGAGCAATGAGGTCACAGATTACATGCTTTGTAGATCGATCGAGCTGGAGTAATTTGTTGGCCTGATGAAATGAAATATCTCAACATTGGTCCTACGTCCTCTGAGCTTTGGAACTAGTGTCCGGTAGATGCTCCCTCAGAATGTTTCTCTGTACAGTACTAACAGGTTCTGGATGCTGCAAATGAGGCAGCACCTTGAAGCATGCGGCTTATACCTACAGCAAGAGAATGCCTGGTGTTGCAAGTTAACAGCTTCTTTTAATTGGATGATCTGGCTCTACACTTTCTTTGTTTTGTTTTGCATGGACAATTGATTGACTGTCAGCTGAGCTTCCGGATTGTTCTCTCTTATCTTTCTGCTCTCCTTGGCGTTGCCTAACACCGGCTCTGAATCTGGGCGAGATGTTCTGTTGTGCTTGATCTAACCATGTGCTTCCAAGGTATGAGTAAAACATGGTTTTGTCAAGCACCATGGGACGTCTCGTGTCTTTCTGCAGCATGATCAAGCCAACACCCCTCTTCTCCTCCCTCCCTGGCAAGCTGGGATCATAATGGAGTTTACTGAGAGGAAGTTCAAAGATCAGAGGTGTGAAGGAACTATAGGCTGTTAGAGCTTCGCAAATAATTACAGCTGTGCTCGCCGCTTGTTGTTTCTCTAACTTTTGCAGTAGCAGAGATTACTGAGGCTCTATTGACCATAGATGCTACAAGTATCAACTACAATGGTACTACCCTCCTTGTGGGAGAGGTAAGCAGGATCTCCTTGGAGCTGAACTGGCTCTGAGGTGACGTGCTTGGCAATGGAATGTCGGAAACGAGTCAGCCCTCTGTGGCGGTCTCAGTAGTCTGATTCCTGAGCCAGTTCCGGACTGGGATTTCCATGTGTACGTGGGATGTATGGAAATCTCAGCTTGGTTTGGACACTCTTAAGCATGATGATGGGCTTCCGCACGTGTAAGACACCCGATTGACCCCCAAAAACTACCATGGTATTGCGGGTTGTGGGGTCAGGGGGTCAGAGGGTTAAATGTGCCTGAGGATATTGTAGCAGATGCGACGGGCAAGCTCCATTTTTACAGAAGTAACCCAACAAAAAGTAGTTTTCAGGTGGATTTTTCTTCTCTCTGCTTACTTCCTGCGCAGGTTTCGATATCGCAGCCATGTGTGCAGTTAACAGTCACAGTACAGTGACGTGGGCAGTGTGAGGTTTAACACAGTTGCCACCAATGCCACTCCACCAGTGGAGTGAGGAGACTGGAACTGGGGAAGGACAAATTAGGAGACTTTAAGTCTTTCATTTTCCCCTTCGTCCTCAATCGCCAACCACCATAAGGAAAATCAAAAGCAAAGCTTAACACATCACCTCTCCTGCTTGTGGAGCTACCTTCTGGACACTCTTGTCTTCCTTTGTCCACTGATAATTAAATTTTAGAGTTAACTATCTCGTTGGAACCATACATTGGGTCAAGGAAATTCCCTTGACTTGCTTGTTGGCACCCTGGTACAAAATTTTTGTTTAAAATAGTGCTGATTTCTTCACTATTTCTTCCCTTTCACCAGTCAGGGCCATTGAAGTCAATTGCAGCACCAGTTTTGCTGCCCAGACTAAGACAAGACATCTCAGCACAGACCAAGGATAACAGCAGGGACTTCCTTGATCTCCACAACTTAGCTCCACAGTAGGCTGCAGAGCTATCGAGGAACCTTTCATTTTTGCATTGTTCATTTCCTAAACATACAAATCCAAGAGAAAAACCATGATCAGGCTGCACAGTCTTGAAGTGTTTTGAGAACACTGTTGGGGGAAACATCCGGGTAATTTAGAAGTATTTTAATTTACATCACGAGTTAGACCCCAATGTTACACAAACATTAGCTCATTAGAATAGAGGTGAAAAACACTAATAGATTGTTTCTAATCTTGCCCAGTGAGGTAGCCCAGTGTGCAGAATGTTGAGGAATCAAGCACAAATGGCAACTTGCTATTGCCCCACTTGGCGTCTGCAGTCTGTAACACTGCTTCTATCTCATTTCAGATGCATTTCATAGGATAAACATTTTCAAAAGATCCAAAATTAAAAGATCAGAGAAAAAAAAGCATCAGTTAATAAATGTGGTTAAAACTTTGATTTCCTATACGATGAGGCCCATCCAAGACCCAACAGAGTAAATTGGACCAAGAGGCAACTGGCCCTAACTCCAGCAATAGTCTTGAAAGCTTCATCAGAGCTCTAACCGGCTGCTTATTGTGTGCAGGGTCAGAGGATTACCGAACCAAGCTAAGCGGTGACTGTTTCATGGACCTGGTTTGCCCTGAGAAATGTCGCTGTGAGGGCACCGTTGTGGACTGCTCCAATCAGAAGCACACCAGAATACCCAGTCACCTCCCAGAACACACCACTGAACTGTAAGTTTCCTTCATCCCCCGGCAAGTAATGCAGAGACATCGGTTCAATCTTCCTAACCAACTGAGGACTGCATCTAAGTGTGTAATTATTCAGAGCCATTCCTAGAGTTTATAATGAAGCTAACGGCAACAAGCTAATGAGTTCAAATTAATAAGGCTACAGTAATTGCAATTGAGTTGAATTTCCTTTCCTTTATCCTACCCAGGGTGGACTGTACACATGTAGAAAGTAATAGCACCATAATGCACTTGTACCCAATGTGCTCTGATGTGTGGTCTAATTATTATTTAATAAGGTGATATCGCTGCCTCTTGTTGCTTACTTGGCAGTTCCCTAACATGCAACGTGTTTAACTATCTGGCTTCTTTTTCTCACCTTAGGCGGCTGAACGACAATGAATTGACCATCCTGGAGGCAACTGGCATCTTCAAGAAACTACAGAACCTGCGCAAAATGTGAGCGTGTAGAGTGGAACGCTAGGGTCTCGCTCTTCCAGCTAGATGTGTGTGTGTGTTTGTGGGAGGGTGGGGTGGTGGTGAATAATCCCATTGGGTTCAGGGGACTACTATCCTTAGTTCTACTTTGTAACACCCCTTGACAATAACCAGGTCTGAGGAAGAGGCTTTTCTTTCTGGATTATAGATGATTTCAGTACCTTTCCTGAGGTTTGATTCTGAAGGCCTGTGTGTTGCGGTGCTATAACAACAGGCATCTGGTTTCAAAGCTTGCTTTTTAATCCAATGTAAACTCTTCTGATTTATTGATAAATTCCCCAATGGAATAAAAGCTAAATATTCTGCGCGTGCTTACTAACTCGTTCCCTGAGCTGCCAGTGCTCTGCCTCTCACAGAGAAGTCCCTATTACTCATATCTGGCACCTCTGCATTAACCCATTTAGTACCACAAAGAGCGAAAGAAACTCTGTTTGCTTTCAAGAATATGTCACATGTGTCCCATATATATGTGTCAGTCTGAATCTTGTTATGTATTTGTGATTGTGCAGCTGACTGTATGTTGTGTGAGAGGCACTATATAAATGCAAGTTTAGTGTGTGAGTGTATAGGTTCTAGGTTTCTATGTCTTCTTTGTCCCTTTTGAGTGTTTTTGCCCAGGAGTTTGTTTGTCTAAATATATATGTAGATTTGTGTGCTTATCAGTATCTAAATATATCTGTATGGGGGTCACTCTTTGTGTCTGCCAAGGTATGTCATCGGTGTCGCATTCTCTGTTTGTCATTCTCTGTGTCTCATCTCTGTGTCTCAATCTGTGCCTGAACCATTGTGCCTCATTTACGATGTCTCAGTCTCTTAATCTCTGTTTATTTCTAAGTCTTTGTCTCTGTTTCTGTGTGTCTTTATCTGTTCCGGTATGATTTTTGTGTTGGTGAAGTTGAAGAGTCAAAATGCTGAGCAACAGAACATCTTCATATATACGAAGATGCTCTAGTCAGCTGTAGCAGGGGTAGATGGAGTTAAGAGCTCCCCTTATATTGCCCCAACAATGTTCTTGAATCAAATTTTGGAAGCACACTCAGTCACTACTTAAACCACTGACATTTCCATTTCCTGCACTATTTATTCTTATGAATTTCTCGAGGTGGATTGCTCCATTTGTGCTGAATTACAGGCAGTTTTGTGCAATGGGTTTGATTCCACAGGGAACTAGACTGAGAGACTGCCCAAACTCATTTCACTTGTAGACATCTGAGCACGGAGACTTTTAGTCTAGTGGCAATGGTTGGATCTGAATCCAGGCTCCAAGGTCGAGACGTCTGCAAAGCCAAACACTGAGGCTCCATTCTACCCACAAATGGGAAACTAACATAAGGCCATTTGGAGAGAAACATATTCTGGTTCTCATATCATTTGTTACAAATACAAAGCATATAGTTCAAGAATTTAGGACATTACAAAGCATGTATTTTGTGGCTTGGCCAATTTTTTAAACAAATCAAATAGGTTTTGTTGTGAGAGGCAATTGATCGATGGATCAAAATAACTATCCTGCTCCTCTTCACTTTTAGCCATTATATGTATGTGCCCTGTGTAGATCATTCTTTTTCCCTCACAAGAATTACCCTAAAACCACAGAGTAGAAACGCAATGCAAACCATCATCAAAAATACTGGAGATCTCTCTCTGTCTCTCTCTGTTTCTCCTGCTACATGTCCCACCACCCACCCACTCTACATCAGAGGCCCATAATTCTCCTGGCCTAAGCCTTAAGGATATTGTCTTCAAATTTAAGATGGAAAACATTCTTAAATTCGGTCCTAAACTTGTTCTTTTTAAAAGTTGTGGAAAACCAGCATGCAAATTTAGATTCTAGTTAAAATAAATTCAAATGTGTGTGCAACTTAAATTTCAAGACAATGGTATTAAGTTTAAGAAATGTTTGGTTCTAATGAGATCCACTCTCTCTCTCTGCCAACCATATATATATATATATACATACACACACATGTCGGACATACAGATCTATAAACTCCTTCTCACAGCACTGTACCTCAGCAGAGATGAACCCCTGTTTCCCAAACGCATGACCTGACGACTTGTGCAACTAACTGATCAATCGTTCTGACCTGCTGACCATGTTTCCAGTCATTCTATCACTTAGGATTGATCTGCAGTATTTCAGGGCACTGCTGATGACCACACAGCCAACCTGGCTCCTCGGCAGGATCTGGAAGGGCAGACCAGTCACTGGGGGCAAAGAGTCATTCCACTCAGCTCCTGTTAACCCAGCAACTTTAATGGGTATGCTGGTCCTAGTTGGACAAGCAGCGGGAAAGCTGGCCAGACAGCAATACCAATGGCAAGCTATGTGGTTTTAGCTGGTTTGACTCCAGCAGTTACCCCAACGCACACTCTGGGGTCCCCAAACCTTGACCCTTGCCAATCTGCGCTTATTACTTTCCAGAATTAGGTAAGCAGGATACGACCCTCCAGGGGGAAAGTATGGATGCCGTTCCAATAATCTATCTCTGGGATTTCCATGTGTAGGTGGGATGCGTGGAATTCTCAGTTTGGTTTGGATATTCTTAAGCACAGTGATGGGTTTCCGCATGTGTCAGGCACTCGGCTGACCAAAAAAAAAATTGGGTTTGCTCTGCCAATATCTCACTTAGTGGGAAACCTTAAAGATCTTATTTACCATATTTTCCATTAGGTTCTTCCAGTTCTCAGCTCAGTGACTCAGAGTATCTTTCATTCCAAAATCAAATTTCTGCATCTTTGCTTCAAAACCCTTTTCTTCCTGTTGTTGGGGAAAGAGTAAGCATACTGTGAGTGACATTACTTTCCTGTTATTAGAAATCTGAGCAACAACAAGATCCGAGATATCCGCGAGGGAGTCTTCGAGGGGGCTTCAGGCATCTTAGAATTGCTGTTGACGGGAAACGAGTTGGAGATGGTCCATAGCCGAATGTTTGCAGGTCTCTCCGGACTTAAGACCCTGTAAGTACAGAGCACTTCTTCAGGCCCTTTTGCTGGGATAAGGGAACAATGGTGTAATGTACAAGAAAAACATGGAGCATGATTTGGGAGAAGCGAAAAGGATTGAATGGACTGATATTGGAAAAGCTTCAGCAAAATATTGAGGTCCCTTTGGAGAACAGGGCCTTCATACCTTTTTAAAGCCTTTGAAAGCGTTTTATCTGGAAGTTGCTGAGCGAGCTTTTTTTCATGTTCTTTGATGTTTTGTGTGTTGCAGAATGCTGCGAAATAATCTCATCAGCTGTGTTAATAACGACACCTTTACTGGCCTGAGCTCAGTTCGGCTGCTGTCTCTATATGATAACCGGATAAGCACCATTACTCCTGGTGCCTTCAGCACACTGCATTCCCTCTCCACCATGTGAGTGCTGCTTTCAGTTAAGCCATTTAAACGAAGAAAATACGGCCTTATACAATTGAGATGTCTCAAAGTTCTGTTCAGTAGTAATGTTAAGCGTAGTGACAATTTTTGTAGACACCCATTGTTGTCCTTTTTCACCAAGAACACCCACCAATGACCAACCAATGCGGAGGATTGTTGGCCAAAACATATGCAGAAACTTCCTTCTCTTTTTCAAAAGTGTCCTGGGATCTTTAACGCTTACCAGATCAAGCAGATGTGATTTAATGTCTCATGCAAAGGACAGCACCTTCAACGATGTGGCAGACATGTCAGTACTGCAATGGAGCATCTACTGCAACACACTAGATTGTGTGCTCAAATCCCAAAGTGGGGCATGAACCCACAACCTTCTTACACAGATGAGGGTGAGGGTGCTATCAACTGAGCTAAAGTGACACATTTAGTGAAGAGCTCCTTACATTGTGCCAACTCCCAGTCAGTTTCTCAAAGCCTCACTTCTTTTACATTTAGGTAATTTCCTGATAATAATTGTATTATAATGCTAATCCTTGGATTTGATACAGTTCCTTATCATGTTGTTAAGTTGTCTCAAAGTGTTTCACAGAGTATAGTGTAAAGTGAATTGACTGTATATTTTGTGAGTGAAACGCGGCAGCCAATTTTTAAAAAAAATGAGAAATCAGTTCCCTCCTTTGTAATATCCCAAATTCATGCCCACTCGATGGCTTCCTCTTCAGGTTGACATTTCCATTGATTTGTAGGAAGTCCACATGGTACAGATTATTTACCTCAGACTGTGATCACAGAACTAAAGGGCATTAGTACCGAATTAGCATTAGTCAAGCGTGACGTGAGACCGGAGGAATGTATTTCCTTTCCTGCAGAGTACTGGATAATTGCAACAAACGTGGATAACACTTATTTCTTAACCTTTTTTCATTTAAAAAACATCTTACTAAATCTCTGGTTTTACGAGTAGGAGAGAAGGTCATAGACAAAAGTACTGTAGAACCAGGCAACGCCCCACCTGTGGAATGCAACTGGTCAGAGTTGAAAGTGCCTTTGGTTTGGATTGAAATTCTTATTTGAATCCCCAGGAGGGGAAAGTACGGAAGAAATTTTCACAGAGTTTTATCCACTTCCTCCCTCAGGAGAGTGAACATGTTGGGTAGCGCTTAGCAGAAGTGGAGATGAACAAAAGGCCTCTTTCAAAGACCTTTGCTCTCTGTAGGCCTCTTGCTAATCAGTACTAAAGCCTAGTCCTTTCCAGGCAATGATTGTAAATGTGTATGTGACTAATGGTAATCTCTGTTGCTACAAGACAATTGCCCCAGGCCCAGGCACCCAAACCACTAACATCAGTGCCAATAGATTCACAGAATGAGAAATCTCATTTGCATTGGATGCTCAATTAACTGGATCCAAGTTCAGTTGGGTCCAACGCCTTGGGACATCCTCCCAACGTGAAAGGAGCTCTATAAATGTAATTTTGTTGTTGTTGTTCAGTTCCTTTGTAAGTTTTGCTCCTCAGGTGCAGGAAACAAAAATACAGCATCAACACATTACGCAAAGCATCTGCGCACTTCCTTATTAATAATAATAATAATCCTTGCATTTGCATTATCCACTTTTTTTTCTTGGTCTCAACCACACATCAGTGTGGCTGAGAAGATAGATGTGAAATTCTACTCTGATCTAAGAGGTTCCTGAGAGGACTTTAGTGGACAACATTCTGCCAGAGTGTCTCTGCCTCTCTATGTGGAATACCAGATGAATGGGGTTGAGAAGAGGCACTCGGCTGCACTTGGGGCTTGATACCAGACCAACTTACACACCATAGTACCAACAGATAGAAACTGATGTTTGCTTTTAACTTTTCCACATATTTCTCCCCTCATCCCCTATTATTATTATATTATTATTCTCCATCCTTGATTAATGCTTGAAAATCGATCTATTGCACCAGCAATCTGTCGTTATCTCAGCCGTGACCAATCTAGATGCATGAGACAAGAAACTAAATGTTAGAGGGCTATTTTCTAATATTTTAATGTTAGGTGCCACAATGATCCCATGCTTGACTCATATTTTCATATAAAAGATATGAAAAGGGTTAGAAACTCTCCTTAAAATGATCCAAACAATAGCAACCATAATGGATCCAGTTAAGCCTGATTATGTCTTTATCAGCACATACACATGAGCACATTCAGCAGCAATCAGTGTGTAGTTCAGAACCAACTGCAGTGTAACTCAGCTAACCCAGCACAGACCAATGATTGAACCACAGGTCAGTAGCACACCACTCACATTGTTCATTTATTGATTGAGCATTTAGGAGAGACTTGAACTTAGTTAGAATATATATTCTGTGGCTTCTCTAATGCCCACTGGTTAGCTCCCAGATTCAATCCATGATCTGTACTGACATAACTGATCCCAGCTGGGCTTACAGTTCAGGTGTGCTTGGGAAAGGGAGGTCAAGTGGGTCACTATGCAAAGGCTCTGCTGGAGATTCCTACGCACAGTTGTTGGATGAGGACAGGATGGATCTTAAGTGTTACCCCACTTCCATGTAGTTGAATACCCTGCTGACATTCACTGCCAAAAATCACATGCAAATAATAACTATTTGGGTCAGGCACTGGAGGGCAGCCCTGTAATTGTGAGGAACTGTAGAAGGAAAATCTAGTAAAATGTGCCAAGTGAGGAAAGAATATTATAAAGCCTTGAGCAGCATTGAACAGTCACAAAGCCTAATGCTAGCTTAAAATGTTTTATGGAATTAGCTCTGTGTGATAGGAACATAAGAAGACCAAGGTCCATCCTGTTCGCCTTCCACCATCCTGGCAGTCACATGCACATATCACATGCACATACCAAGCTATATACTGTATCCCAAGATATTATTTCCTAAAAGAAATCTATCTAATTTGCTTTGGAAAGAATTTTAAAAAATAGGAAAGATGGAGAAGAGAATGAAATTGACAAACCCAATCCACATTTTTCAAAACGTAACCCTTAATTTTCACTAACTTCCTCAGCAATCTTCTCTCCAACCCGTACAACTGTAACTGCCACCTGGCCTGGCTCGGCAAGTGGCTGCGGAGGCGAAGGGTTGTCAGTGGCAATCCACGCTGTCACAAGCCAAACTTCTTAAAGGAGATCCCAATTCAGGACGTGGCCATTCAGGATTTCACTTGCGATGGTAAGAAGAACTGTGTCAAAATGGGTAAATTTGGCTGAGTGTCTCAGCGTGTAAAGTGGGACAGACTCCTGGAGGAAACCCTATGTATGTGACGCAGGCCCATGATTCTAATGTGATCAGTTCCTGCAGCTCACAGATGGGGATCTCTGTTCTTTGCACCCCAAGGCATGCTTTGTTGTGTCCAGGCTGCATTTACACAAGTCATTTAACCAGCAGGTGATTTTCAAACCCTGTGTCATTAGTTATACATGATGAACACAGTAAAGCAACTGTGGATTTATTTGCTAAATATTTGGTAAAAAATTAAATAATAATTGCACGTTGAAGTAACAATTTCTTCCACACTTTCCTCTCACTCACCTCAGATGGTGGGAATAGCAACTAAAATGGGTTTATTCCTCAGGCAAATCATCTGTCGCTTTATTTCGACCTTCGGATTGAGATGTATAATCAAAGCAATGTGTGAGCACAGGTGTTGTGAATCATTACTTGAAAGGTTAAATAGAGCAATTTTATCCGCAGAAAAATATTTTGTGCAATTATGTTGATTAGACTAAATCGTGATGGATTTGTAAATGGATTTCTCCTATTTTTAAAAAAAAATCCAGTGAACATTACTCATTCCCACGGCTGTCTTTTCATCTCCTACCTCTCAGTGCAGACATAGCGAGTGACTCGCAGGTTATTTATAGAAATGAAAGGTACATGATAAAAACGCTCGGCTCCCCTCCTTGCAGCCTTATCCATTTAAATTATTTTCCCTGGCAGATTTTCTGGATATTATCGGAAGACTAAAGGTCATTCTTCTATGATATTACTTTCTGCACCATGCCACGGTTGTGGAATGTTGATATGTAAGGCCTGGACATTTCATCCTTTTACATTCCTGTGAAACAGTACCAGACTGCTTTGTCTTTAACTTTTTTTTTTAGATTTCGAGATGCTCACCCTCACCAGTTGATTCCCTTCACACCCGTATGTCTCCTATCTTCTCCTACCCCACTCCTCTGCTTGCCCACTCCGTTCGGCTAACTCAGGCTTACTGCATATCCCCCATCCTAAGATTTACAAGAATGGTACCAGGAATGAGGGACCTTGATTATGAGGAAAGGCTAGTGAGGCCAGGATTATTCTCATTGGAGCAGAGAAGGTTACGAGGAGACCTAATAGAGTTCTTCAGAATCATGAGGGATTTGATAGGTTAGAAAGGGAAAAACTGTTTCCACTGGTGGGTGTGTCGGTGACTCGAGGTCACAGATTCAAAATAGTATCTAAAAGAAGCGGAGGGGAGGTGAGAAGAAATGTTTTCACGCAGCGAGTTGTTCGAATCTGGAACGCATTGCCTGAAAGGGCGGTGGAGGCCGATTCGATAACAACTTTTAACAACACAGTGGACGGGTATTTGAGGAGGACGGGTCTGCAGGGTTATGGGGAAAAGGCTGGGGAGTGGGATTGACGTTACATTGCTCTTTTCAAAGAGCCGGCACAGACTCGATCGGCCGAATGGCCTCTTTTTGTGCTGTACGATTCTATGATTCTATGATCCTAACCATCGGTGTCCAGAGGTCTGGTTCTATATCTCCAAACTCTAACCCCTCTCTTGACCCCTCAGTTTCCCTCCCCCCCCCCCCCCACTATATGTCTTCAAGTCCTATCTCCTAACCTACCTCGACGACCTCACCAATGGTCACCTCCCCTTTCCCCTTCTTCCATGAACTGGAATGTCAAACCAGACGATGAGTTCAAGTCCTGATGTGGAGCTTGAACCTATAACCTACATTCAGCAGGTGACTAGTGGGATAAAGGGGGATGGGGGGAAGATGGATGGGATGGAACGGACAAGGGCAGATACTTTTAATGTACAAATACCCATCTTATATTGTCCTGTATGGAGGATCCACAGTAATTTTGATTGTATAAAAATAAATTTCTCCTGTTTTTCAGTGGACAACAATGAGAGCAGCTGCCTGCCAGTCTCCCGCTGTCCTGAGTTGTGTAACTGTGCAGACACAGTGGTTCGATGCAGTAACAGGGGTCTCCGTGCCCTGCCCAAAGGCATTCCCAAAGATGTAACTGAGATGTGAGTACAATACCATTTCGGTCTATCTGGTTTTCACCTCTCTTGTACTTATTCATTCATAGTTTAATGGTGAACTTGTCTGTGTACTTCAACAAATCTGATCAGATACCAGGTTGCATTTTGAGGGCATTTGAGTAGATTATTGAGATAGGCAAGAACTCTTCAGAATAGAGGCAGTAAGTCTGGAACAGTACTTTAAGATACACCAGGACAAGAAAACACAGATGCAGGGGTGTGAAGAGCAAGTTATGAGAGATAGTAATCTGTACATTTGATACAGTGCCTTTTCATATCATAGAGACATCTCAAAATGCTTCACAGCATATACTGTAAAGGGGACTGTTTATTTTATGGGCGAAACGCATTGCCCCTTTGAATAATATTAGTGGTGCAAATGTTGCTACCTGTCTCCCCTGAGTCAGTACTGGGGTTAATGTTACGTGTTCTGTTTTACAGATATCTGGAAGGGAATCAGCTGACTGCAATACCCACAGAACTGTCCAATTTCAAGCACCTGTCACTCATGTAGGTGATTCCGCATCAAAAACCACAAATGTTGGTCCCAAAGAATATGCAGTTTAATGTCTTCCTGGGAGTGAGTTACAGATATAAATTTCATCCAGAACGGAAATGTCAAGTGATGTTGCAGACGTTTTTAGGGAGATGGATTTAGAGAGATGGACAGTCGAATAAATGGGGACACAACTGGACACTGCTTCCGCAAAATGGAAGTATGGCACATCAACCAGTGAGAACTCCGCTTCACCGCGGTTTGCTTCTGAGGCAGAGTTTCCAGGGCGGAGCAGGCTCGATGTGCTGAATGGCCTTCTCTGCTCCCCGCCTACCAATAAGATTAAAACAATTGGGGCGGATAAAATCCTTCCATGAAGAATAACTGCAAGAGAGAGAGGGAGAGAATGATCTGCTGGCGTGGACTGGCTACATGTGCTGGAGAGATTAGTTAAATCGTATCACTTTGGGGCAAGCTGAGTAGATCTGTAATGCTTAAACCTGCATTATTTCTCTGAAGTTTTCCACAGTTTACTTTTTTTATAATAATTCTCTTTTAGAGAGGAAGATGTGTGGAAATATAGGGATGAGTCATATGAACCAGCGCTACATCACCCATTCATTTCAGCAGACTGTGCTGAAGGGTCTGGTGAGAGAGAGATCAGTAATGCTGAGATCATAGGAACATAAAGCACTGGGCACAGAACTCTTAAACTGCGAAATAATGACTACATTTTACATCTTTGGAAATAGCACTGAAGAATGATATCCAGTGTGGATTGGAATATCAATCTTGTGCATGACACCCTGATTGCAACTTCATTAATTCTTTTAATTAAGACTTTAATCCAGGATTACAAGAATTCTAGTTCTGCTTTTTTACTGATCTTTGTTGTGAATTATTCATGCTGGGATCAAAGGCATAACATGGTTAATGCTAAACATGGCATGTGAAGAGATTTGCTTCGCTGTTTTCTGACAGCTTGATGTTGAATATTCTCGCCATGCCTAGTTAGTTAGTAGGAGTGAAACCAGTTTCTGTTATGAAACCAGAGGTCAGCAGTCCCTCCTTCTACATGGAGCAGGTGAGCATTTAATCCCTACATGGCTATATCTTCCCCTTCTACCATCCAGCATTGAGGCATTTCATCCTTTGACTCCATTTCCTGATCCCTCCCACTCCTTATGTCCTTATGTCCCTGAACAGGAAGTAACAAGATTCTCCAGAGAAAGGTACAATGATTTTTTTCCCAACTAGTGTCAACCATTCTTCCTATTTGGCAAGGAGTTTAGTAATAATGGGATATAATTTACAATGCTTATATGGAATCCATGGCTAATGGGAAATTCTCATCTATCTAGTTTTGAAGCACATTCTCAGAGGATGACTGGACTTCTAAAGGGATTCCCTATTAAGGAAATACCGCAACTTAGACTTCATTGATATGAAGAGGTGTCCAAGATCTGCAGCAGTTTTTAAAGTGAAAGGAAAGAACAGGGGATTTTTGATGCTAAACAATTCTTTGAAACCATGCAGAGCTGCAGAAAATGCCTTTAATTCAAAGTGTATACATGTTTGTACATAACAAAGCAACTGCCACAGCATTTGGGGATTCCAGGAATACTATGAATTAAGACAGCTTTGAGTTATAACAGTGTAAGGAATTTCATTAAGCACAAGATTTTTATGTGATCTACTAGTGGCAGCTCTTCTTTGCTCCAGTTTTACAGAGTTTGCTTTAGTCCCCTGATGACTCTCGTAATCGCTCAGTTTTTGTTTTGCAGAGATTTGAGCAACAACAGTATCAGCATGCTCAACAATTCCAGCTTTAGCAACCTGTCCCAGCTCTCAACACTGTGAGTACTATGTCCATCACCCAAAACTGTATGTGTGTTACTGCCTCTCATTGTGAGTACCATATCCAGCACACAATTCCGTGTGTATGTCACTACCTCTCACTGAGAGCCATGGCATCTGGTTGAATTAATGATAAGCCTAGTAGCTACTCCATTGCCTTATTGGCTGCACATAGTATATAGTGTGGAGACCAGAGAAATGGAGTACATATTGATAAATTTCTCATCCAGCAAGGTATAATATTACAGTAAATTCCTGGGATTGAAATTGTCCTTTAATTCCTTTTAATGGCATGTTTTCCAGGATCTTGAGCTACAATCAGTTGAGGTGTGTGCCTGTTCATGCATTTAATGGTCTCAAGTCTCTACGTCTGTTGTGAGTATTAACTTTGACAGAGAACATTCATTGAACATTTTATTTTTCCTATTGCTCTGTATTTGTTTTTGGAATCGTTTAGAAATTTACAAGGAAATTAATCTGTTGTTTTCCACATATCAACTGGCTAAATGGTCAATTGTTTGAGTCCAGTTGGTAGTGAATAGATAGTGTAAACAGATAGGGCCACAGAAAGAACAGTGATTTATTGGCTGTGGGAAAATAATTCTGAAAGCGTAATTGCATCTTTTAGTCTCTTATCACTTTCAAGTCATTTCACAGTGTTGCCTATCTTTATTAATACCATCTCCTCCTATTCTTCCACCCATGTCCTCTGCTCTTTCAGCTCTAGTTTATTGCTTATTCCTCACTTTCTGCATTGCTCCATCATTGGCCGACCCTTCAGTAATTATTTCTCTGCTTCTAAAAGTATTTTTTGAACACTCTTTGCCTTGACCATTTCTCTTTGCCTTCAAACAGTCTCAACAACCTATTTCTTTGACCATACTTTTCCTCTCACATGTGCCGGTGAAGCACTTTGAGACTTTCACCCAATGTGAAGGATGCTGTATACATGCAAGGAGTGTTGCTGTTTCAAGCTGTTTCCAATGGAAGCTGCTCATATTCAGCACCGCCTGATATATAACCAGAGAACAATGCTCACTCTTGCTCTCGCCACCTCCCACCAGTCGTCAGATGAAACCTTTGCAGGAAGTGGCATCTCATAGTGACAGCTCGCAATCTGTTTGTGTTGTTCATATATTGCTTTTGAGACTCCAGAGGAATGAGACAAAAATCGCAGGCAGGATGTTCGAAGCCTCTCCTGTCAAGGAGGTCTCTCCAGCTGCATTCTGCAGGCTCTGTATTTTTGTCAATAACTAATTTTCTGGCACTTCTAAACGACTTATCAAACCTGACTAGAATGCCCAATGAGCAAAGTTTTATTTCTCACAGAACTGGCTTTCAAGCATGTCTGGCAAGGGTAACTTTTTGACTTTGGACTTAATTAGCTTTGTTGAAACTGGGTTCCAACGATTAGCCAATTGGTAACATCTTCAAGTTTTGATAGGGTAAACATAGGGAAGATGTTTCCACTTGTGGGGGAGACCAAAACCAGGGGCCATCAATATAAAAAAGTCACAAATAGATCAAATAGGGAAGTTAGAAGAAATGTCTTCACACAGAGAGTAGTGGGGATGTGGAACATGCTACCACAAGGAGCTGTTGAGGCAAATAGCATAGATGTATTCAAGGGGAAGCTAGATTGGTACATGAGGGAGAAAGGAATAGAAGGTTATGCTGGAAGGCTGAGTTGAGGAAGGGTAGGAGGAGGCTCATGTGGAGCATAAACACCGGCATAGACCAGTTGGGCAGAAATAGCCTGTTTCTGTGCTGTATATTCTAATGTATTCTAATGTAATGTATCTTATTAAAAGATAAATCATTGATCAGAAGCAAGTTTGTCCTCGTCCTCTGACCATCATTCTGAATGTGGCACGGATGAGTTAGTAGGATTTGCCAATCTCACCCATTCCCTACTCTCATTTCTTAAGTAATTCCCCATTTATCTGCACTCAGTGTTAGCAGCAATCTGTCTAAAAAAGACATAGATTAGACACGTGGCAAAGCTCTGTGACAAGTGAATGAGTCCCTCTATCTCCGCAGCTGATCTGGAGAAGGGACTGAGTGGGTCATTAGACCCTGTCCGGCGTGAAGGACGCTGTATAAATCCAAGTTGTTGTTGTTTTATATAGGCTCTGCTAATCTGATATAAAGTGCTTCAAATGAACCCTGATATCCCTGTGTTCAAGTCACAGAGTGCACTAGCTTTCCCTCACGTTACTTTTGAGACTTTGTCCGCCATGACAGTTGCCAACGGCAAAATGATTGAACCAAACTTGGACCTTCTCTTGCATGTGGCATGCTCCAGCATATATGTTGCTGCAGAGTGACATGCTCTGCCCCAGAAATTGTCCTTTGAGTGGACCCTCTGGCAAAGTGTTCACCAAATGATGCTCCTTATCCCTAGAGCTAGCTCTCCGCATTGCTTCTAGTTACCTTCACTCTTCAATATAAAAGAAACTTAGGAAATATGGTTGAAATTGGGTGAACACTGGAATGCTGCTGTTTTTTGGAGATTGCAAAACAGCATTCACCAACAAGAAGTTGCATCTATTTCGCGCCCTTCACACTGGGTAGCGTCTCAGAACACTTGACTGTGGCAGAGCCTGATCCCAAGCCGGGAGGAGGGAAACGTAAGCACGGTCGAAGAGGAAGTTCTTCAGTCATGATCTAAAAGAGGGGAAGGAGGGGGCAGGACGGAGGGTTGTGGGAGAGAGTTCCAAAGCTTCGGGGCGTAGTGGCTGAAAGCGCGGCTCAGAATGGTGGAGCCGAACGAGAGACAAGCAGGAGGCCAGAACCAACTGAGCAGAGGTGGTGCAGTGGTGTCAAAGCACTCCCCCAGGAAGGATATTAATACAGTATTAATATCCTGACTGGGAGACTGTTCCGGGCTGTGTTTTGTAAGGCGTGCATAGAAACCGCTTGTCAGTGTTGGTGTATTTTTATTTCCATTTTGTTTTGAACAGGACCTTACATGGGAATGACATCTCCAATATCCCCAGTGGAGCCTTCAATGACCTGGCATCACTCTCACACCTGTAAGTACTCCTGGGATTAAGATCCGTACACAGAGATAAGACTCTGGAAAGAAAATTCTTAAGCTCTTTTGTGTTTCTGGTGGATTTTAGTTGCAGCTTCTGAAGGGACAGTTCCTTACAAACTGTTGAAGTTTCCAATTTGGCTTTAGGGAAACTCAGCAAGTCCCTAAATGTAAGGTCATTACCAAAAGCAAGAGCTAGAGGATTTTGTTTTGTGCAGACATTTCACAGATTGTTACTTTGTGGAATACCCAAACAAAATGGTGGTTGAAGCAGAATCCATAATAGATTTTTTTGTGTGTCTGAAACATTCGAAAAACCATCACCATGCTTAAGAGTATCCAAACCAAACTGAGAGTTCCATGCAGCCCACCTACACGTAGAAATTCCCCTGTATTATAGCCTTTGAAAGTGGACAAATATTTGTAAAAAGAACAAAATAGTTCAGGCTGTGAGGAAAGGGCAGATGGTTTAGAGACTCAGCACAGACATGATGGGCCAAATGATCTCTTGTTTACTGTTAAATTCTGAGAGATGAACTGCTGCAATGTGACTTTTTGCAAAGAAACTTTTTCTTTTTATTCAAACTAAGTTGGTTGTTAGATTTAACAGTTACTTTTAATGACCGAGTAAGCGATACAAATGCCAGGAAATTAATTGCACCCATTGATCAGTCCCGGGTTAAGCACTGCATGGGTTAGAGGCAGGGCAAAGCTCTCTCTGCAACATCCCCCCCAGCTAACCTTATGACCCTTCCAAGGATGTCTGCCAGTTAATATGCGCTGGTCAGGGCAGTTGTTTAGCAATTGGGTGGAGATTTGCTCAGACTCCACACAGGATTGCCTCAGTCACGAAAGAGAGAAAGGAGATCTTTGATCCTATCAGTCTAGTTGCACTTAAAACAGGTTCCTGAAATGAAAAACTGGTGTATTAATGGCACCAGGTCCCACTACGCAGCTCTCTCTATTTTACCGACAAACAATCGTCAGAGATTAATTTAATTTTTTTGGCTGTACTCTCTTTCACCTTCTCATCCTGATGCTCACTGCATTAAGCAAGATGTATAAAGAGCTGCAAGTGTGCCAGCAACAAAGAACATTTTGCAAATTCTGTTCTGTGACAGGGTGACAAAGGTATATATCATTGTAGAAAAGTGACTGCATTGAAAACTAGCTTTCTCAGAGGAGCAGGGAATCCAGAATATGTATCATCCAGGGGGGATTGTGTGTTAACTTTTTACATCTGGGACCCGAGTTCAGCTGAAGTCCAATTCTGATGGAACGTAGGAACAGCGAATTTGCCCCCTCCCTCTGGAACTCCATCCCGATAGCTTGCTTCTTCCCTCGCGTCCTTCAAGGTCCGTCTCAAGATCTTTCTCTTTGACCAACTTTCAGTCATATTCCCCCTCTCTTCACCCATCCCCACCCCCTCGGCTCCCACCCACCCCCAGCTCAGATACAAACCTTAGTTAGCCCAACACCTTAGGATGTCCTACAAACATGAAAGGCACTAAGTAAATATAAATTTGTATTATATTGTAACAGGAGCAGGTCATCCAGCCCATCTACCGGTTTATTAGATATTAATAATAATAATCCTTAAATTTGATATAGCGCTTTTCACGTCTTCTCAACATCTCAAAGTGCTTCACAGAATATGCTGTAAAGTGAATTGACTGTATATTTGTGGGTGAAACATCTTGGCAGATCTTTTAATCCCAATTACCTGTCTTCGCATTATCACTTTATACTTTTATGTCTCCCGCCCAACCATCGGTGGCCGGGCTTTCAGCCTCTCTGCCCCCACACTCTGGAACTCCATCCCACGGTCCCTTCGCATCACTTTCTCGCTTGCCTCCTTCAAGGTTGGTCTCAAGACCTTTCTCTTCGACCGTGCCTTTGGTCTCCCTCCCACCTCTCTGCCTTCCCTCACTCCTACACCACCCCTTTCCCATGCTTGGGCCCCGACACCTGACTGTTCAGCGCTTTGGGACGTCCTCCTGACATGAAAGGCACTCTATAAATCTAATTTTGTTGTTATTGTACTTCTATACTATCCACATATTTATCTCTCTTTTAAATATGGAAACTTTTAAACAGCTCCTTTGTCTGACGGTTTGCAAAGTGTGAGTAGCCATTTCATTCAGACCAGGGATAGCTTGACACCGACAGTGGATAATATGTAGATGTCTTTCTGTTGATATCCTCTGTCTCCAACAAAAAACAAAGTATAAACGACAGGAGTTTGGTAATTGCTTAGCTCCTGATGCTGCCTGGGTGGTCATTCAACACTATACAATAGTGTTGAATTTGGGTAAACTGAGACGAGCTGAGAGATTTTTCAATCTAGGAGAATACAGCTAATGCCATCCTGTGGTACTGTTTGTATCTGTCATTAGTGCTCTCGGGGCTAACCCTCTCCATTGTGACTGTAATCTGCGCTGGCTGTCAGAATGGGTGAAGACAGGCTACAAGGAGCCAGGCATTGCTCGCTGCACAGGCCCAGAAGACATGAATGAAAAGCTCCTCCTAACAACTCCCAGTAATAAGTTCCAATGCAAAGGTATGTAGATGTGCGACATATCCAACTCTCCCCACTCACACATTGATATTCTTCTACCCACATACCACCTGCAGGCAAACATCCACACTCCCAAACCGCACTGTGCAGAAACACACACCCATATAGACAGCTCCCTCCACCACACATATGTTCACACTCTTTCAGTCACTTAGCACCGACAGACAGGCATCCACACTGTCAAACCGCACCATGCACACTTTGCCCTACACAGACAACTCCTTCCCCACACACACTTACACTTCTACAATCATATACAACCTACAGGCAGACATCCACCCCACCAATTCATGCATCCAACCACAACAACAACAAATTAATAATAATAATAATCCTTGCATTTGATATAGCGCTTTTCACGTCGGGAGGACGTCCCAAAGCGCTTCACAGAACACACTGTAAAGTGAATTGACTGTATATTTGTGGGCGAACGCGGCAGCCAATTGCGCACAGCAATGTCCCACAAACAGTCGTGGATTGAAAATGACCAATTTATTATTGGTTTTGGTTTTGGAGGGATTATTATTAGGCGTGTGGAGTAAGGAAACTTGCCCAAGGTTTCGCCCTGCCTGGAATTGAACTCAGGTCTCTAGCTTGCAAAGTGAGTGCTCAACCACTGAGCTACAGGACTCCACAAATTACATTAGTATAGCGCCTTTCACGTTGGGAGGAAAAATACACAGCTATCCACACGCACACACGGACAGCTACACAAACTAACAAACAGTGAATGTTGGCTGCAAATTGTTTGAATAATGGGGTGAAGCTTTCTTCCTTACATTGGTCAACAAGAAGGTTGTTGTTTATGTTCTATCAGTGTGGAGTTCACACAGTCTGACCAAGAACAACTTGCATTTATATAGTGCCCTTCGCGTGGGGTAGCATTTCAGAGCGCTTTGACAGCAAGACTGTTCATCCGCTTCCAATCTCCGCTTGCTTCAGCGAGCATTACAGCGTGATTATAGCACAATTATCTTTTTTCTTGTTCTGCCCATTCAGAACCATTGAGCGTCTCTGTCTTAGCCAAGTGCAGCCCCTGCCTATCCAACCCATGCCGAAACAACGGCACTTGCAACGATGACCCTACTGAGTTCTACAGATGTACCTGCCCCTATGGCTTCAAGGTAAGAAAGCAGTTGGAAGGATCACAACTTCCTGACCGAAATTCTTGAAGGATTTGGGTGTTTCCATGTGAAAAGTAATATTATGGAATTCCTTTCTACTCCTGGGAACAAACCCAACAACAAATCTTTCTTCTACAATCTGAAAAGGGCATCTTTCTACATCTGCTATCCATTTCCTAAACTTTAATGATTTGGTTTAATTCGCTCCTTAAACCTTTTGTTTTTTCTGTTTTGATGTAGACTTTGGGAAAATCTTGCTTGGCAAGATTGTGATTGATTGAATGAAATTTTGTTTTGAGTGGGCATGCCACAGACTATTGAATTATAATGTGCTTGTCATTTGATTTTTTTTATTGTATGTGTGCGAGCCTGAAGTAAAGATCTATGGTGTTTGAGAGTTTTTTTTGCCAATTTTCTCCCCCATCTTCTTTCTGAAGCTGCTGATATACTAAGATATGGTTCCATAGGCAGTGGCTGCTCTCCAACACCCCACCCAGACAGCCCCTTCTCAATTGGCAATCTCTGTTGAACCCTCACTGCTATGAAGTAGGGGAGCTAATTGATATTTCTTCATTGAATTCTCTAGTAACTCTTATCAACCCACAGGAACTCTGCCCTGGTGATAGATTGTTTTGGAGCAGGAAGATTTGTATCTACCATAGGAGCCATATTTGGTCCAAACACCCACTCTTCACTCCAACATGTATAGGGACCCTGTGCCAATATGCCTCATGTGATACAATACAAATTTATATTTATGTAGCACCTTTGATGTCAGGAAGACGTCCCAGTCATATGATGTTCGTATGAGCCAGGGGGTGCAGGGGGAGGAATAGAAGCTGACATTTCATGAGCAGCTGTTGTGCCTCAACACTATCTCTGTCACTATCTCTCTCCCTGGGTATGAGCTATGTTTCCTATCTAAACAAACTGTACAGATCATTGCCACTCATCGTAGTACCTTCAGGGACAGAAATAAAATCTGCATATCATCAATGCCAAACGGTGCACCGTATTCCATTACGGATACATAAAATCTCTCTTATGCATATCATAAAATCTGCCATAAAACTGCCAGGAGGAACACATTATTACAGATAATTATAAAAATTCTAGATAAATAAAATCTACATCATAATAATCCCAGACAATGACTTAATTATCAGGACTAGACCTATCCAAGTTTAATTTCCAAAGTCTGTTGGTGTGTGAATTAGAGGATGCTGGATATTTGATGGGAATTTAAAGGTCCTAAGAAAGTATGGAAGGAGAAAAGATTGTTCAGTTATTCACTCGCACTCTTTCCACAGACCTTGTGAAATTCTCAATATCATTATAGACCTAGAGTACTGCTAGCACTCCAATACAGTGCTGGGGTGTGGTCCATTGTTGAAGGTGCCGTCCTTCAATTGAGACGTTAAAACAAAGTCCCGTCTGCCTATTCAGTTGGACATTAAAGATCCTATGATACTATTCGAAAAAAGAAAGGAGTTTCTCCCCATGTCCTGGCTGATGTGAAAGATGCTATATCAATATTAGGATAATAATAGCAATCTTAACAGTACAAAAATTAGGCATTTGATTCACCAAGGCTGAGCTATTGGTTTGAGCCTCACAGAATCCCAATCTCTGACTGTTTCTCTCTGAACTCATGCACAACTTAGGCATCAGGTTCGATCCCCAGCTTTCCTTACTACCACACGTCCGTTCCCTAATCAGGACCGCTTTTTTTCACCTCCGTCACATGCCCGCCTCCGCCCATACCTCACAACTGATGCAGCTGAAACCCTCGTTCAGACCTTAGTCACTTCCCAGCTGAACTATTCCAATGCTCTCCTCGCTGGTCTCCCCAGCTCCACGATACATAAAATCCAATTAATCAAAATCTCTGCCACCAGGATACTCACCCGCACAAAACTCCCTATCCCAGTCACACCCGTCCTAGCCAGGGTCCATTGTCTCCCAATTATTGAATGGATCAATTTCAAGCTCCTCTCACTTGTTTTCAAATCCCTTCATGCCCTAGCACCTCCCTACCTATATTATACAATAATGCTTGCATTTGCATAGCGCCTTATCACGTCTTCGGGACGTCTCAAAGCACTTCACAGGATATACTATAAAGTGAATTGACTGTATATTTTGTGGGCGAAACATGGCAGCCAATTGCGCACAGCAGTGTCCCACAAAGAGTCGTGGATTGAGCGACCACATTTTTTTTGTTACCCAAATTATTACCCCCTGAAAAGCAATCCACCAATCAACTAACAACTAGATTCCTACTTACTGCTAGGTAAACAGGTGTGTGGAGTAAGAAAACTTGAAAATCATTTTGCCCTGCTTACCCAGGTCTCTTGCTTGTGAGGCGAATGCTCTAACCTCTGAGCTGCAGGACTCCACATAGTGTAAAGTGAATTGACTGTATATTTTGTGGGCGAAACGCAGCAGCCAATTGTGCACAGCAGTGTCCCACAAACAATCATGAATTGAGTGACCTATTTATTATTTTTTTAAGGAATTATTATCACCAGAAAAGCATCAACTAATTGACTAACAACCGGGTTCCTACTCATTGCTGGGTAAACAGAGACGTGTGGAGTAAGGAAACTTGCCCAACGTTTTGCCCTGCCGGGAATTGAACCCAGGTTTTTCACTTGCGAGACGAGTGCTCTAACCACTGAGCTACAGGATTCCACTGTCCAACCTGCTTACCCCGCTGTCCACCACCCGCTGCCTCCGGCCTTCTATTTGTCCTTAGTTGGTCATCGGTGGCTGTGTCTTCAGCCACAACACTCCGAAACTCTGGAACACTCTCTCTCTTGCCCCCGCCCTCCCCACCTTCTAAAGACTTTCCTTTTTCATCGTGCTTATGGTCACCTCCCCCCTTAGTCTCCAGCTGGCTCTTTGTTAGACTCCGTCACTGTGAAGCACTCCGGGACGTTACACTGCGTGAAGAGCTCTATATAAATGCAAGTTGTTGTTGTTTCATTACCCTTTGATATTCCTCTTGTCTCTTTTATAAGAATCGATGGATTCTGTTACAACAGTGGTTTGTGGCAGAGAATCCGCCTTCCAACCACAGTGCCAGCCTCCTTTGCTCTCCTTTAGTGAAGCAGCACTAACTATCTGTTCCTTTCACTGTCACAGGGCCAAGACTGCAACACTCCCATCAACAGCTGCATCAACAGCCCCTGCCAGAACGGAGGGACCTGCCATGTCAACGAGGGAGAGAAAGATGGATTCAGGTGTTCATTTAATGAATTAAATAAGAGAACGGGACCAAAATAAGCCAGGTGGTAGTCCATGTGAACATCAGTGCTGACCTGCCAGCACTGACTCCTAGTTAAGAGTTTCAAAGACATATTAAACTTACTGCTTGTTTTTTTAAAAAACCCACAAATAGTCAATTACTGCTAAGCAAATAACCTGTGGGATACTGTATTTGTTTGATTACAAAGAGGAAAACCAGTGCACTGCAAGTGGGATATTTCATGGTTACAGCATTGCCGGGAGGGGAAGGATTTCCACTGGTGACTACTGAGGCTGGATTAGCATCAATCAAAAGAGCATTGGATAATCACCTGACTATAAAAACAATAAAGGATACAGGGAAACACCAGGAAAGTGGGATTAATATTAAAAAAAGTAACAGGTAGCTTGACATAGATAAAATGGACTGAGTAGCTCTCATCTGATCCCCCCACCCCAACTCCTCCATTCTGAAAGATAACTTTAAAAAAAAGTTATCAGAACAGCAATAGGTTTTAATGAGTGTGCTTCCTGGGTAGGAGAATCCATTTACACCTTGGTTCTCTTGTATCTTGTGTTATATTCAAGTTAGTGTCTGTTGCTAACGGCTGTGAAATTGTGGATTCGAGAAGATGTGAGGGCATTTGAAGGGGTTTTATTCTGCTGATAATTGGCTTTCTCCCAGTGTTAACCCACCTCCTTGTTTCCATGTGCCATTAGTTTAATATTTCCCTCAGATACTGAATGCGGTGTTCAGTGGGTTACACACTGACTGTTTATAATCTTGATCAAAGTCCAGGCTCGTAGTCTGAAAGTCTCTTCTTTTTGTTGCGTTCAAACCAGTTCCCCCTGGTTCTCGGACTTCAAATTCAATCAACATCTTAAGTTTCTATCTGCAAACTTTTAAATATTAAAATTATAATGTTTCAATGTTTACAATTCTGACCATGTATTTTATTTTTTATATTGAATTGGTGGAGGGTGGTTCTGGTGTGTGGTTAGGGACGTGCTGTGTATGTGTGTGGGCGGGATGGGGGAGTGGACAAAAGTGGTTCCAGTGAAGAACAAGATTTGTAAACTGTGGTTAAAAAACAGATGAAGACAGGTAGTGATGGAATGTGGTTCAATCTTTAGGCCTAGATAATGTTATGTATAGGGAGACTGTGCACCATGACACTATTGACGGTTCTATCTACAGAAAATAAACATCAAAATTAAGGCTGAATTTTTAAAAAAATGTCAAATTCTGGCTGCTCTACAATGCTACAGTGAACCCTGTGCAGCGCTTTGCGATGTCTCCCTGCCCACCCCCCCATAATGTTAAAGGTGCTGTGTTAAGATATTGTTATTAATATAAATCTTGACTCAGGTGGAATTTCTCCCCAAATGAGAATTTTTGTTCACAGTAACAGTCAAGGTCACAAGACAGCTATCAGGAGAGAGGAATTTTGACTTCTTTATCTTCCCCCATCATTAACGGATGTCGACTTGGCTCAGTTAGAAGTACTCTGGGTTCAAACACTGCATCAGGACCTGAGGCTTTTGACTAAAGTCAAGGCTGAGGCTTCAGTGCAGTACTAGGGAAAGCTCTGCCTTGTTGAAAGAGTTGTCCTTCGGATGAAACGTTATACTAAAGTTTATTTACAGAAACAGTCACTTCATGTGATAGCAATTACTGTGAAGCACTTTGAGATGTTTTGATGTTGTAGGCTTTTATAAATATGTAAATTCTTTCTTTCTCTCTTGTTGGATGAAAAATCAACCAACTTGGCACAGAGCAGGGATTAAGCTCACTGCTTTATGTGGCTCAACAATAGCATATAGCTGCTGTTAGCCTGAACTATTGGGAACCCTCTGATTTGCAGCTAAAAAGAGATTTATGAGGTTATTAATAGCAAATGAAGGCTTAAAAATGTGCGTGTTTCACAAATGAGAACTGTTCTTTTTGTAAGAAAGTGATTAACATCTTTTGATACAAGGTGGGAGTAATCTACTGTGAAGGACATTATTCATTCAAAATACTTGGAGGTTTAAAAACACATTATCAAATATAAGAGGTTAAAGAGCCATAAAAAACCTCAGCTTGAATATGCTCCACATGACAGTCATGGTTAGAAAAATGGTGACAGGTTCACATATTTGCTGCCATGTTTGATATTGCCGATCTGTTATCTTTAGAAACACTTTGCTCTTTGCCTGGGGCTAAAATAGAAACCTTTTAACCCAAAAGCTGATGGTATCTGAAACGTTCACTGGATATGAATTGCTTGTGTCAGGAGTTTGGAGACGGTTGGGCGAATGTGTGTTATTTCTGCGCGTCCCGCAGACCTTCTGCAGTGCACACCCATGTTCAGAAATAATCAAATGTAATTGTGAGGCACGTTAAATCGAGCCAGCTTTCCCAATGGCACTGACCGGACACTGCTTTGCTTTCTCTGGATGGGATCCAGTGATGTCATGTAATTTTAACCAAAAAGAAAATCTGTAAATATTCAATAAAATTCCAATTTTGACCTTACATTATTTTTCTAACTGCTCAGCTTGTCTGTCCAACCGAGCTTTGATCTCATTTGAGGCCACACTGCAAGAGCCTGGATAAAGAGCCATATTTTCCTGTCAGCTGATTGGGGTCCTCTGTTCTGTCATTGCCATTGGAATCTATTGGGGTTTTCACCATCTTGCCTGTGATTTGTTTTCCAAGTGCTGGCTAGGAATAAATTTTGTTAAGGAATTGGCTTTGGAAACTGCTGCTGCCGCTGCCTTGGGAAGATCCATCTTTGTAATGGGTTTGCTGGGGAATTTAATGGGAATTGTCTCAGCGATTACTGAGGAAAAGATCACAAGAGTAGTTCAGATGAAGAAGGCCCTTCGGTCCATTTGATATCATCTTTTGAAAATACCCACCCGATCGTCAATCCACAACAGCATCCAAACGCTTTTTCAAATGCACCCTGGTCTTAACCACATCTCCTGGTGACAAACTTCAGTCCTTAATTACTGGACCTTCCTGTTAGTACTGTACTCGGATGTTCCAGTGCATGGATTGGTAGCTGAACAAACATCATGCAGTAGACTTCCATGAGGGCCCAGGATTGTATGTTTTCAGAGATCGCACACAGTTTGGAATTCAGCTTTCTTCTTGGTCAGTGTTAAGGCTGCTCCACAATTGGAATTGTGATAAAGTATAAAGACGATCCCTTTATGTACCTTTACGTACCTTTCTCTCTCATCAGGAGTCCTGTAGCTCAGTGGTTAGAGCACTCGCTTTGCAAGCGGGAGACCTGAGTTCAACTCCAGACAGGGCGAACCCTTGGACAAGTTTCCTTTCTCCACACCCCTAATAATAATCCCTCCAAAAAAAAAAAATAATAAATTGGTCATTTTCAATCTACGACTGTTTGTGGGACATTGCTGTGCGCAATTGGCTGCCGGTTCACCCACAAATATACAGTCACTTAATTTTACAGTGTGTTCTGTGAAGCGCTTTGGGACATCCTCCCGACGTGAAAAGCGCTATATCAAATGCAAGGATTATTATTATTATTATCAAGCTGGGAGGTGTCTGTGCTGGGCAACAGGACACTTCACACACTGCGACCATCAACACCCTCAAACCATGTAGATGGAGTGAGTGCTGAAAGGAGCAGTTTAGAGGAATCTTTATTCAAACCCATGCTGTACCTGGCATGGGAGTGCTTGAGGGAGCAGCATTGAGGGGCTTTACTCTCTACCTGCAGTCCAACAATTGGTAGTAGTCTTAACAATATATAAATATATAACAGTCCCTCCCGTTTTCTTTTTGGGTCAGCCAAAAACCCAGAAACCCATCACCATGCTTAAGAGTATCCAAACAAAGCTGAGATTTCTATGCACCCCACCTATACCAGAGACAGATTGTTGGAATGGAATGCACACTCTCTGCCTAATTCCGGAAAGTATTAGGGGCAAGAGCCAAGGATTGGGAACCCCAGAGTGTGCGTTGGGAGTTTAGCATGCCATTGGTATTGCTTTCCCGCTGCTTATCCGGCTAAGATCACCCTACCCAGTAGGGCTTTGGCTAGCAGGAATAACATGAGCTGAGTGGGATAACTCCTATTCCTGAATATCTGCATTTCTACGAATGAATTCTATGTGTTAAAGTATGTTGGGTCCTAAACTCCAAGGATGCAGTGACACCAATGTAGCCTGCCACATGACCTCCTGATCCTAATGTAACTCTTGAGGATGTTAGCAGAGGAATCACCTCTTCCATGTACACAGAGTCCTTACAGACATCAGCCATGATTTAATAGTGCTGACTTCCAGAACTAAAACCAGGTAAAAAAGCATACTGTCAAACAGCTTTGAATTTACGAAATTATGCTGATCATCACCAGACCAGACATGTTCACTCCTCCATGGGGCAGAGCTAGACAACAGGGTGGGCTCAGGCTTCATTTCACTTCATTGTTTTGTGCCTGTGCCATCAGAGAGTTGCGCTTTGGTTTGATACTGGAAGCAATCCCATTGATATCCATTTACCACTGCAATGGGCTCACTGCATTGGAGCCTTGCTCATTGCGGAAGCCGTTCATTTATTACACCTGATGTTTTATGGCAGGGACTGTCAGGAAAGACCACCCGAGTTTATTCAGAAGCTTTACTGTTAACTTGGGAACTGTATGAGGCTTTTCCTCAATTCATTAATAATAATAATAATCCTTGCATTTGATACAGCACCTTATCATGTCTTTGCAACGTCTCAAAGCGTTTCACCGAATATACTGTAAAGTGAATTGACTATATATTTTGTGGGCGAAATGCGGCAACCAATTGTGCACAGCAGTGTCTCACAAACAGTCGTGGATTGAAGTGATCAATTTTTTTTAGTAAATATTACCCCCGGAAAAGCGATCCGCCAATCAATTAACAATCGGGTTCCTACTTACTGCCGGGAATCGAACCCAGGTCTCTTGCTTGCGAGGCAAATGCTCTAACCACTGAACTACAGGACTCCATTACTTGAAGCTTTGCCACCCTCTTACCTTCTGTTAATGAAAACAGTGTGACGTGATTAGTTTTTACTTGTTTTAACGATTTCAGGCAACTTTCAAACGTTTTGATCAGAATTCTCTGATTGTTGAAATAAACAGAGGTGGGGGAGGGGGGAGTTTGTCAGGTTCTCTGCTTTGCAAATCCACCCATTTTCAACGACAACAACAATTTGCACTTACATAGCCCCTTTCACGTCGGGAGGACATCCCAAAGCATTTCACACAGCAATGTTGCCTTTTCATTGCAAGGTCATGGCTTATTGACAGCCAGAATACCAACCAGATCTTTTATTTGCCTTAATTTGCTTCTTAGCCAGGATTAGAGGAATTACTGAGTTAACGTTTCAGGTCAATGATCTTTCGTCAAAACAAAAGGTCATTAACCTGAAACGTTAACTCACTTTCCTCTCTCCATAGATGCTGCCTGACCTGCTGAGTGTTCCCAGTGACTTCTGTTTTTATTTCAGATTTCCAGCATCTGTATTTTGCCTTTTGTTTAGCAGAACTACTGGTGGATTCCAGAGACATTATGCCTTATATTATTTCTCCAGACTTTCTTTGCTATGCTATAAAACTTCAGATAATAAAACAAATGAACTTTCCCACTGAATCATTGCAATCTTTCACACATTATTGGTGCAATTTATAGTTTTACTCAATGATTAACATCATATTTATTATTATTCATCGTCCTTATTGTGAACAAGTGAACCAATAGAGTTTTGTTACAAGCAAAAAGGCTTTTTCACAATTACTGCAAATATAAAAGTGTCCATTTAACATAGATACCTGCGTGCCACATCTCGCCTGATCTTACATTTTATGTATATTTTAATCTTTCCTCTTTAAAAACCTAACTAAATTTAAATATTTATACCAGCGCTTCCCTGTGTGAGGAACTCTCAATAACTAGCCTGCAGTGAAACAACTTGTGATCAGGCTGTATCAGGGTGCTATATATGTCTGTATCTAAAAGTGCTGTTTTAATGTATAGCCCTATACATGTTGTAAGGTCCAGGAACACAAATACACCCTCCATTACCCGTCTCTCCTGGAATGCTGTGTGACCTGCTTTGAAATGAATCTTTTTCAGTTCAGATGCTCAAAAACTGTCCTGGCAACGAGCACCCAGATTTGGAGTTGTTTTGATAAGTTTCGAGAGAGGTCTGCATAAGGAAGAGAGTAATTGTCAGGGATGAATTTCTGGGAGATTAGAGGTCAAGGAGGTAACAGCCGGACTGCAACCATCCATTTTGGCTTTGACAACATTGAATGTGTCAAAGTCGAGCCGATCAATCTGTGGCCTCTTGTCCTCGTAAAACTAATCCTACTCTCATAAGATCTGACTTCATATCCATTTCACATAGGTCAGCGTGTGTAGCAGATTTCTTCTTCGCGCCAGCTTTATTGAATTAAATGAAAGTGACTTAATCCGCCAGGACCAATAAGTCTGATGTGGAAATGGGTGTTGGTTGTAGCTGAACTTTCTTGCACAATTCAGGGAAAAAACATTTGAGACAAAGGGAGCTTTACTGAAATTGTTTGCATTTTTATTACATTATTTACTGTGATAAATAACTTTTTCAACACCTATTAAATATTCCAATATTCTAACCTGTCTTGCCTTCCCTTCTCCTCCTCCACCTCTCTCCTCCTTCCAGATGTGTGTGCCCCGAGGGCTTTGAGGGACAAGTATGTGATCAAAATGCCGACGATTGTGAGGACAACGATTGTGAAAATAACTCCACCTGTGTGGATGGGACCAACAACTATGTGTGTCTCTGCCAACCCAACTATACAGGTACCAATTCCAAAGCATCTTTTGTAAAGTGTCTAATGTAACCATTGTGGTACAAGAATAGGCTTTTACCTACTTAAAAGTTAAAGTGATAAATTTGAACCAATTTGGCCCATTCCCCGTACATTGTAATTTCCTTTCCACCCTCCCTTTCCCCAGCCCAATGGACCTGGCTATTTACTGTCATCTTTTCAGAACACCCATGTGCAGGATGTTTATTCTGGACTGGCTTCAAATTTGCATATTTAGCAACAGTTAGAATCAAGCCAGCCCTCGTGGCAATCTCCTCGTCCAGTTCCTGAGCCAGGCGGGTCTGCGGTACTCCAGGGCACTACTGATGACAGCTCAGTCAGCCGAGCTCATCGGCAGGACTTGAAAGGGAAAACCAGTCCCTGGGGGCAGCAATTCTTCCCACTCAGAGCCTATTAACCCTGTAAGCTATTAGCTCTAATGAGAAGGGTGGTCGCTGCACAAGCAGTGGGAAACCTTGCCAGACAGTGATATCAATGGCAACCTATTGCAGCTCCAGCTGTATTCCAATGCACTCTCTGGGTTCTCCAAGCCTTGGCTCTTGCTAACCTGCACCTATTGCTTAAAGAAATTAGGTAAACAAGATACATCCCTCCAGGGAAAGTCTCAATTCCATTCCAATAATATCTCAGGAATTTACATGTGTAGGTGGGATATATGGAGCTCTCATATTGGTTTGGATACTCTTAAGCATGGTGATGGGTGTCAGACACACAAACAAAAGCCACACTAAAGAAACAATTTTCCCATATTGTGTCAGCTAACTCAGTAAAGGAATGAACAGCGGGATTATCCTTCACTATGACGCTTGTGGTGGATTTTTGCACTGAGCCAGGGGTGGATTTGACTGTTTTTTTAAAATGTTTAGTTCCTAAAATATTTACTGTAAGGAGGAATAAATAGGCCTGCAAACAGGATACACTCCTTCCGTCTGTACCTCATGAAAGGTGCGTTCCTTATAAACTGATACAAGGTAATAATATACAGCTTCAAAATAAATTGAGGAAGTGTCAGGGAAGTGTTTTAGATTTTCTTGGTGGAGTGTTATGTGAATTTGAGCTTTCCCAATGTACCCACATGTGTGGATTCTTTTCATGCTGAAGCCTGACATGTGATTCCCAGGCAAGGATCAGCTCCTATATAAACCACACGGGATGGAGTCTATAAAAGGGATTATAATCAGAGGTCAAACAATTGAATTTTCCTAATTCTAACCAGATCAGATACAAGCCAGATGGTACAGGGATTTTTATCACCTCTGTCCTAGACACACAAAATGCTCTCTCCTCAGCTAGGAAATGGACAACAACACAGCCAAGGAGAGGATTCAGCTAGCATGACAGTAGAGATCAGAGGTGTGAGTTTTATGAAGAGAGAGTTAAAACATTGGAACTGTTTTTGCTGGAGGAAATAAATCTAAGGGAGGATTCAAGTTTTGAATTTAGGTTCTGATAGAATAAATACAGAATGGTTGGTCAGGAACACAATAATAATAATAATTCTTGCCTTTGATTTGGAACCTTAACACATCTTCGAGATGTCTCAAAGCGCTTCACAGAATATACTGTAAAGTGAACTGACTGTATTTTGTGTAGGCGACATAAGGATAATCACAGAAGAAACAAGGGGGAGATTAGAATAAATAGCCATTGAAATTATGTCCAAAGCAACATTTTAAAGGGAATTGGATAGCGAGTTGAACAAACATAATATTGATAAGGTTATGGAAAGTGTGGGGAGGGTGGGGGCGGAGCAAGAGAATGAATTAAACAGACAACTCCAGTGGGGGAGTAAACATCAGCTCAGATAGACTGAATGGCCTCCTTCTGTGCTGTAAACTTTCAAAGATTCAATGGGAACATAGTTTGAAGGATGAAGAGACCAAAAACATTATTGGCTTCTGCCTCTTTCAATGGAGCTCTAGACATCTAATGCTCATTTGACACTTCTGCCTCTGGATTCAGAGTTTCCTGAATGGATAGGATTAACCTTCATTTCACATCGGGTCCTTAATAAGGAATCCGAGTATCGCAAATAAGGTAAACCCTGTGGCACACCTTTCAGCAACCGCAAATGAATCAAATTGACGAGATTCTAACAGGATTGGCTATTAAAAAAAGAGTAATACCTGCTACCATTTCTCCACAGGTGAGCTGTGTGAAGAGGTTGTGGATCTGTGTGCCCGAGGGTTTAACCCGTGTCAGCATAACTCCAAGTGCATCTCCAGAGGCAGGACGCATAGGTGAGTATGTCAATACTCTGCACCAAAGAGTTTCCCCACCAGCACCATCGCACCATCCCTTTGCTCCTGAATGACTGCCTATGCAGCTGTAACCTGTCTGAGTGTTATCTTTGGGATATGCAGATCTTCATTGCCTCAGACGCTATGTCACAAGTTCACCAGACGATGTGGGCACATAGGGGATTGTTGGAATGTGGAATTCTCTGCCACAGACCATTGCTGAGGCAAGGTCCATAAATTCTTTTAAAAGGGAATTAGATTAGACACATGAAAAAGAGGAAGATGAAGGGTGATGGAGATCGAGCAGCAGAGTGCATTAGCGGCTCATTTGGAGAAATACAATACCAATGATCTATTTCTATTGTATTGTGGCTCTGGAACCCTGAATGAATTGAGTATTGTATATCCTCATGCTGAATTGGCCTCCTCTCCGTTGCTAATAGCAAGGCAACAATACTTATATAGCACCTTTCATGTCGAGAGTACATCCCAAAGCACTTGAAAATTCTGTCTGAAGCTGAGCTTGGGAGCCAAGGAAATGAGGAGGGGAAAGATGATGAAAGTGCAGTCAAAGAGGTACATGGACCTTGAAAGAAGGGAGGGAGCAATGTGCTATGAGGTGGAGGTGATGAGGTGGAGGGATTTGGGAGAGAATTCCAGAAAGTGAGTTTTAGTCACTGAAAGCTTGGCCACTAATGGTGGGAAGAAGGGAGCGGAGTCGGTACAACTGGATGTTTCCTCCCCTCTGAGGTTGTTGATCTGAAAGCTGTGTGTGCCTCTGACAGGTGTGAGTGTTTGCCGGGATATGTCGGTGAGCACTGTGACACGGACTACGACGACTGCACGGATCATAAATGCCGACATGGTGCAAAGTGTGTAGATGCCATTAATGGCTACACCTGTGTTTGTCCAACTGGCTTCAGGTAAGCAAAGTGTTTTCAAGCCAGGAATAGCAAATCAGCAATTTTATGATTTTTTTAATAAATAAAATGCAACCACAATACACTGGATTACACTGCGAATCCAGGTCATTAATGTATACAAGGAAACAGGGGAGTACAGTACAGACCCATGAGGCATTCCACTTAACACCTCCCCCTATTTTGACCAAACTCTCTTAACTACCTACTGCTTCCATCCTTTCAACCACTTTCCATACTGCATCTTGTCCTTGACTCCCAGTGACATCAGATTAATCCTCCGCTTATCACCTAAACCACACACTGATAGTCATCGCCACAGCAACCAGACCTCTAATCACCCGCTCCTTTTGGATGTTTTACATTGCATGTTTCTCCGAGGCTCTGCACAAAATGGTTGCCAGATTGCCTGCACAAACTGTCACTAGACATGACAGTAATCAATGTAAAATGCCCTGGGATATTTGCATGTGGTAAGGAGCTATAGAAATGAAAATAAAACCTGCACTATGGTGACTGTAAGAAATAGCACCTCTCCCCATCCCTCCAAACTGACCTCTTAATTGACCGAGGTGTCTCAAACCATCTTTTATCACAAATTAAACCCCAGTGTGAGAGTTAAACAACTTTACTAATCTCATCGAATTGTCCATTGCTTCTGAAAGGGCTATGACACTCGCACTATTTGTGAAGTGGTATCAATTGTATGGTTCTCTGAACAAACCTGTGTGAAAATCAATCATGTTTAAACAGTCTTTAAGGCCCAGCTCATTAAAGAGCTGGGGAACTCTCAACCTGCTGTTACCCTCAGTTTGGTTACTAGTGAGATCATCACTCTGATGTTCTCACCTTTCATCTCCACAGTGGACTCTTCTGTGAGCTGCGCCCTCCCATGGTCCTGCCCCGCACTACTCCGTGTGACAGCTATGAATGTCAGAACGGGGCTCAGTGCATCGAGGTAGAGAAGGAGCCCGTGTGTCAGTGTCTGGCCGGCTTCGTGGGGCCGAGGTGCGAGAAGCTCGTCACCGTCAACTTCATCGGCAAGGACTCGTACGTCGTGCTGTCTGCCTCAAAGGTCCGGCCTCAAGCAAACATCTCGCTTCAGGTAAGAGTTCTCACCACTTGGTATTCCACTCTGCACCATTTCTGTAGCCATCGGGGTGATCTGAAATGCTCCTGTCACACTGGGTTAACATGGGTTAGCTACAGAAGAAAGATCTCTTGGAATTGCTCCATCCAGAACTTCCAGGTCAGTTACAGCACAGGTTAGGTGCAGCATAAAGCTCCCAATATACTGTCCCATGCATTGCTCCCGGTTCAAGTACATCAGTGGGTTAGGTGCAGAGTGGATATCCTTCTGGTTTTCCAACTTGGATGATAGTATATATAGTATAATATATAGTATATCATCCAACATGGATGATAGTATATGTTTACACCAGTGAATTTACCATCAGAGCCATGCGTAGGACAAGGTGCAAAGCTGAGGACAGGCTTTCCTATCAACTTTTTCACACGGCAAGTTGTTCAGATATGGAATGCATTGACTAAAAGGGTGGTGGAAGCTGATTCGATAAGAACTTTTAAGAGAAAAGTAGATAATTATTTGGGGGGGACAAGTTTGCAGGGTATTGGGAGAGAGTGGGGGAGTGGGATTGATTTAGATAGCTCTTTTCAAAGAAAGAAAAAAATGGGCTGAATGGCCTCCTTCCTTCTGTGCTGTATAATTCTATGATTCTATGATTAGGGGAGATGCAGAATCAAAAGGAGTTATCAACCCTCTAGAGCTCCTCTTAGTGCTGAATCTAAGAACAACAGTGGCAAAGACCTGTATGTAGCATTCTTGCTCCTCTGGTTCCTGAGGCATTCTGTGCAGGTTGGGAAGGGGAAGGGCAGGAAAAGAGAGGAGAAATGCTTCAGTGAAGGTGTACATATCAGGCCTTGCTCCTGAATGTTGTTTAATGTTCCCAGAGAATGCTCTGATGTCCCCGATCTCTATGCCTCAGGTTGCTACTGACAAAGACAATGGCATCTTACTCTACAAAGGTGACAATGATCCTTTGGCTCTGGAACTCTATCAGGGACATGTGCGGCTCATGTACGACACATCCAGCTATCCCCCAACCACTGTGTACAGGTGAGTCCTGGATATCCTGTTACCTACAGGATTTCTCTTTGAACCACATCTCTTTGCTTCATTTCACTATACCCCTGCCACCTATTCACCCTCTCTCTACCCAATCCCCCCTCTAAACCCCACCCCCACCCCCCATCCACCTCAGCGCAATGAGTTGAGGTCTCTTTTTACTAACTCAGGTCCCAGGGTGTAATGGATTTATTGGTGGGGCTCCAGCAACAGTATTGGTGTCATGTTTACCAACTAAAGTTTAGTCACTCCAGTACACAATAATAACCTGCAGAGCATTTTGGGACATTTTGACGTGATGAGGTACTACAAAAATGCAAGTTCTTTATTGAGGCCACGATAACGGAATCTAATTTGTGTTGTCTACACACTGAATTTGTTAGGTTAATTGCAATTTCCGATTTTACGAAGTTGGGTCAGTTGCACAAATTGAAATTCATAATAATATTAATAATATAACAAATCAGTTTCACAGCTATCACACACTAGATTCTAGTGAGAGCACAAGTGACACTTGCAGATCTCCGAATAATTTATCTCCTTTATATTTAAAGAAAAATGCAACTGGTTAACAGGAAGATGTGAAAGCAGCACTTTTTTTAAGGATCTCCTTAATCCCTATTACCATACAGCATAGCTTATTATCCAGGAGATACTTTGAAAGGTGACAGCTTGGGGCAGACCCCTGCACTTGCCTGTCCATCACCAAATGTCACAGTGACAGCCACTCGCTCCCCGATCTGATGACTTTTATAGATTGTCTGTGCGTATGAAGAGCAGAGCAAGAAGAAGGAGCGGAGGTTCTAATTGTATTGATAAAGAAAGAGGTCGTCACTCACTATGGCGTCTCATTAACATAAGATTAATGGCTTCATACCTGCTTTGAGCTGATGCCACGGAAATTAATTCAACCAGTTAATGTGTTACCCTTTATTAAATGTCACGCTGTTATCTTGTTAGCTCAGGGGGAGAGATGGAGCAGGATTTAAACAGTGGAGGCAAATTAAATCAGAACTGTAAGCGAAACAATCACATTTGATCGCTGTCCCCTTGGCTGTTGCTTACTCTGTTCCTTTCCTCATGTTAGTGTCATCAAAGGTTCCCCCAGACGTATCCTCTGATATAGTCAACAGCAATCCCCTGTTTCAGCAAAATTAATTTATACAAATAGAAAGGCTTTTGAGTAACTTCTTGTGCTGGCCATCAATTGGTTAACTAATGGCACAGAGTTTAGCCACTAACCAGCTAGAAGGATCTGAGGCTACTGAAATTCCTCTCAGTTTTAGCCTAAAGGATGGAGGAAAAGTTTAGAAGAGAAAACTCAAACCATGAAATGGTTAATTGTTTGTAGCTGAGCAGGAGATGCCGTTGGCGTTTGTACCTTTTGTTTCAGGTTTAATTCTCTCAACGTCTTCACCCCAGCCCATTTCTATGATCCCTGTAACCTGATCGCCCTGACCATTCCCTTCACGCAGAGATTCCCTGCTTCATACCTGTCCTGCCCCAGCATCATCAGGCAAGCTGTCAGCTCGGTTTCTGCACTCTACAATTTCATCCCGGAGTCCCTCTACCTCACCCCTTTCCCTCCCCACCTTTAAAGCCCGCCTAAGGACCTTCCTTGTCAAATACACTTTTGGTCACCTCCCTTTCCACCCCACCCCCAACTCCCCTCCCCTCCCAGAGTTCCCATTTTGGGATGTCCCCCTGACGTGAAAAGGTCTATGTTAATGTACATAAAATTGTTGTGGTTTTTGTACCTTTCATTTGGTCGGGGTGAGAACTCGCAGATAAAACAAAACCTGCTTCATTTCCTTCATCCAGAGCCAAACCACTGTCTCCTGCTTACTGACACCATTGGGATTCACCTGGGGCTCTTGAAACAAGAGCAGAAAGTGTAATTTGTCTGCGGGAATTAGACGTCTTTTCGGTGATGTAAGCTTCAGAGACAGATGATCATGTTACAGAGAACTTCTTCAACAATTATCCGTTTCTATGGGGCTCCTTCACACAGAGAGTAGTTTCAGTCTCACTGCTGTCCTTAGTCACAGTAACTGAGAGGCAGAGGGTGTTTACAACACATTATATTTATATAGCGTTTTTCACTTCAGAAAGATGTTTCAATTTGCTCGACAGTTGGGGATTGGAATGCCTTGAGCTGGGGATTGGAATCAAGAGGGGAGTGGGAGTGTGGCTGAAGGCATGGTCAAAGAGGAAGGTCTTGAGACAGCTTTGAAGGAGGCAAAGCAGGGGGCGAGATGGAGGGATTTGAGAATGGAGTTACAGTTATTACCCAGAATCGGAGTCCTGTAGCTCAGTGGTTAGAGCACTCGCTTTGCAAGTGAGAGACCTGGCAGGGCAAAACCTTGGGTAAATTTCCTTACTTCACACGCCTAATAATAATCCCTCCAAAACAAAACAATAATAAAAATTGGTCATTTTCAATCCACGACTGTTTGTGGGACACTACTGTGCGCAATTGGCTTCCGCATTCACCCACAAATATACAGTCAATTCACTTTACAGTATATTCTGTGAAGTGCTTTGAGACGTCTAGAAGACGTGAAAAGCGCTATATCAAATGCAAGATTATTGTTATTATTAATCTGCAAGCTTCTCTCACCTCCCTCTGCTTTGTGTTTAGTGTTGAGACCATCAACGACGGGCAGTTCCACATGGTCGAGCTGGTGATGATGAACCAGTCGTTAAGTCTTGTGGTAGATAAAGGAGTACCGAAGAGCCTGGGGAAGCTGCAAAAACAACCCACCCTTAACATGAATTCCCCGCTCTACATCGGAGGTAGGTAGCCCTGTTATTAATTCTCTCCCAGAGGCAGTGCATCTGTAAGGGGAGGTCATTACAGCCAAACTTGATCCTGATACACACGCACACATAGACACATACACATGTGTATGCATATACACACTCACACGCACTTGCTAGTCGAGGTCTCTGGACAGCAGTCAGCAATGAGAGATCTGACTGCCCAAGGTCACTTGGCATTAGATCCAACTACAGCTCCAACCAAAGCCCCGCTGAAATCAGTAATTCAGCACAGATCAGGATCTGTAGGGCTCACCTAACGACACCATAAACCCACTGAATTCTATCGTCTTCTGGGCATTTGTGGTCAACATTATCACAAACCTCTTTATTTTTCTAATCTTTTTTCCTTATCTATTAATTATTAATCTATTGGTATCGACAGTGTCAGCCGGGCTGAGTTGGCTGGCACTCTCGCCTCTTGAGTTATGAAGGTTGTGGGTTCAATCCCCACATTGGATCTTTGAGCTCCCAGTCTAGGCTGGCACTCCAGTCAATACTGGGGGAGTATTGTGTTGTTGGATGAAACATTCAGTCAAGAACGTGTCTGTCTGTTCAGCTGGATGATAAAGATCGCATGACACTCTTTAAAAAGAGAAGGGAGTTGCTTACCATATCCCAGTCAACAATCCTTGAATATAATTGGTCATTCACTTCAAGGCTGTCTGTGAGACTTTGCTATGTACAAAGATAATTACACTTTCTGTACACTGTGAGTGAATTGTGAAGTTTTGATGCTTATAAGTGCTATATAAAGTGCAAGGAATTTTCCAAAACAAATGTGTCTCTATGTCTCTCTGTTTGTGTGTCTTTGTCTATCTTCTGTGTCTCGCTGCCTGTGCCTCTCTGTCTGTCTCTCTTTTATACACTTGAATCAATTCAAGTGAATTCAGGGTCTACAGCCTTTATGGGCAGTATGTTCTACATTCTCACATCCCACTATATTTGAGGAAGTATTTTCTGATCTCAATGACCAGTGTTGCTCTAATTTTAAGACTGTGCTATCTTGTCCTCTTTATTGTTGAAGGAATCCCCCCCATCTCGGGGGTCTCAGGGGCTGCGGCTCTGCGCCAGGGGCCAGAGAGGAACTTGAATGGCTTCCATGGGTGCATTCATGACGTGCGAATCAACAACGAGCTGCAGGATTTCCAGCACCTGCCCAAAATGCCCTTGGGGGTATCGCCTGGGTGTGGGTCTTGCAACATCTGTAAACACGGGACCTGCCGCTCCGTCCAACAACCTGGGGTTATGTGTGACTGCCACCTGGGCTGGACAGGGCCCCTGTGTGACCAGGAAATCAACAACCACTGCTCCAAGTAAGCTGAACAATTTTGGGGAAAATTGGAGAGAGACACAGGCAGAGAGACATTGGAAGACAGATAAAGGCACGCAAAGAAACAGACAAATTGAGTGTTCTGGAAGGATGAGATCAGATGGGTCGAAGGGCACTTTTCTTTGAACCAATCTTGAGATCTTACAAGAAGTAAAAAATCTGTGTTTGCAGTTGTCCTGTGCAGGTTTGCTTTGCTGCCAGATGATGATGATGTTTCACTGTGTCCATCACTTTTATTCTGTAATAACCATTTATGTGCTACAATAGCACCACCTGCTGTCGACGCACATCCCCTTCAATAGAGAAATGGTTTTACTGTGTTTTAAGCTTAAACGCATGATAATAATAATAATAATCCTTGCATTTGATGTAGCGACATCTCATAGCGACAGAATATACTGTGAAGTGAATTGACCGTATATTTTTGGAGGAAAAGATTCATGATTGTGTTTTGCAGTTTTTACAGAAATGTGATTAGACTTTTGGGGGGTTTGGAGGAGTGAAAGCTGGGTTTTACCCAATCAAATCAGAGTTGTTTGGTTGATAACATGAATACAATTAATTGGCTAAAAGGTTTCACCTGTGCTGTAGATGGCTTATGGTCATCACTGTTTTATCTGGTGGATATATTGTAGCAAACATGATAAGTGTTCAGTGAGATCACTTCCCCCAGGAAGTTAACTGCGTCCTGCTGAGAGCCCTCAGCACCCCCTCATTAGAATGAATTCTGTATACAGTTACTTACTGATAATACAGTAAAACTCACGTAAGTCATATCAGTCAGGACCATCACACGAAATATGACTTACGCAAAGTCCGAGTTGCAGACAAGCGCACGTAAATCATACAAAATCCGATTTAATTAATAATCTACGCTGCGTACTTGGTCCCTGCAACTAATAAGTACGCGTGGGGAGACGTTTTCCATGGTTCAATGGGTCTTGACCTGTCACAGCTTTACCACTTGCATCGCATTGAAATCGCATTGAATGGTGGGAAATGAAGTTCTTCTGCGCATGTATTGATGGATCAGGACTACGTTTCCCGCGATTCAATGCAGCCGGTAAGTGTGGACGTGGAAGCGTAGCATCGTTAAGATCGTGGAGATGATTAACATGATTAATCTAGAGAAATCTAAGTGGTTTTGATAGGAAACTGAATGCGACTCGAGTGTATGTATGACTTGGGCGATTATACAACTTATAAAGATAATGCTGATGCGAGCTTCTCCGTACTCTGTGCAGACTGTGCCCCAGATCAGCTCAGGAACAGCAGCTCAGTGTCTGTTCAGCACAAGAGTTCTAAGCAAGTCGAGCAGTTATAGCCTCTGGATCTTTGGGGCCTGGTTGACTTGTTTTGTGTCTCTTCCCAGGTGTGTCCATGGCTCGTGCCTGCCTTCCGATCCCGGCCAGCGCTGCGTGTGTAATGAGGGCTATACCGGCAGGTTCTGCGACAAGGAGGAGCTGACAGACCGCTGCCAGGATGTGTGGTGTCACCACGGCCGGTGTAAGAGCTCTGTGCAAGGAGAGGCGCGCTGCGAGTGTGACACCAACTTCACCGGAGAGAACTGTGAAAGAGGTGAGGAGCAAGACTGACCAGACCCATCACACAGACTCACTGCTGAGCCCCATGCAACTCAGGAACTCTGGCCATTCTAATGGGCTTCACACCGTTGTAGACAGCCACAGGACCCTTATTCACTGCCCGCCTGGGGCTAGTACCCAGTTCTTACTACTGCAAATGATTATAAAAGAACAAGCGTGAACCATCTGGTTTGCCAAGCCTGCTTATTACATCACAGCAGCTCTTCATCTTTCCTCATCTTCATGCTCCTCAATGCGATTTGTGTTCACAACATTTACACTGCAGTAGGTGTGAGTCGCACACTTTCTAAACAGCAACCTCTGGTGTAAACAATAACCGTCCTTGCATTTGATGGAGCCCCTTTCACACATCAGGAGGGCATCTCAAAGGATTTTACTGTAAAGTGCAGGGACTGTGTTGCATTTGATATAGCTCTATATCATTAAGACGTTTCAAAGTGATTCACAAATAAACCATAAAGTGAATTGACTGTATACTTTGTGGCCATTTGTGGCAGCCAATTGCGCTCAGCAGTGCCCCACAAACGGTGGTGGATTGAGTAACCAAATTATTATTATTATTGATTTTAGTTATTTTGAAGGGAGTATTATTACACCCGGAAAGGTAATCTGCCAATCGACTAATTACTAGGTTTCTACTTACTGCTAGGTAAACAGCAGCGTGTAGAGTAAGAAACCTTGCCTAAGGTTTCTCCCTGCCCGAGAATCGAACCTGAGCCCTCTCGCTTGTGAGGCGAGTGCTCTAACCACTAAGCTACAAGGCTCCACATGTAGCAGAGAATACAATGCCTTTGTGGTGATGGTGGATTGGGAACAATGGTTGCGCACTGTCCTGTGAAGTCACAGCTGATGGTGCCACAGTGGGCCCTGGAGCTAACCACAAATTTTACTTCACTTTGCAGAGCTCCCCTGTCAGGGAGAGATGATCCGGGACGTGTACAGGAAGCAGCAGGGCCACACCTCGTGCCAGACCTCCGCCAGAGTGCCACGGCTAGAGTGCAAGGGGAGCTGCGGGAGCGGCGGCTGCTGCGTGCCTCTACGCAGCAAGCGGCGGAAATACGCCTTCCAGTGCACGGACGGCTCATCCTTCACGGAGGAGCTGGAGAGGGTGGTGGAGTGCGGCTGCTCCACTTGTTCCTCATAGAACTCAATAAGAAGCGGGTGTTAACATCAGCCCCCGCCTGCACCACCCTGGGAGCTCTTCACTTTCACAGTGGACACAAGCGAAATGGAAATATATTGTAAGATAACAAATAGAACCTATTTTTATTATAAAAAAGGACTATTTCCCTCAGTTAATACAAAATGTATCTCATTGTCTGGGTATATATATATATCATATTGTGTTTTTTGTCGAGAGTTTTTTTTTAACCATTTATTAACCTAACAGAGGAATTCTAGCAGAACGCCAGGCTGCCCTGATTGGTGGCCGGCTTGCTTGCTTTGAGAACGTTGACTCTCGAAGGTGTCACCTCTGGTATCCAACTCTGAGATCGGGTGTGTTCAGAGAGGCTGAAACCTGGAGCGCTTCAGTTACCCACATCAGCGGAGCCTCAGCGGGAATGGTTGTGACCCTTTGTTTAACTATGGCTTCACCTCACCAGCGCAGGTCTCCATGGAGCACGTGGAAGAACTCATGCACACAAAATGACACGTAATGTTACAGGTGTACAGGCAGAATGACCGTGATACTATGATATACACAGAATGACATGCGATGTTACGATATGTATATGCAGAACGACATGATGTTAGGTATGTACACATAGAATGACGTGATGTACACAGGAAATAATAGATGATGACAATCCCAACTGTATTTTAAAATAATAATCCGTTCATTTGATTTAGCGCTTTTAAAGTCGAAATGTCACTAAGTACTTCAGAGCTTTTCTGTAAAGTGTAGTGACTGTATATTCATAGGTGAACCCAGCAGCTAAATTGTACTCAGCAATGTACTACGAACAACCATGTGACCAATTTTGGGGATTGTTGGCCAAGACACTGCAAGAAGCTTCCTTCTCTTTTTGTCTCCTTTTCTCTTTAACATCCACCTGAACAGGCAAACGGACTTCAGTTTAACATCTCACCTGACCTAACACTGCACTGGAATGTCAGTCTTCACTGTGAGCTCAAAGTCCCAATGTCAAGCTTGTACCCACAATGTTCTGACTCCAGTGTGAGAATACTACTAACTGAGGCAGGCTGACACCTGAAAAGAAAGAAAAAATCAAATAGAGATTAGTAATATTGGATTTAAGTGGCTCCTTGAAAACTCTTTCACTGAGTGTTTGCTCCCACCCATTTGCTGTATCTTCCAGGGCTCTGGTCTCCACGCTTTTTTAGTTTGTAGCTTCTGACTTCCCCATACCTTTGAGTACAGTGGAGATCTCTTTTCAGTCAACTGAAATCTTATTGATATCTGGGCCTGGGTGTGGGCCGGATGCCTCCATCTGCAAAGCTGTTGGAACTGTCCTAGGAAAAATGCCACTGCTTTATCCCTTCTTCATTCCACCTCTTGCCCGGATTCCCTTTTTACAGGAGCCAATGCTTCCCACACAAAGTGGCATTCAGAGATGGGATGTCTGGTATTGATCAGAAATGTTGCCCCAGAACCAGAACCATTGTTATTGAGCTGACCATGTTAATGTTGATTCACCAAACACTGTTTTGACCTGTTTTGATATTACCTGTGATATTGACCCAAATGCCTTATAGACTGTCTGTTCCTTGTTGTTGACCCAAGTGCCTTGCATTATAACCATTAATCGATATATTGACCATAGTGCCTTAAAATCAGTTCATTACTGTTGTATTGTTGTGTACCTTACAATCAGCCATATTACCTATTGTACTTACGGGTAGTCGTAATAATAATCAATGCATTTGATATAGTAATGCCTGTATTGTGTTAAAATGTCTCAGTGTTTCACAGGTAATTACTGTCAATTGTAGTGACTGCATATTTTGTCGGCAAGCATATAGTTTCTGATCAGAGTTGCTAAGTTGTTGCGCTGAGATCTAAACATTCTACAGTCATGACAGATGCTTGCTATCCATCACATCTGTGAGCCAAGGGCATCAACTTCACCAAAGGCTGGTGTGGTTAAGAGACAATGCTGGAGAAATTGTGGTAGAGTAATCAAACTGCAGAATAACGTTTGGTATCTGTATAAAAGCGCAGTGAAAATGTCACATGAAAATATAAGTATTGGAAGAAGGAAAGTTCTTTGTATTTCCAAAGGCTCTGACCTTTGTATATTGGTGTACAGTGTCCTGCCCTGTCTGGGTGGTGTACTGCAGGAATACACTCGTCTGAATATTGTTCCTAGACTTTAAAATGGGAAAAGCCACCAACAGTTTACAATTCACTGGTGCTCAACCCTTTATTCCTTTGTTTTACAAAACTATGTACATTTTTATGTTATATATTTTGTGAAATGCTACGTCTTGTAAAAAAAACAATAAATGAAAACTGTTTGCGCCAAAATGGTGAGATGGTAGTTTTATTTCAGTCCAATGTCAAACTCCAGGAGCCTGAGGATTCTCCCAAAACCAGCGCTGGTTTAATGTTAAAACCATTCTTCAGTGCCTTCCTTCTCTTAGGAAGTAATGATGGGTTCTTCAACCCAAGAAGTCGTGGGTGAATCATCTGCAAGGATTTGAAGGATTTCCAACCGTCATGAATACAGTGGAAGCCGCATTAACTGGCGGGCGGGTAAATTGGACAAAACGCCCGGCCCCGATTTATTTCTATTCTTACCTGATTTAAATATGCCTGTTAATTCATACAACAATACAGTTAATCCGGACAAATGCCGCGCTGGTCGCTGCTGAATGTACTCACTCATGCCTTCTGTGTCTCGAGTGGCTCCATTCAGTCACAAGCTGTTCCAGGATACGGGAGGAGTCAAATTGCGATTGATTGACAGTTGAAGTCGCTTGTGAATAGCTGGAGTGGGCGCCCGGCTACAGCTTCCATCATACTCACGACCTAACCGCCGCAGTGGTGGTGTGACGCTCATCTCCAGGTCCCCACTCGGCGTAACCCCCACTACTCCTCTGGAACCTCCCCCTCCTTCAGGCACCTTACCTGACAGGCTTACATTTCTCTATTTAAAGTGTGTCGAATCTCTGCTTCAGAATTTGAAAAATATTTAAGCTAATTAAATTTAATACATACACAAGCTACAATAATATTGTTCCTTCACCAGACAGATAACCCAATGAAATGTGGTAGTCTTTGATATGCCGGTGGATCTGATCGATATCCCTAAGATGTGACAATGATTTTTGCTATTGACTTTGTTGTTCAGGCTCTTCGTCATTTAATGTATCTTGCCTATTTTAATGAAAACAACTGCTTTGGTTAAGATTACGCTCTATTGGAGTGTTTTAATAGTGCTGATTTTCTAGCAATTTAGGATGTCAGTGTGGCTCAGTTGGAATTGCTCCTCCCTCACTTCTGGGTTAGAAGGTTGTGAGCTCAAAGCCCAATATTGGGTCTTGAGATTAATAGTCTAGACTGACAGTCCAGTGAAATGTCTAGTGAGTGCTGAATTATCAGAGGTGCGTCCATCGACTTTTGGGATAGAGAAAAGATCTCCTTTTTGTGCCTATTTTAGAATTCTTTAGAATATTTGTGGAGTCCTGCAGTTCAGTGGTTAGAGCACTCGCCTCTCAAATGAGAGACCTGGGTTTGATTCCCACCAGGGTGAAACCTTGGGCAAATTTCCTTAGTCCACAAGCCTTATAATAAACCCTCAAGAAAAAATAATAATAAATTGATCACTTCAATCCACGACTGTTTGTGGGACACTGCTGTGCGCAATTGGCTGCCGCGTTTTGCCCACAAATATACAGTCAATTCACTTTACAGTATAGTCTGTAAAGACTGAGACGTCTAGAAGATGTGAAAAACGCTATATCAAATGCAAGGATTATTATTATTATTATTTACCCTGCAGCATCCCGCCAACCTTTCCCTCAAAATTCTCCTTATTTACCCCAGTCCTTGCCAAACTCTCCTTATTATGCCCACAGCATGGAAGCAGCCTAGTCAAAGTCGCTAACGACATTCTGTCCATCTGCGACAGGGCTCTCTCTGCCCCCTCAACCTCTCTGATGTGTTTGACACAGTTGACTGTTCTCTCCTCCTCCACCTCCTCTCCTCTCAGCTCAACTTTCACGGACCTGCCCAAATCCTACCTCTCCCACCGTCCCCAATTTGTCTCCACTAATGGTTTATCTTCCAACCCCCGCACCGTCACATGTGGTGTCCCTCAGGGCTCTGTCCTTTGTCCCCTCCTTTTCAACATCTACACGCTCCCCCTTGATGATGTCATCCGTAGACATGGAGTCAACTTCCAAATGAATGCGAATGACACCCGACTCTAACTTTCTGCCACCACCCTTGACTCCAGGACCACTGCTGTCCTCACAGATTACCTGTCGAACATCAAGTCCTGGATGATAGCTAACTTCCTCCAGTTAAATGTCAACAAAACCGAGGCTCTTCCGCTTGGCTCCCGTCAGTGTCTCCATACCTCAGTCACTGACAGCATCACCCTCCATGGATTCACTCTGCACCTCACTGAGCCAATACAGAACCTCAGCATCCTGTTCGACCCTCAGAGGACCCTCTGTCCTTCATCCCCCACATCCATGCCTTGACCTACTCCACCTATCCCCACCTCCGCAACATTGCCGGCTCCACCACTGTCTCACACCGGAGACCCTCATCCACACATTCATCACATCTAGGTTCGACTAAGCAAACTCTCTGCTAGTCGGCCTCCCCAATTTCTCCCTCCACAGGCTGCAGATCGCTCAGAACTCTGCAGCTCATGTCCTCTCCTGCACCAGGCTCCACGACCCTATCACACACAATCTCACCTGGCTCCACTGGGTTCCCATCACACAGAGGATACAGTTCAGGATCCTGCTCCTCACACAGCCCTATGCCACCCCCCTCTGGAACACCATCCCACAGTCCCTCCGTCTTGCCCCCTTCCTTGCCTCCTTCAAGACCCGTCTCAAGACCCTCCTTTTCGACCGTGCCATGACCTGCTCCGTCATCATCCTATCCCTCCCCTCCCAGTCTTCCATCCCTCCTGACTCAACCACTAGCTCGGGTGGGATCCATAACTGTCCAGCACTTGGGACGTCCTCCTGATGTGAAAGGTACTACACAAAGGTAATTTGTTGTTGTTGTCGAGTGCCCATCCATTCACAAGCAGCTCTAAGGCTGTCAATCACCTCAGAGCCACTGCTAATTGGTCCCCTTCCCGTCCAATGGGAATGGCATTGGGAACGAGGAGTGCCACTCCTCTGCTGGGAGGGAAGAGGTAATGGACTTCGGTTAACCTCGGAATGCTGCTTAAGCCGGACAAAACGGCTTGCCCAGATATATCCGGCTTCCATGATGACAATATTCACCCCCACCCACCAAAAATACATTCCCCTCCTGAAAATATTTGACTTTTTAAAATTCTACAAGGATATAGTTCCACGGGTTTCCCCTGGTTTCTTATCCAAGTGGTTTACTAGTTAACTTTGAGGGTTGACAGTAATTAATGACTCACCCACATTCTCACTTTGAAATCAAAATGTTTTGTACCGTCCCCTCTTCTCACTCATTCTTTCCCAAGAGCACATGACTGCGGAACTCCTCATCTTCCCCAGGTCTTTCCTTCACCCTACAATCTACAAGCATAAAAGCCCAAGTTTGGCATTGCCTGATAACCACTCCTTGACCTCTTGAATAATAAAAACTATTAGTTGCCATGATAAGTATCATGGCAGCTAATTTATTATTTTGCCATCTACAGATAACCTCTCCAATGGAGATGGTGCAAAAAGAATGAAGGATGCAACCAGCACTACAACAACAACAAAATTACACTTATAGAGGGTGGGGGTGATGGGGTCACGGAGCCTGGTGCAGGAGAGAACATGCGCTGCAGAGGATGAAGTGTTGGGAGGCCAACAAGGAGGGAGTTTTTGTAGTCAAGCCTTGAGGTGACGAATGCCTGTATGAGGGTTTTGGTGGCCTTAGGGGTGAGGCAGTTGCGGAATCGGACAATGTTGCAGAGGTGAAGGAAGGTAGAGCGGGTCATGGCAGATTTGGGGCAGTTGAGAGTCAAGCAAGAAGCCCAGGTTTCTGACTGGCTTAGTGAGGTGGAGTGTGCATCCATGGACGCTGATGCTGCCTGAGGTGCAAAGACACTGGCTTGAGCCAATCAGGAAGGCCTCGTCCTTGCTGACATTCAGCTGTAGAAAGTTGGCTCTCATCCAAGACTTGGTGTCTGACGAATATTCTGTCTGGGCATTAGTTGTCCTGGAATCGAGGGTGGGTGTTGGCTGTCATCCGCGTATATGTGGAAGTTGACCCCATGTCTGTGGATGATGGCACCAAGTGGGAGCTTGTAGAGGTTGAAGAGGAGAGGACTGAGGATAGAGACCTGAGTAACATCGCATGAGACCGTGAAAGAGAAACCATTGGCGGAGACAAATTGGAGATGCTGTGAGAGATAAGACCTGAACTATTCAAGGACAGAACCTTGAAGGTTGAGGTGAGAGGAGAGGCAGTGGAGGAGGATAGAGTGATCCACGGTATCAAAGGCAGCAAAAAGGTCGAGGAAGACGAGGCAGGGGGAGACCTAGTCACAGATGGACAGAATGTCGTTTGTGACGTTGACCAGAGCAGTTTCCATGCTGTGAGCAGCAAGGAAAAACGATTGGAGGGGCTTGTGAAGGAAGTGGTAGGAGAGGAATGAGTGAACCTGGGAAGCAACAACTCTTTCAAGGACATTGGAAAGAAAAGGGAGGTTAGAGATGGGCCGGTAGTTAGAAGCCAGGGATGGGTCCAGGGAACGATTTTTCAGGATGGGGCTGATTATAGGTGTCTTTAGGGGAATGAGAATGGTGCCAGATGATAGAGAGAGAGATTGATGGTGTCGGAGAGCAGAGGAGCGAGGAGGTGGAGCTGGGAGGTAAGGGAGGGGTGGAGATAGGGTCAAGTGTGTTTCATGCTGGATATAGTGGTGATGAGAGAGGAGGGGGAGACAAGTTCAAAAATGTGGAGGGAGGTATCGGTAGGGGTCAGAGTGTGGGGGGGAGGGGGCGGAGATGGGGAGGGAGTCAAGTTGGGAGGGCGGAGGCGGCTGACGGATCCCCTTGATTTTGGACTCGAGGGAATCCAGCATCTACCTCACAGTCAGAGCTTGAGGAGAGAATGAGTGAGGCGTGGGAAGGTGGGTGGAGGAGCCAGGTGGTGATGGTGAATAGGAGCCTGGGGTTATCTTAGGAGTAAAAGGATGATTTGGCGGAGGCGAGGGCGTTTTGAATGTGGTCCAGCCAGATCTGCCGGTGGACCGTTAAATCAGATTTGAGCCAGGTGCGTTCGGCGGCCCACACCTGACCCTTGAGGGAGTGGAAGTGGCTGGTGTATCAGGTGAAGTTCGTGAGTAGGAGGCGGATCGGGAGGTGAGGGGGGCCAGGATATCAAGAGAGGGAGTTGTGGAGGAAGTGAGCGGGGAGGATAAATCAGTGTGGGAGGTAGACCAGAGGGGGAGGAGTTCAGATGACTCCAGGGCAGTGGAGAGGGATTGCGGGAGATTTTTTTTCCAGGGACAGTAGGAGATGGAGGTGGGTGGATTAAACAGAGGCATGTGGAGTAAGGAAACATGCTCAATGTTCCGCCCTGCCAGGAATTGAACCCAGGTCCTCTCGCTTGTGAAGCGAGTGCTCTAACCACTAAGTTACAGGACTCTACAGATATATTGGAAAGTGGATTGACTGTATTTTGCAGGCGAAATGGGGCAGTTAATTGTGCACAGCAGTGTCCTACAAACAGTCATGGATTGAGTGACCAAATTGTTATCATTATTATTTTTTTTGAAGGGATTACTACCCTCAGAAAGCGATGCGCCAATTGACTAACAACCGGGTTCCTTCTTACTGCTAGGTAAACAGAGGCGTGTGGAGTAAAGAAACTTGCCTATCGTTTTGCCCTGCCTGGGAATCAAACTCAGGTCTCTTGCTTGCGAGGCGAGTGCTCTAACCGATATGCTATAGGATGCCACAATATGTTTTCTATTTGCTGCTCTGCTGTCAGCTAGGTGTCAGCCTCACTCAGGCGGTGGCACTCTCACTTCTGAGTCAAAAGGTTGTGGGTTCATGCTCCATATCAGGACTTTGAGTTCAGAACTCTCATTCTTTCTGTGTTCTCTCATACTCTCTCATTCTCTCTTATTTTCTCATTCTCTAGAAGACGTAAAAAGTGCTAATAATAATAATCCTTGCATTTGATATAGGGCTTTTCACATGTTCTAGACGTCTCACAGAATATATTGTAAAGTGAATTGACTGTATATTTGTGGGCAAAACATAGCAGCCAATTGGGCACAGCAGTGTCCCACAAACAGTCGTTGATTGAAGTGACCTAACTATAATTGTTTTTTTTCTTGAGGGATTATTATCAGACGTGTGGAGTAAGGAAACCTGCCCAAGGTTTCACCGAATCAAACCCAGGTCTCTCGCTTGTGAAGCGAGTGCTCTAACCACTGAGCTACAGGACTCCACACGATATCAAACGCAAGGATTATTATTCCCTCATACTCTCTTAGTCTCTCATTCTCTCTTATTCTCTTGTAAACCAAACTGCTCCTTTAAATAAATCCAATTTACAGCCTCTTGAGAGAAAGGCTTCAGGTCCTGAAGCAGCCTCCCACCACAACCAGTGATTGCATTGGTTGGATGGAAGGATTGTCCTGGTGCAGTGTCCCTTTAACAGAGAGCCGAGCGCTGCCCCTTTAATTATTGCATCACACCCGGAAGCAGTCGGGATTGGAGATTGTTCCCGGAACTGACCACGTGACTGAGTGAGACCCCTCCAACCAATCACAGAGACACACAACATTCTAACACACACACAGCCACTGAGAGACACACACACAGCCACTGAGAGACACACACACACAGTCACTGAGAGACACACACACACAGTCACTGAGCACACACACACACACAGCCACTGAGACACAGTCACACACACCCACTGAGAGACACACACACAGCCACTGAGACACAGTCACACACACAGCCACTGAGACACACACACACACACAGCCACTGAGACACACACACACAGTCACTGAGAGACACACACACACAGTCACTGAGACACACACAGCCACTGAGACACAGTCACACACACTGAGAGACATACACATACAGCCACTGAGACACAGTCACACACACTGACACACACACACAGCCACTGAGACACACACACACACACCCACTGAGAGACACACACACAGCCACTGAGAGACACACACACAGCCACTGAGACACAGTCACACACACTGACACACACACACACTGAGAGACACACACACACTGAGAGACACACACACACAGCCACTGAGACACAGTCACACACACTGACACACACACACAGCCACTGAGAGACATACACACACACACACACACTGAGAGACACACACACAGCCACTGAGAGACATACACATACACACACACCCACTGAGAGACACACACACAGCCACTGAGAGACATACACATACACACACAGCCACTGAGAGACACACACACAGCCACTGAGAGACACACACATACACACACAGCCACTGAGAGACACACACACAGCCACTGAGAGACACACACACAGCCACTGAGAGACACACACATACACACACAGCCACTGAGAGACACACACACACAGCCACTGAGAGACACACACATACACACACACAGCCAGTGAGAGGAGCACACACACACACTGACACACACACACAGCCAGTGAGAGGAGCACACACACACAGCCAGTGAGAGGAGCACACACACACACTGACACACACACACAGCCAGTGAGAGGAGCACACACACACACTGACACACACACACACAGCCAGTGAGAGGAGCACACACACACACAGCCAGTGAGAGCACACACACACACTGACACACACACACAGCCAGTGAGAGGAGCACACACACACACACACACTGACACACACACACAGCCACTGAGAGACACACACATACACACACACAGCCAGTGAGAGGAGCACACACACACACTGACACACACACACAGCCAGTGAGAGGAGCACACACACACAGCGCGGCTGCCTCTACCATCTTCTTTCCAAAAACAGCTTCCTGTTGTAGCAGATGCTGCTCTCACTGTCTTTAACTGAGAGAGGTTCCACGACACGAACCTGGACACTGAACCTGGGATCTTCCGGTCTGCATTGCTCAGCTACTCAATAGAGACCCGCTTGAGGTATTGAACCTTGTGTGTCGACCTGGCGCAGTGATAGCATTCTCACCTCTGAGTCAGAAGGTTGTGGGTTCAAGACCCAGGTCCAGACCTGGAATCACATAGTCTGAACTAATACTACAATGCAACACTGGGTGTGGGGTGGTTTGCATGTTGGAGGTGCCGGCCGTCTGATGAGATGTTAAACTGAGGTCCAGGTGGAAATTAAAGATCTCATGGCACTATTCGAAAAGAGAAGGGAGTTTCTTCCAGTGTCTGGCTAACAAATCCCCAAATAAAAATTGGTCACTCACTCTATGGCTGTTTGTGGGATATTGCTGTGAGCAATTGGCTGCCGCATTTCACTTGTGGTCATCCACTTTCCAGTATATCCTATGAAGCACTTTGAGACATCTCAATGACGTGATAAGGCGTTGCACCAAATGTAAGGATTATTATAACTATCACACTCAGAAATCAATCTAACTTTGGGTAATGATGACGAATTAGAGGCAATGAAACAATGTACGATTGCTTCCCTGAAAGGTTACTGGGTTAGTGCGTTGCTCTGTATTTCACATTGTATATGGTTTATATTGCAGGTTGTGATTTCTGACGATGGGACCCTGGAGAAGGCCACATCATCTGAGCCTCATCTTGTGGATGATCTCAATGGTCTGTTTCTGTTGGTCTGAGAATAGCCAACCTCAGGTAAGACAGAATCCAAGGGACAAGATCGACCACACGTGGCTGGGGGGAATTGATAACAATGGGCGGAGTTTGACTTTTAGATGGGGGTGGGGGGCTGAAGTGAGAGCAAAGGCGTCATTTCAGAAAAATTATGTTTTTAGACGAGGGGTCCGAGGGCACATGCTTGGTGGGGGTCTGGGGATAAAGCCTCCGATGCTTAAAGATTTTCAGCCTTTTGCAACCATTTCGGATACTAATATTCCAGCCTTTTTTTTACTAGTTTTTAATCCTACAAAACAACCTACATGTATTATTATTACCTGGAATGCCACCTAACGTGGAGGGTGCTATATAAATGCAAGTTGTTGTTGTTGTCTATTCTAAGATGAGGCTTCTTTTTAAGATGGATGAAGATATGCAGGAGGATTCAGAACACTTAAGTTGGTAGCAATCCCTCCTGTTCATAGCCTCACATGCAAGCCCTGGAGTCTGTTCTGCCTTGAGCAATAAACCTTTCTCTGCTTCTCTAGAAAGGGTCGGCTTGACAGTGGTGGAACAGACTGAGTCAAGTGATGATGGAGAAGTGGAGGATGACCTGGATTCTGAGGACCTAGAAGTCTTTTACCCGACAAATGAGTGGCAGATGGTTAACCCTGGTATGAAGCTATACTTGCCTAATACAATCATGCTGAGTTTACACATGGGAATTCCATTCACATATTTTGAAGCTGTTACAATCTGCCCTGTTCTCTCACTTTCTGTTGCTCTCTCTCAGTCTCTGGTACAAGGAGACAGGAAATTGTAGAAAGCCAAAATGCAATGAACTAGTGTTGAGGTGATTTCTGATGTGCCTGTTGTCTGGAATCTTTGTGCAGGTGGGAACCAGTCTATACCTAGATGTACACTTGTATCTCCATGTAACCTTGGCTCTGTGTTTATCCATACAGGGCAGGCCATACCTGTAGGACTACACGTCCGGCTAAACTTGCAGACTGGAATTAATGAGGCCAAACTTCCAGACAGCGAGAGTGGGAAGGGCGGAATGAAGTACTGGAAACAAGGAAATAGGTAGAGTAAGAAAAACAATGAAGATTGTACAGAGAGGAAAGTTTTGTGGTGAATTGGGAGGAAGAATTGTGAAGTGCTCCCGGGAAGCACCCTCACATGAAGAAAGCTATATAAATACAAGTTGTTGTATTACTTTTGGACCCTTTCTAGTGAACATAGTGTTAAAATACTCTTATGCCCTGCTTTGCCAAAGCAACTCAGACTTTTAGTTTAGTTTAACTTTCACTGAAGTGATGCAATAAGGAGTTAGCTCCTTCAAGAAAAAAAACTTACATTTATAGCGCCCTTCCCATGTCTGACCTTTGGGTGGGATGGCAGGATAACAACAACAAAAAATAACATTTGTATTAGTGCCTTTCATGTCGGGAGGACGTCCCAAAGCCCTGGACAGTCAGGGATTTGGACCTGAGTAGGGGCTTGGGATCAGGAGGAGTGGAGGTTAGGGGTAGGAGGGTGCCAAAGGCGCAGTCGAAGAGGAAGGTCTTGAGACGTGCCTTAAACATGAGCTGGGTTTGATTTTCATTGCCTGAAATTAGCCACCATTGTGGAGTCTTGCAGCCTTGAGACAGCATTGCACGTTACAGTGAGAATAATGGGTAACATTTTATTTCTTATCAAGGCAGCAATCCAGCTAAGAGAATAGTGTGTATGTTTCTTTTTCTGATTGTTAGAAATGAGACCACAGAGGAGGCAATTCAACCCATCTTGCCTGTTGTATGCTAGTTCTGCTTAAGAGCTACTAATGTGCTTCCGCTTCCCTGCTCTTTCCCCTTTATTACTGTGTTCAATTATTTGTGGAGCCCTGTAGCTTAGTGGTTAGAGTGCTCACCTCGCCAGCGACAGAACCTAAAGGATAGAGGGATTAAGGGATATGGGGATAGGGCAGGTAAATGGAATTAGGTTAGAAGATCAGCCAAGATCTTATTAAATGGTGGGGCAGGCTTGAGGGGCCGAATGGCCTACTCCTGCTCCTACGTCTTATGGTCTTATGGACCTGCGTTTGATTCCCGACAGGGCGAAATGGTGGGTAAGTTTTGTTACTCCACACGCCTCTGTTTACCTAGCAGTAAGTATGAACCCGGTAGTTAGTTGATTGGTGGATCGCTTTTCCGGGGGAAATAATTCTTTCAAATAAATAAAAATATTTTGGTCACTCAATCCACGACTATTTTTGGGACACTGCTGTGAATAATTGGCTGCCGCATTTCGCCCACAAAATATATAGTCAATTCACTTTACAGTATATTTTGTGAAGCGCTTGAGACTTTTCAAAAACATGATAAGGCTCTGTATCAAATGCAAGGATTATTTATGTAACTTCTTTTTGAATCCAACATTTGAGAACTGAGTGAACCCAGCGAGTTTCAAATAACAATCCATTCCAGTTTCATATTTCATATCCATTGCTCAGCTTGTCAAGCTACCTGGGAAGCCCATCCACCTGCCCCAAAGTGATCTAGGCCGTGAACCATCCCTTCAACTTGGGTACAACTTGCTTTTTTGTTCTCAGACAGGGGATGATCAACACAGACTCCAAATCCTTCACAGCAGAAGAGCTGAAAAAAGCCTTGAAGTTCATGAAACAAGGGACTCCTGTGGAGAATCTCGAGGAAGAGAAGGTTAGGAGGTGTTATTTTTTAGATGCAGCCGGCAGTCTCACTCAAGAGGTTCAAAAAGTCTCCGATAAATCCATCTAAACCACCGCTTAGTGAAAGTCTAACGATGCCTCAAACTTAGCTGCTTGGTGACTGTTGATCCCAGTGCTGTAGAATCTGTATGCTTCTACAATACCTCTTTTTCCTTTTCTTTGTTCTTTTGAAGGGCCGACAGGAAGAATTACGCAAAAGGTTCCGTCCGATCAAGGAGCTGAAGAAGGACTTCGAAGAGATGAACTTAGTGATGGAGACAGACATGGAAATAATCACTAAACTGGTCAATAAATTCAACGCCTCGAGGGCCACTACAGAGGAGAAAATAGCGGCTCTAACTGACCTGGAGTACTATGTTCATCAGGTAATGACAGGGCCTTCAGTCTGGTTATTGTGGAGGGATTTGAAGAGCAGCAACTGATCATGTGTTGTGATTTCTTCCAGTTGGACAATGGTCAGTACCTGATGACCACTGGCGGACTGCAGCTTGTGGTCAATGCGCTGAACACCACTGAGCCCCTAGTCCAGGAATATGCAGCCTTCGTCCTCGGCTCTGCACTCTCAAGGTAAAGCTTGCTCTTGGGACACATTGTGTCAGTGTGTGTGTGTGCAAAGAATGTACTTCTGAGCGGTATCGATGTGCACGTAACAGTTATAATGTAGGAGTTGGGGGTATATAAAATCCAAACTTGCCTTATAATAGGGCACGATTACCTCTCAGCACTTTCCCACCATAACATCACCAATCACATGGCTGGTGGTGTCATCATACCTGCAGGTGGGAAATCACTAAAAATGGTGGAAAGGGAGGGGCGCATCTTAAACAAGGTTCTGCTGTACTGGACTCTACCATCCCCGCTGTGTGCTTCTTCCCTCCAGCAATCCAAGAGTTCAGGTTGAAGCGATGGAAGGTGGGGCTCTGCAGAAACTGCTAGTCCTCATGGCTACTGATCAGACAATGCGTGTAAAGAAAAAGGTACGTAAAGGGGTCTTTGGCCAAAATAAAAATGGGAGAGGTTTAGGCTTCAATGTGGGAATGTGATTCGAAGCATGATGTTGGGGGAAGGCATGGCATTGGGAAAAAGCATGTTAGGGGACATTTATGTTGGAAGTATGTCATTTTCTCCTTTATCATAATACTAATGTTGCTCCTTTCAGGCCCTATTTGCACTTTCGTCAATGTTGCGCCACTTTCCGTTTGCCCAGCAGCATTTTCTGAGGCTGGGGGGCCTGCAGGTACTTCGGCAGCTCTTTCAGGTAAAGGAGATGGAGCCCCTCTGTGTCCGAGCTGTGACCCTGCTCTACGATATGCTAATGGAAAAGGTAAGAAGAGTGGGGCAGCAGAAAATGCTTGTGATGCTTCTGTCTTCACATCCTGCACTCCATCATCTGCAAATTGCTGTTGTGATAAAATCATCTTTTGTGTATGACAGCAAGACTCAATTATGATCTTTTCTTTCAGTTTTCACATCAGTTGTGCATATCCTCCAGTAACATAATCTCATTCTGTTTGCATTCCTAAACCCCATGAATATCTCCCTTTGTGGCTTGACATTACTTAAGCGGGGTCTCCTTGGAGTTGAACTGGCGCTAAGGTAACATGCCTGGCAACCGAATGTCTTAATCGAGCCAGCCCTCTGTGGCGGTCTCTAGTTTGGTTCCTGAGCCAGGCAGCTTCGCAGTATTCCAGTGCACCGTTGATGACAGCCCAGCCAGCCTGGCTCATCGGCAGGACCTAAAAGGGCAGACAAGTCAATGAGGACAGGGAGTTGTCCCACTCAGCACTTGTTAACCCTGCTAGCCAAAGCCCTATGGAACTAGGTAAGCAGGATGCGTCCCCCCAGGGAGAGAGTGTGCATTCTATTCCAACAATTTATCTCTGGGATTTCCATGTGTAGATGGGATGAATGGAAATCTCAGCTTGGTTTGGATGTTCTTAAGCATAGTGATGGGTTTCCGCATGGGTCAGACACCCAGCTGTCCAAAACAAAATTAATTTGCAATGGTTTCAGATATGGAAGGAAGGTAGTCATTTAAGAGAGAACAGGGATTTTATGTAAACTCTTAAATCTGCTCAACAAAATTGGTTCCTTCTGAATTATTTATGAAATAAGAAATTATCTCCATATTCCTTTAAGTCTGCCTGGACTTGCACTTCTACATAGTTCAGATTTTGTTTCTCTGAATTTTAGTGTTTAGCATCCAATTGTGTCCAGTTCTGGGTTTGCATGTTGCACTCAAGATTATAAGCGTTGAAGAGCTATACAGAATTGTGGATAGTCACAGCTGTGTTTTACAGCTGCTGAAATTATATTAATTGTATTTGAAATAGAACCTTATGTCGTTAAGACATCTCAAAACGCTTCACAGAATATACTGTAAAGTGAATTGACTGTATATATTTTGTGGGCGAAACCCAGGACCCAAATTCATGTGCCTCCAACTCATCTGAATACAAGACTGCAAATTTCCATACTTTAAGCAAATGCTTTTCAAAACCTGTGATCCAGCTTGACATCCAGCTCGGAGCCTGAAGAGAAATTGAACTGAGGTTAAATATCTTTACAACCCAACAGTCACAATCCCAGTTATTTTATAGTGGAGACCAACTACAGAGCACCACTGAGCTCAATTAAATATTAAGGGAACCAAAATGTAGGAGTGCACAATCTTGTCTCCACCAATATCATTCACAGGCCTGAGAAATCATCTCGACACAGGAAATATTAAACGAATCCTGAGATTGATTCCCAAGCTGTAAATCTAATGGTTAGACAGGAGTAAGTAGGTTATCTTTGTGTTTCATTTAACATTTTTATTCTTTTGTAGGAGCTTGTTGAACATGCCCAAGACAGTAACTCACAGCACAAGGAGAAACAGCGACAGTATGATCACATTGACCTACTGCCAGCCATGTTGGAGCAAGATTGGTGCATTCTTGTTCCTACCCTCTTAACATCCCCTGAACATGACACAAGGGAAAAAGTCCTGAAAACCATGAGCTTCATGATGTCCTCTTGCAGGAACCATTACCAAGCGCTCCAAGGTTTGAACTCCTCGCTGAGCGAGCTGCAGGAAGAGTACCAGAGACTGGCTGCTGTAGAAAGGAGCGAGGCAGATGAAGATGGTTACTTTGTGGGGCTCTTGAACTCTATTGACAGCATCATCCAGGAGCTGGGATGACTAGTACAAACCATCTACAATTGATTTCAATTTGAACAACTTTTTATTTTAAAAATCCATTTGATTGATTCATTGATGAGTCAGACTGGCTGGTCCACCAACAATGCCTTGAATTACTGCAGACTCTTCCGCATGAGTCCTTGGAGCCAGTTCAGGCTCAAAACGATCCAACTTTACCTCATTCTTCGAATGAAACACCTCCAATTTCTATTTTACTTTCTACACTCAGAATGTTTTAACATGTTCATATTATATTTGTTCCTAGCAACAGTGACTAGATTGGATTCTCCTGCTGCCTTCCCCAAGCTTGGTTTTCAGATGTTTACCTTTGGTATATCTGCTGTTTAATCCTCAAAAATTTCCTTGGGAAGTCATTCAATTTGCTCTTTGATGGGATAACTTGCTTAATGTACCAAACCTCCAATCTTGGCTTTGTACTTCTTTCTAATCCCATTCATGCTTGTGCCGGACAGTGAAGTGAAATCCAACACTTGATTGGCCATTGCTTGATTATCGATAGTAGAATTGAACAGCACCATAATGTTCAGCTGGTACTTGATGGATTCCTGAAAACTGGTCTCCTGTTGGGAATGTTGGATTGAAGAGCTCTTTAGCACTTGTGAACTTTTAGGGCACAAGAACAGCTCCATTTCCCCTCTTGCTCTCTTAAATTAACAATATTTATCAGAATACCGATTGTTTGACTAAATATCAGGGTTGTAATGCAGGGATATGCATCCCCAGACTAGAGGAAATTTTGTTTAAATACGGTTTTGTGAAGTTTAATTTTTGAAGTTCTGTATCCAAAACGGAATAAAGGAAACAAAACACAAAATACTGCAGATGTTTGAAATCTGAAAACAAAACCAGGAGTCACTGGGAACACTCAGCAGGTCAGGCAGCATCTATGGAGAAAGGAAAGTGAGTCAACGTTTCGGGTCCACGACCCTTCATTAGAACGAAACGCTGACTCACTTTCCTTTCTCCATAGATGCTGCCTGACCTGCTGAGTGTTCCTAGCGACGTCTGGTTTTGTTTTCAGAATAAAGGAATTGTAGTTAAATCGAAAATTCATTTCAGGTAATTGAATTCTCTTCGACCGTGCCTTCAGTCACCCTCCCACCTCTCTGCCTTCCCTCTCCCCTACCCCACCCCTCCCCCATGCTCGGGTCTTGATTGGCTAGCGCCTTGGGACGTCCTCCCGATTCGAAAGGCGCTCTATAAATGTAATTTTGTTGTTGTTGTTGGACTGTGATTTAGCTAAGCAAACAATTATTAACTAATTTTGACCAAGAGTTAGAAGAAAATGATGTTCAAGGGAAACGGATCTGAGAAGGTGCTGCAAATATTTATTGCCCACCTCTGTCCGTACTACCGAAGCCGAAACCTTCATCTATGCCTTCAGCACTTTGCCACTTTCTCAATGCCCTCCTCGCTGGTCTTCCCAGCTCCATCATACACAAAATTAAACAAATTCAAAACTACCCATTACCGAACGGATCAATTTCAAGATCCTCTCACTCTTTTGCAATTCCCTTCATACCCTCGCACCTCCCTCACTATTCGATTTGCTTACCTCTCACTCCACCATCCGCTGCCTCCGCTCGGCTGGCTCCAGCCTCCTGTTTGTCCCTCCTCCCGTTCGCTCCCCCATTGGTAGCCGCGCCTTCAGCCACTATGCTCCAAAACTCTGGAAATTTCTCCGCCTTGCCCCTTCCTTCCCCACCTTCAATTCCCGCCTAAAGACCTTCCTTTTTGATTGTGCTTACGGTCACCTCCCCTCTCCCTCTCCCCCTGGCTCGGTGTCAGACTCTGCCACTGTCAAGCACTCCGGACTCTACCCCACATGAAGGGCACTATATAAATGCAAGTTGTTGTAATGTTTGGCTAAACGTTAAGAAGAAAATGCACCTTCTCAGATCTGTTTCAAGATGAACACCTGAGAAGGTGATGAAAATCTTTAATGCAAGTATTAAAAATAAATTAAGAGTTAAAGATGAATCCAGTCAACTTAAGTCGTGACTTTGTAGCGACGTGGCTGTGAGAAGGTGAGATGCATCTGAGAATCAATCATAACAACGATTTACATTTCTATAGTGCCTTTCACATCAGGAAAACATCTCAAAAGTGCTGTGTGGAGGGGTGGAGTTAATACCTCTTGCAGTTCTCAAGTTATTATTCTGGAAGAGTCTGCTACCTCATTCAAATAATTTCAAATTTTTATGGCCGTATTTCTCTTTGACCGAGCCTTCAGCTCCCCTCTCAACTCTCTTCCCCCTTCTCGCTCCCTCCCATCCCTCCCCTCACCCTGACCATTTCCCCCCTCCTCGCTCCCTCCCCTCACCATTTCCCCCCTCCTCGCTCCCTCCCCTCACCATTTCCCCCCAATGCTCGGGTCATGACCCAACTGTGCAGCGCCTTGGGACGTCCTCCTGACGTGAAAGGCGCTTTATAAATGGAATCTTGTTGTTGTTGTTGTATTTAAATAAATTGAAGGCTCACAGCATTGACAGGTCAGTTAGGAATCTACAGCATGAGATGGAATCTGAGCCGGCTTTTGATGAGAACAAAGCAGTGAACACGAAGACCAGGATTAGAATTGTTACTTACTCATGTTTAAATTTGCTGCTAATAATTGACCTGTAAGAAAGTTAAAGACATTTCAAAAGCTCTTAAACATATAGAATTTTCTCCAGAACTATAGTTGTTTGTGGGCCACTGCTGTACACATATCGGCGACTGCATTTCATCCACAAAATACACAATCAATCCACTTTACAGTATATTCTGTGAAGCGTTTTGAGATATCGCGGCATAAGGCACAATATCAAACGCAATTACTATTGTGCATTTGTGGCCTGGCAGGAACGCACACTTCATAGAATCTTACAGCACAGGCCACTCGGCCCATCGTGCCTGTGCCGGCTCTTTGAAAGTGCTATCCAATTGGTCGCACTCCCCTGCTCTAACCCCACAGCCCTACAATGTTTTCTTTTTCAAATACCTATCCAGTTCCCTTTGGAGAGCTTCTATCAAATCTGCTTCCACCTTTTCAGGCGGTGCATTTTGTTCCAACAATCTCTCTCTGGAGTTTCCACGTGCAGACGGACTGCGTGACATTCTCAATTCGCTTTGGCCCCTCTTCAGGCGCTCTCTAAATGGAATCTTGTTGCTGCTGTTGTTGTTGTTGTTAAGGGAGGCGATGGGTTTCCAACATTCCAGATCGTAACAACTCCCTGGAAACAACTCTCGTCTCCCCTCCGGTTCTTTTATTTATTTAGCAATTGTGCATTCACGGGAAAATGTAAAATACATTTTAAAGAAAAAAATATTTTTTTTAATTGCCCCCTCCGGTCTGACTGAACTGGAACCCCCGCCGCCGTCCTGCCGTAACCACAGCAACGCTGACCCCTGTCCCAGTGACCTTCACACAAAGGACCCGAGAGCGGGGGCGTCCAATTCGACGCCTGGAAACGCAACTTGCTGGGACGCGGGGGCTGAATATCCGTATCGCCGCTGAGAGAAAGCTTCAATAACTCATGCCGTGTGTTTTTTTTTAAAAAAAAGCGGCGGGGAAGCGGCGCGATTCCCTGTCCCCCTGTTTGCGGTTGTTCAGGCGGGGTCCTCTCGGCGCGGTCTGTTACATCAGCTTCGGGGACACGTGGTTTCGAGGAGTTTTCTAGAAGCTGCGCGTGAGGCAGACGGACAGCGAGCGCCATGAGTTACCTGGTCAGCACCGCCGCTCAGCGCCTGGCCGCCGGCAGAGTGAGTAACAGTAACAGCCCGCGTTAACGCACCTGAGTCCCGGCCCTACGACGTTCCTTTCCTGAGATGCATTTCCCACGCAAGGCCCCGGAGACGAGCCTCTTCCGTCGGCGGGCGATAGTGAGTCACGGCCTGGCCGCTGGCGCAGGCCGGTGGCGATGGTTGGTCCTTGCGTCGCCTGACGCCGGTGTTCAGGCCCGTATCCCGTTCTTGAGGCCGTCGCCCTTCTCCCTTATTGACCTTCACAAGGGTCTCTCTTCACCCCCCGGCCTGAGCCATGACCCGCGTGAAGTCGGTGCCGGGTCGGGCAGGCGGCGAACTGGCCTCGCGCCGCAGCTGCAAGTACCTCGAGTACTGACTGGGGGGGGAGGGGGGAGAGAGAGATAACCGACCTTCGGGGAATGTATAGGGGAAGCTCTTTTCTCACTCCTGCACAACCCTTCTCCCCTCCCAAACCCCCTCCCCCTCCCAAACCGCCTCCCCACATCTGTCCCCGTTTGATATATTAAAAATTTCTACATTTCATCAATGTTAGATACAAAAATGCAGAATGTAGATCAGCCAGAGAGGTTGCTGGGTGTGAAAGGATTCTGGAAAGCCCTGCCTGCATGGGTGGTTGCATTTCATTCAATTCGCTTTCAGTTATTCTAGCAGCCATTTTCAGAAGTCTGGAATGAAACGCAGATTGAGTAACTAATTCAGATAGACAGAGAATGGTCTGAACAGTGATAAAATGATAATGATAATATTTAATTTTCTAGAGTTGTTGGAATGGATTATGTCAAGATGTATTCCGAACTGCGGCAAAGCGTCACTATGCGTGAGTATATCGCTATCTGTTTAGTAACTAATGGGATTACCCCCGTTTTTAGTGTGGAAAAGCATGACTTGACTCCCAACAGTGTTATCAGAAATTAAACACTTTTTCAGGAATTTAAATTTTGGTCCTTATAAAGTCCCTGCCCACTTAACTGAGGGAGTGTACAGGTCTATATGGAGTTCACAAACGTAGGGAGAAGCAAGGCTGTGGAGGGCTTTGCAGGCAAGGGCGAGGATTTTGAACTCTATCTCTGGGGAATGGGGAACCAGTGGACCTGGGCGAGGAATGGGGGATAGGGTAATGGAGCTTGGTGCAGGAGAGGATAGGAGCTGCAGAGTTCTGAATTATCTGCCAACGGCAACAACAAATTACGTTCGTATAGCGCCTTTATCATCGGGAGGATGGCCCAAGGAACTGGGCAGTCAGGGTTTGGACCCGAGCTCGGGGCTAGGAATCAAGTAGGAAGGTGAGCGAAAGGCATGGTCGAAGAGAAATGTGTTGAGACGAGCCTTGAAGGAGGCAAGGGAGGGAGCGAGGCAGAGGGACTGTGGGATGAAGTTCCAAAGCGTGGGGGCAGAGAGACTGAAGGCCCGACCACCGATGGTAGAGTGGGCCAGAGCCTGCTGCCCGAACAGGTCGATATGCTACTTGTGGAGGGAAGAGTTGTGAAAACCAACAACTGGGGAGTTAGTGCAGTCAAGCCAGGATGTGGTGAATGAGTGGAGGGTCTCGGCAGCCTGAGGGGAGAGTCGGTGGCAGAGTCGGGTGATGTTGCAGACATGGGGGAAAGCAGAGGGATCATAGAATGGATCTGGGGTTATAAAGGACATTTGAAGGTCAGACAAGATGCCAAAGTTCTGTACTGGCTCAGGGAAGTACAGAATGCATCGCTCACTTGATGTCTTGTCGGATCAGCAGTAGTCCTGGAGGCGTAGAGATAAGAGTTGGGACTGTGGAGGGCTTTAAAAGTAACTATCAAAGTATCCACTTTATGATACATCCAAGGAAATTGGTTCTACCTTTTAATTTGCAAGTTTGATAAATATTGAGGCTGCTGACCAATTGACCATAAGAACACCAACAAGAGGATTGTAAGTGAGATGGGTCATTAATTTACCTTTTTGTCTTACCCTTTTCTCCCCACCCGCCTGCCCCAATCTTTTCCAGGTCTGAATCCATTAAAGGTGCGGTTATTGGAATTGATCTGGGCACAACAAATTCCTGTGTAGCTGTAATGGAAGGGAAACAGTCAAGGGTAGGTGGCGATAATCTTCACTGAAGCAGGAATATGGAGCCACATTTTAATGTGGGTTTCCTTATAACACTTAATACTGTGTTGACCCCAGCTTTCCTCATGTGAAAAAATGGCCAATGTCCTGGTCATCGGGTCCCTTCCAGGATGTTTATAATGTGGGAGGATGGTGAAGATAGAAGTTTTAATTATCGTGTGTTGCTTGCATAATTGGATGTTGCTGAAGACCACTGTAACACAAATGTCCTTTGAAATCAACCCTGGTAGTTTCTGATTGTAGAGCAAGACAGGGGTAACTTGCAATGCTGTATTAGCTGTTAAGTCCTGGTCAGGCTTCACTTGCTCCCAACAACAACTAACCACAAATGACATTTGTATTAGTGCCTTTCACGCCAAGAGGACATCACAAGGCATTGGAGAGTCAGGGATCCGCGCCCGAGCTGGTGGTTTGGATCAGGAGTGGAGCAGGATGACTGAAGGCACGATCGAAGAGGAGGGCCTTGAAAGAGGGGGCAAGGCAGAGGAACTGGGATGGAATTCCAGAGGGTGGGGCAGAGAGGCTCAAGATCCACCGTCCAATGGTGGGGTGGGCAAGGCCGGGAACGTGAAGCAGGCCGGAGCTCGCTGAGCGGAGGAACGGACAGATTAGTAGGGAATTAGGAGGTCACAGAAGTAGGGAGGAGCAAGATTGGAGGACTTTGAAGGTGAGGAGTGCATCCATGAAGTGTGATGCTGTCAGTGCCCGAGGTATTGAGGCACTGATGGGAGCCAAGCAGAAGAGGTTAACATTTAACTGGACAAAGTTAGCTTTCATCCAGTACTTGCAGTTTGTGAGGACAGCAGTTGTCCCTGGAGTCGAGGGTGGAGGCGGAGAGGTGAAGTTGAGTGTCATCCGCAAACATGTGGAAGTTGACCCCATGTCTACCGATGATATCGCCAACGAGAGCATTTATATGTTGAAAAGGAGGGGACCAAGGCAAAAATTCTGAGGGGCGCCGCATTTGATGGTGTAGGGACTTGAGGAGGAGCTATTCGTGGTCATAAGGTGGAGACGATGGGAGAGGTAGGATTTGAACCGGGCAAGGGCAGGTCCGTGAAGGTTGAGCTGAGAGGAGAGGCGTTGGAGGAGGATGGAATGGTTGACAGTGTCGAAGACAGCAGAGAGGTCAAGGAGGCAGAGAGCCCTGTCGCAAATGGACAGAATGTTGTTAGTGACTTTGACCGGGTCTGTTTCCGTGCTGTGGGCAGCATGGAAACACGATTGGAAGCGTTTGTGGAAGAAATGGCGGGAGAGGAAAGAGTGAAGCTGGGCCGCAACGACTTGTTCCAGGGCCTTGGAAAGGGAGGCTGGAGATGGGGCGCTAGCTGGAGAGTAGTGATGGATTCATGGAAGGGTTTTTGAGGATGACAGCTGTTTTTAGAGGGGTAGGAACAGTACCAGTGGATAAGGAGAGGTTCATGATGTTGGTTAAAAGAGGGGCCCCAAGAGGTGGAGTTGGGGGTAAGGAGAGTAGTAGGGATGGGGTTGAGAACTCAGGTGGTGGGCTTTATATTGAGATGTTGAAGGTTCGAACGGATTGATTTCAAGATCCTCTCACTCGTTTTCAAATCCCTTCATGCCCTCGCACCTCCCTACATATCCGACCTATTAAGCCCCCACTCCTCCACCACCCAGTGCCTCCACTTGTCTGGCTCTGGCCTTCTGTTCGTCCCTCAACCCCTCCGTTCCACCATCGACGGCCGTGCCTTCAGTCACCATGCCCCAAAACCCTGGATTTCTTCCTCAATCCCTCCACCTTGTCCCCTCGCTCCCCACCTTCAAATCCTGCCTAAAGACCTTTTTGATCGTCTTTAAGGTCTCCTTCTACACTCCTTCTCCCCCTGGTTCGGTGTTAGACTCCGCCACTGTTAAGCGCTCCGCGTGAAGGGTGCTGTATCGATGCAAGTTGGTGTTAAGATCAGACTTGTGTCATTTCTCCTTGAAGGGCTGCTTGAGTGATTCTGGCTTATCAAGGGGAACTTCTGATTATGTGAGGGATAAATTTCAGATTGATACTGTCTAGGAATGTTTCTCGGATGGGGGACATAGCCATGGGAGTCCTAGGTGGCTTTGATTAATGAGTGTATGAGAGTGGTACATGTGTGCGAAGAACCTGGCCTTTGAGAGATCTCTGGTATTATCAGACTTTATTGAGCTTTTTTTATTGTGGATAAAGGTCACAAAAAAAACGTTCAAGGTAACTGCATACTGGCACTCATCTTAGTTTATTTCTTAAAAGAAAAGCTTGCATGTTCTTTTGCAGCTCCAATCAGTGGATAATTAAACTGTTATCTTTATGTTCCAGGTACTTGAGAACTCTGAAGGGGCCAGAACAACCCCCTCCGTAGTGGCCTTCATGGCTGATGGTGAGCGTTTAGTTGGAATGCCAGCGAAACGACAGTCAGTCACAAATCCTCAAAACACCTTTTACGCTACAAAACGTCTGATTGGACGGCGGTTTGATGACGCTGAAGTACAGAAAGATCTGTAAGTTAGCTGTATGATGGATTCTTTTGAAAAAATAAGCTAATTGCAAGATCAACTTTACATTCTCCTTGCAGTATAAACTTAGTATTGTTTGAATCTTCCACAGCAAAAATGTTCCATTTAAAATCGTTCGTGCTTCTAATGGTGATGCCTGGGTGGAGGCTCACGGCAAGATGTACTCTCCAAGCCAAGTTGGGGCTTTTGTTCTGATTAAGATGAAGGAAACAGCAGGTAGGAGCAAGGATATACTGACATTTTGACTCTAAAATAAACAATTTAGGTGAATTGAAGGACTTCAGTAAACATTTAAATAATAACTACTTTAAATATGAGATCCACTGGACATTTACACCCTAGATATTTAAAAAATGGAATTTTGTTTAAATGTTCTTCAAAAATACTGAGCATAATATTGCGAATTTCATGAAAGGGACCAACTTACACTACCCAAATCTTCCATTTTATATGTGATACATGTATCAAACAAAATAGATTGTGCTTTAGGCGACTGAGCAATGTTTTGCTTTGTTTATAATCATTTACAGAAAACTACCTGGGACACCCTGTGAAGAATGCAGTTGTCACAGTGCCTGCATATTTCAATGATTCTCAAAGACAGGTAAGAGATGACTGCTAATGCTTATGATTGGAATTAAACATGTGAGATGATTCCAGGTACTGACCCTGTGGTGCTTTGATTAACTTCTTCATTCAAACCAAAGAGAGCTGATCACCCCCATCCTTGTCCGATTTCACTGGCTCCCCATCCCCAGAGGATCAAGTTTAAGATCCTCGTCCTCACTTTCACAGCCCTCCATGATCTTGCTCCCCCCTACATCTGCGACCTACTAAACTGTTACCAACCTGTCGGCTCCAGAATTCTGAATGAACTGCAGCTTGTGGAGGGAAGAGTTGGGAAGGCCAACAAGCAAGGAGGGAGTTAGCGTATTTGTGAAGTTGGTTGAAGGTTTTAAAACCCTTTAGATTGTAGGGAAAGGAAAAATGAGGGAAGTAAAAGTGGTCATCTGGTGGCACTGTGCTGTGATGTTATCATATCAACACATCATTCTGATGCAAAACCATGGAGAGAATCATCCAATAACTGAGCACACAATTTCAGATCAGAATCTAGTAATGTATTGCATTATTGTTGTTAAAGGCAAGAAATGTTTTTTATATGAGCTTATCGTGTAGTGGATCACATTCTTGAATATATTGAATAAATTGTCCCTATATCTGCGACCTACTAAACTGTTACCAATCTGTGCACTTCCTCCGTTCGGCACGCACTTGCCTGCTTCACTGTTGGTGGTCCGGCCTTCAGCCTTTCTGGCCCCACCCTCTGGAACTCCATCCCTGAAACCTTGCCTTCTTCAAGTCCTGTCTCGATCTTCCTCTTTAACCATGCCTTTTGGACATCTTTTCATTTTTACTATATCAACGGTAAGGGCAGGTTTTAACTGTTAGCTGAAGCAGTCAGTCCAGTGAGCCCGGACTTGATGTAATATTACCTTGAATTGATGCCTTATTCATTGTTCTTAATTAGAATTGTCATACCTTTTTAATTTTCGGCATTTGTAACTGATATATTTGTCTAGGCTACAAAAGATGCTGGGCAGATCTCTGGGTTAAATGTTTTACGGGTCATCAATGAGCCCACTGCGGCAGCTCTGGCATATGGATTGGACAAGAGTGAAGACAAAGTGTAAGTAAAAAATAAATGTAACGTAACATTGTATTTAGTAAATTTTATTAGCAGTACTTTTTCCTTTGAAATTTTACAGTTGTGATTTCTTGTAATTACATTTGTCTGAAGCTGACTTGACCTTGAAGTCAATACTATTTGTAACTTATTACAACGCAGCAACTTGGATTTATATAGTGCCCTCCACGCCAGATGGCGTCTCAGAGTGCTTTACAGTAACGGATCCCAGGGCCGAGCCAGGGGGAGGTGACCAAAGGCACGGTCGAAGAGAAAGGTCTTCAGCTGAGACCGGAAAATAGGAAAGAGGGGGCGAGGCGAAGGGAGCGAGGAAGGGAGTTCCAGACAAAGGGGACGAGGAAGAGGCCAGACCCAGTGGAGCGAAGGCAATGGGCACTGTTGTGTGGAGAGAGGTAGCGAGTACACAGGAGTGGAGGGATTTGAAGACAACGGTGAGGATCTTGAAGTCGATCCTCCCTGGGACAGTGCAGTCTGGCAAGGACTGGGGTAATCGGGGATCGGAGTTTGGTGTGGGTAAGAATGCCGGCGGCAAAGTTCTGGATGACCTGGATTTTCTGAATGGTAGTGGTGGGGAGACTGGTGAGGAGGGCATTTGAATGTATAACTTAATTAATGCATAACAATGGTTTTCTGATATATAACTTACTCAAATGTAGTAAAAAAACAAAATTTCATTTGTATAGAACCTTTCACGTTAGGGCTGGTACGATAGGGATATGCGATAGATACAATGCCCCCTCACTATTGAGATGGGAGTTCTGAAAGGGTAGTTTGGGGCTGACTGAAGTAAGTCAGCCTATGCTGGGCATAGAAGTTGCAAAGCACTGCGCCCCCTGCTAGAATGTGAATGGTGGCAATGTGATCTTAAATCCAGTTAAAAAATTGGATAGACATAGATACAAGATTGGTATACCTGAATACCTTGCTCGGTTTACTCATTTTGTTCAGACCTATCTTCCTATTTCATCATATTCAGTATATATGAAGCAGTTCCACAGAGACTGATTTGATACTGTTTGAATTAAGATCCCAAGATGAGCTTAATTTCATAGTTTAATTACAATCTCTGTTCTTAATTGGAATTGTTCTTCCATTGATTGGAAGATTGCAAACAACACACTATTTAAGAAGGGTGGGAGAGAAAAGATGGGGAACTATGGACCAGTTAGTCTGACATCAGTGGTAAGGAAAATTCTTGAGTCCTTAATTAAAGATGTCGTTATGGGATTCCTGGAAGACCATAACAAGATTAGGCAGAGTCAACATGGCTTTACAAAAGGGAAGTCATGCTTAACTAATCTTTTAGAGTTTTTTGAAGATGTATCTGCAGGTTAGAAAGGGGGGAACCAGTATATGTAGTATATTTAGATTTTAAGAAGGCATTTGACAAAGTGCCACACAAAAAGCTATTGCACAAGGTTAAGGCCCACGGGATTAATGGGAACATATTAGCATGGATTGAAGAGTGGCTAACGGGTAGAAAACAGAGTAGGGATAAACAGGTCATTCTCGAATTGACAGGATGTGACTTGTGGAGTGCCACAAGAATCAGTGCTTGGGCCTCAGCTATTTACAATTTACATCAATGATTTAGACGAGGATATTGAATGTAACGTATCTAAATTCGCGGATGACACTAAACTGGGTGGGAGAGTAAGCTCTGAGGATGATGCAAAAAGATTGCAACGGGATATAGATAGGCTCGGGGAGTGGGCGAGTAGGTGGCAGATGGAATTTAATGTGGGGAAGTGTGAAGTTATTCATTTAAGTAGAAAAAATAGAAAAACAGATTATTTTCTAGAGGGGGAGAGATTAGATAGTGCTAGTGTTCAGAGGGATTTGGGTGTCCTTGTACGCCAGTCTCAAAAAGTTAGTTTGCAGGTGCAGCAGCAACTAAGAAGGCGAACGGCATGTTAGCGTTCATTGCAAAAGGTTTAGAGTACAAGAGTAGGGAAGTCTTGCTGCAACTGTATAGGGCCTTGGTGAGACCGCACCAGAGTATTGTGTGCAGTTTTGGTCTCCTTATTTAAAAAAGACATACTTGCCTTAGAGGGGGTGCAGCGTAGATTCACTCGGTTAGTTCCTGGGATGAGGAGACTGACCTATGAGGATAGGCTGAATAAACTAGGGCTGTATTCTCTAGGGTATTAGGGGAGATCTTATTGAAACATCTTAAAGGGCTGATAAAGTAGACACTGAGGGACTGTTTCCCCTGGTAGGAGAATCTATAACCAGGGGTCACAGTGTTAAAATTAAGAATCAGCCTTGTAAAACAGAGTTGAAGAAACATTTCTTCACTCAAAGGCTGTAGATGCTCAGTCCTTGAACATTTTCAAGGCTGAAACTAATAGATTTTAAAAAAATAGTGGGATTAGGGGATATGGGGATAGGACAGGTAATTGGAGTTAGGTCAGAAGATCAGCCGTGATCTTATCGAATGGCAGGGCAGGCTCGAGGGGCCGAATGGCCTACTCCTGCTCCTAATTCTTATGTTCTTAATTGAAATTAGAATAGTTGAGGGTGAACACAAATAATTCTTCCAAAATTTCTTCCATAAACAAAGTCAGCTGCCAACAGTGCTGTTTTCTATTTGTGTTGAAACTGACGTGTTCCTTTTCTGTACAGCATTGCTGTCTATGATCTAGGTGGTGGTACCTTTGATATTTCTGTGCTGGAGATTCAGAAAGGAGTCTTTGAGGTAAAATCAACCAATGGCGATACCTTTTTGGGAGGTGAGGACTTTGATCAGGAATTGCTCAAGCACATCATCAAGGAATTCAGGAGGGAGGTTAGTATTTAGTGTTGAATTCCTAGGAGCGAGATGGGTGGGGGGAGGTTTGGAAGAATTAAAATGACATAACATTCAGTGTATATGCAACTTGGAGCAGTTATATAGCGAGGATTTATTAAAAACTCACTTCACTTGTGATGTTAACTTAAGTGGTTTCCATTCTCCCTGCATTGATTCTCATGTATTCTGTAAGAAAATCTTGTCTGAGGTAGGTTCCATTTACTTTAGTATATGCTGATATCTGCCTTTGAAGTTAGTGCCATCATTCCTCTATTTTACCCAATATATTTTGTTTAGCATACTTCCCCTTGTGAGCTTGATTGAAACTTCTAGTACTTACCATTCATTTGTTTATTAGTCTTGTATAGGTACTTGAAAAGTGTACAATGCTGAAACAGGCCACTCGGCCTAACCAGTCTATATTTATAGTCCCTCATGTGAAGGTTTAGCTTCCTCTTGAATGTACCTACACTATTTGATTCAACCACTACTTCAAGCAGCAAGTTCCACAATCTAACAACCTTCTGCATGAAGCAGTTCCTCCTAAAATCTCTCATAGATCCCCTAGCCGCGTTCATATTTAAATCTCCTGGTTACGGATTCCCCAGCCAGTGGAAACAGTCTAATTTATGTTAACCTCACTAAACCCACCAGAAGACTGGATTACAACTGGAATGTAAGCATAATCACATGAACATTTTAATAAAAGCAACAACTTTCCAAATTGGGAGAATCTGCCATCCCTGGTATTATCCCCGTAAACCTACATTGTACTCTTTTCATCACTGCTGTATCCTTCTTATAGTCTGGAGGCCAGAATTGGACCCAATACTCCAAATGTGGTCTAACAATAATAATCCTTGCATTTGATATCACGTAGTTGAGACATCTCAAAAGTGGATTGTCTGTATATTTTCTGGGGCAAATGTAATTCAACATCAAATAAATTCAACAACACCTCCTCACTTTTATATTCTGTCTCTGGATATAAAGTCCAAGTCAACATTGGCCTTTTTATAGCCTTACCTACAGCTTATTTAGTAGAGGATAAACATGTCTGAATGCAACGTAATAGGCCAATAATGCTCTATTCCAATTTAATTTTCAGTCGGGTGTGGATCTAACTAAGGACAATATGGCACTGCAGCGAGTGAGAGAAGCAGCAGAGAAGGCAAAGTGTGAATTATCTTCATCCCTCCAGGTAAGGCAGGACTTCACGTGCCTTACTTAATGTAATAAAGTAGTCTGTTGATATGGTAACTGAATTACTACTAGTTCAGCTTTTAATGCAATGAAAAGCTCCAATGGGTATTGTGCCGCAAATGACAGGTAAATGTGACTAAGTTTTAAATCCCTGCACTAAAGTGGGCTGTTGTCTCTTGACTTGTCTGGCTTATTGTCTCTTTCCTAAATGTTTCTCTGAGATTTTTCATAGTACTGAATATATTTTCTGTATTTTAACAGACTGATATTAACCTGCCTTATCTGACAATGGATGCCTCTGGCCCAAAGCATTTGAACATGAAAATTACTCGCTCGCAGTTTGAGAATATTGTTGGTGACCTTGTCAAAAGGACTGTTGCACCATGCAAAAAGGCCCTGCAAGATGCTGAAGTCAGCAAGGGTGATATTGGGGAGGTCCTCCTTGTGGGTGGAATGACACGGATGCCAAAGGTAAATGCCCTGTGAGATGCACAGTTTGTTTTGGGTAACATTAGTCATTCTCAGCTGAGAAATCTGAAAGGCTGCATGTCAAGATGACATCCCAAGACGCTGGACAGTCTGAGATTTGAACCTGAGCTGGGGTTGAGATCAAGAGGGTAGGGAGGATAGGGATAGGAGGGTGACCGAAGGTGCGCTCGAAGACGAGGGTCTTGAGACTGACTTGAATTAGGCAAGGGAGCAAGACAAAGAGATTGTGGGATGGGAGAGAAGCTGGAGGCTTGACCGCCAATGGTGAGGCAAGACGAGCGGGAGACATGGAGCAGGCGGAGGAAGCGGACAGGTCTATATGCAGTTAGCAGGTCACAGCAGTGAGGAGAAGCAAGGCTGCGGTGGGCTTTGAAAGTGAGAATGATGATTTTGAGCTCTATCCTCTGGGGGATGTGGATGCGGAAGCCAGGCGAGGATGTGGTGATAGGGTCATGGAATTTAGTGCAGAAGAGGACACGAGCTGCAGAGATCTGATTGATCTGTAGATTGCGGAGGGAAGAAAAATGAGGGAAGTAAAAATGGCATTGTGTGCTGTGATACATCAACACATCATTCTGATGCAAAACCATGGAGAGAATCGTACAATAACTGAGAACATAATTTCAGATCAGAATCTAGTAATGTACTGCATTACTATTAAGGGCAAGAAATTACTTTTTTTGTTTGAGCTTATCGTGTAGTGCAGGGTGGTCCAACCTTTTGGATGCTGCGGGCCGGATTCCCTATTTGAGAAAGATCTGCAGGCCACATCCAGCCAGGCCAGTGATTTTATCCGGCCCAAGACAATTTCCAACAATCCAACTTCCGCTCCCTCCCTCCCCAATGAACGTCCTTCCAGGGCAGCAACAGGAGCCAGCAGTTGGGAGGACGCAGCATTTACTGCAGTCTGTCAGGAAGGCAAGCGCGTCTCTTACCAACCACGTACTTAGTCCTGCCGCTGCAGATAGTGATTGCCACACAGCTTATTGGGAGAGACAGGGATTGAGAGGAGGGGGAGATGAGAGAGTGGGAGGGGAACACTCCTTCTTTATCCCTCTCTCACCCTCTTGCGCATACTCTCAATTAAATTACTCTCTCACTCTACATCCCACTGCCTCTCACACTCTTCCCACTCACATTCCACTTACCCTCTCCTCGCTCCCACAAACACAATCTTTCTAACCCCTCTCAAATTCTCTCAAACTCCCCCTCTTTCTGTTTCTCTCCCCGTGTCCCTCACGTTCACTCATACTGTCCCTCTCTCCCCCTCATACTCTCTCCGCCACTCTCTTAATCACTCTCTGCTCTCCCTCTATCAATCACGTTCCCCCCGCCCCCCCCTCACTCAGATTCTTGAATATATTAAGCTGAACCAAAGTGTTTATGGTGGTCAGGTGTTTCAAGGTCTTTCCCCTTCCATTGTTTCTTACTCTTTAGGTCCAGGCAACTGTGCAGGACCTGTTTGGTCGTACTCCCAGTAGGGCTGTGAACCCAGATGAAGCGGTTGCCATTGGTGCTGCAATACAGGGCGGTGTGCTTGCTGGTGACGTCACAGATGTGTTATTGCTTGATGTTACACCTCTGTCACTGGGTATCGAGACCCTGGGAGGCGTGTTCACAAAACTCATCAACAGGAATACCACCATTCCAACAAAGAAAGGCCAGGTACTGAACAACTTGTATTTCTGCATCTAACTTGTATTATTGCATCAACCTGATGTCTGCTATAAAATAGTTTCTTCCTAACAGTTTTTTTTAGAGGTGACTAATAGTTGGTGGGGGTTGTGGGGTGGGGACATTTGAATGCATACGACCTAAAACTGGATTGTAACATAGCTTACAGCAGGGTGGTACAACCTTTTATGCTGCTATGGGCCGCACAAGCAATATTTTGTGTTTGCCTTCCAGAAACATAACAACATTGACAAGTCTTTTTCATGTTGCAAGGGCATCTCAAAGCGCTCAACACTGCCGCCTGGGTACCTCAGCTTGGGGGTGGGAGCCGAGGGAGGTGGGATGGGGAGGGGAAAAGATGACAAAAGTGTGGTCAAAGAGTTAGGTCTTGATGTGCTTTGAAAGAGGGGCGGGAGCAAGTCGGATGGACTCCAGGAATGGAACTCCAGAGAGCGGGTGCAAAATCACGCACACTCTCCCTCTCATACACTCTCTCCCCCTCACACACTCACATTCTCTCAATCACTCTCGCTCTGCTCTCTCCCTCCTTCTCTGTTTCTCTCTTTCCTCTCTCAGTCACTCTCTCTCACACTCTTATCAATTACCCCCTCTCTTCCCCCCTCTTACAGCTCTCTTCCCTCTCACTCCTCTCAATCTCTTTCGCTCTGCTCTCTCCCCGTCTCAATCACTCTCTCCTACTCCATGTGAATCACTCAGTCAGTTTTCATCTGAAACGTCATTGCAATACAAGACTTTTTTCGTAATACAGATATGCTGGTGGTGAGAATCAAGTCAGTCTCTTGTTTGTAAACATGAGGGACGAAAAGCACTTAAACCTCTTAGATGGTAAATTGAGCACTCTAAACTTCTAAATAACAAATCGCTAATACTGGTTAGCAGAAATCTGTGCGTTCATTGAATTGTTCATGAATGCCGAGTCGTTCATCCAAATATTGATCTTCATGTAATATTGTTTTTATATAATTTGCTTCATTGTCATTATCCAAATTGGGACAAAAAAAGGCTACGACAGTCCATCACTCACGATTAAGTTTGTTTTCAAATTAAAATTTTCACATACATAAATTTTGTGTTACAAAAATGTAACCACAATCTAGAGATCAGACGAGGTATAATGGAGTAAGTAGTGGTCCAATAAACTAGTGGTTAGAGCATTCGCCTTGCATTCCCGGGCAGAGCAAAACATTGGGCAAGTTTCCTTACTCTACACGCCTTTGTAAGTACGCCTAGCAGTAAGAACCCGGTTGTTAATCGATTGGCCGATAATTTTTCTGGGGGTAATAATCCCTTTAATAATAAAAATTTGGTTATTCAATTCACGACATTGTGGGACACTGTTGTGCACAATTGGCTGCCATGTTTTGCCTACAAAATATACAATCGATTTACTTTACAGTGTATTCTGTGAAGCAATTTGAGACATCTGGAAAGCATGATGAGGTGCTATATCAAATGCAAGGATTATTATTATTAATCACTCTCTCCCCATCTCTCACAGTCTCTCTCAATCCCTCATTCTCCCATTTCTTCCTCCTCTCCCTCTCCTCTCCCACCGGCCGGCCGCCTGAGGGAGCATGCTGGTTTACAGAATGTAGTTTGACTAGGAACATAACATTTGCATCAGTACTAGGGATAATGCACATCACTGGTGCAAATAATTGTTCATCCTTTTAAATATTTATTTGCTAAAGGTGACATGAGAATTACTCAATTACCATAAGAATTTATTTTGAGGCTGCAATTGCTTTAGGCAGTTAGGCTAATAAACATGCGTGTAATTCTCTAACTTTGTTCAATACATAGATTTTTTTCTTATATCATCTCCTTGTGACAGGTCTTCTCTACAGCTGCTGATGGACAGACACAGGTTGAGATCAAAGTGTTCCAGGGAGAACGCGAGATGGCAACAGACAATAAGCTTCTAGGACAGTTCACATTGGTGAGTGGCATTGCAACTCTCTTACATGTATTTCAATCTTGTATATTTGATTAGAAATTTGAAATGGATACATTTTGAGGTTCAGGAACAAAAAACAAAAACAGAATCGCTGGGAACGCTCAGCAGGTCAGGCAGCATCTATGGAGAAAGGAAATTGAGTGAATGTTTCGGGTCCACGACCCTTCGTCAGAACGGCGAATATATGCAGTTGTGCAAAAGCTGGGTCCTTGTGTGGGACAATAGATAAGTTTTTTTTTAACACGGGGATATAAGTTAAACCCAGCATTATCTCTCCCTGCCTCATTGGGTAAGACTTGTGAGCTTTTATTCATATTCTGCAATTAATGTTTCTAATTTTTTTGGATTATAAAAAGTAACAATCACAAATTCTGTAACTTTAATTCTAAATATTTTGATTGAGTTGTAAAGAACTAAGCAAGATTTTGCATTTTGTCACAGCATTTTGCAGTATATCCTGTGAAGTGCCTTGAGATGTCTTCCTGGCATGAAAAGCACTATTAACAAATGTAAGAGCAAAATAATAATTGAATTATTAAATGACTGAAAGAAATAAAATTAAGATACCGTTTCAAAGGGAGGAGTTGCCTGGTTCAGCATTAGTGGTCTGACAGACAGTTAATATTAATTAATTGATCAATTAATAATTAATTAATTTAATGGATGCACTGAAATCCTTCTCTCTCATGTTTCCAGATTGGACTTCCTCCAGCCCCTCGTGGCGTTCCACAGATAGAAGTTACTTTTGATATTGATGCCAATGGTATTGTCCATGTTTCTGCAAGAGATAAAGGCACTGGGCGAGAACAGCAGAGTAAGTGCTACTTTAAAATGTACTTTCTTATGACAGATCAGATAGATGTAAATTCATAGTTGTATTATAGATGTAACCCGGGAAGTCCTTAACGCAAATATCCTGTTAAAAATAGGAAGTGACTGCGATGGCATGTGTACTTAACATTGCCGGGATAGGTAAGTTTGTCTGTGATTCCTGAAGGGTTCAACAGAACTGTATGTTACCATTCAGACAGCATTGTATAGCATTGAGGCATGTTTATTTGTTTTGTTCATGTGAGTATCTGCCATTAAATATGGCTAGTGTTTAAAATTAAAAACTTAAAATAAATTGAGTTTAAGACTGATGGCAAACTTAACATTTCACACTGGAGGAAATAGTAGATGAGCATTTTATCGCATATTTCTCCAGTCTGATAAGCTCTTCTAGTTTCAGTATGCAATGATAGTATGCAGGTTTGATGATAAATAACTCCTTTTCCTTTATAAATAACTGATAAATAACTGCTTTTCCTTTCACTGCAGTTGAGCAAGTGTCCCATCAGTGCATCCTTTATCATGGTCTTCTGGGTGTTTAATTTAAATTCCAGTTTTCTCCCAATTTGTAAAATTGTTGCTTTTATTAGAATGTTCAAGTAGTTATGTTTAAATTCCAGTTGTAATCCAGTCTTCTGGTGGGTTAAGCAAGGACGACATTGAGAACATGATCAAAAATGCAGAGAAATATGCCGAAGCAGACCGAAGGAGAAAGGTACGACAACAGTGAGATAGATTATTGGGTGAACTGAAATGAATTTAACCTTTTATCTTTAACTGTGGTTGAAACTTGGAATAACATTACATTTTATGCTGAAAAAAATATTTGGGCATCTTCAAAGATGGTTTACGTTTTATAAACCAGAGGATTCTTTAGTCATAATTATCTCTTGTTTTGTTTGTCTTGGATGGATTCTCACAATAGTATTAAATGTCCACTGTATATTGGCCTTAACAATTCAACAACAGCAACAACAAAATTACATTTGTATAGCACCTTTCACATCGGGAGGACATCCCAAGGCACTGGACAGACAGAGTTATGGAAAATTTCACTGTAAAATGAGCAGGATAAATGTGGATTTGGACAGTCTTTTGATTTATACTATTGCCTTGGTAGTGTTTTGCTGTTTGTTTCCCTATAATAGCATACTGAGCCTGTGCTCCAAACTCTTTTCAGTTCTGACCACAGATTGGGAGCAGGGAACCAGAGATAAAAATCTAGATTACAAAATGTTAATAGGAAACCTTTTTAACAAAGTGTTTGGGATCCATAAACTCTGTTGTAAAACAAGGGATGCTGAAAATATCAGCCTTCTGGGTCGTTCAGTCATCTACACCCTATTTGCAGGAAGAGTTGCTGGCATCATTTTGTTCACAAAGTGACGCTTGCTCCTAAAAGTCCATGTGAAATAACATCATTGGTGAAGTGATTGGAAGTCATTGGAAGGTGCTGATTGTTTTAGTGCGAGAAGCCAGGTATATAGCTTTTTTGGTACAGTATGGAACTAGTTCCACAGTGCTGAGAGTGAACCCATACTCCACCAGGGTGTTTTTAAAATAGTGTTGTTCTGTAAAGGGAGGTATAATTAATTTGCTGTTCTATACTTTAGTTCATAACTTCAGTTTCACATTTCTCTATAGGAAAGTGTAGAAGCAGTCAATAATGCTGAAGGAATTATTCATGACACAGAATCCAAGATGGAAGAATTCAAGGATCAGCTTCCAAAGGAGGAGGTAGGATTATGGGATTGTAGTATTCGGCTTGATTAATGAAATCTCAATAAGGAAACCAGTAATGTTAGACCTGTTATTTTAGTGTTGCAATTCATTGAAGGCTTTTCTTTATCCAGTGTGACAAACTGAAAACAGAGATTACAAAGGTGAAGGAATTGCTGGCTCGTAAGGATTCGGAGACAGGTGAAACCATCAAAGCAGCAGCATCCGAACTACAACAGGCATCGCTTAAGCTCTTTGAAATGGCATACAAGAAGGTAATGAATTGATTTTTTAAGTCCTTAATTTGACTGGGAATGTAAATGTCAATACCTTCAGTATAAGAGTTTTATTTTGAGAAATTTTCACTTTCCTAGCTAAGGCCTTTGTTGTCTGATAAATGTGCATTATTTGTTAAGTATAAAAATACTATTTAACTATGTTTTATTAATGGAGATTTGCTCAGTTTTGCTTGTAAATTTTATTTTTGGTCTGCTGGGACCTATAACATGGAAAGCCTACGCTTAAGAGTATCCAAACCAGATTGAGTTCCACAAGTGTATTTACCTACATATTGAAGTTCCTTGAGTCTGGACTCCTTTCCTTGAGGGACACACCCTTATTACCAGAGATTAGGTACAGGTTGGCAAGAACCAAGGATTTGGGATCCCAGAGTGTGTGTTGGGGTACTGCAGAAGTTTAACTAGCTAAAACTGCATAGCTTGGCATTAAGAGCAATGTCTGAGAAGTTTCTCACTGCTTGTCCAATTAGGGCTGATATACCTGTCAGGGCTTTGGTTTGCAAGCTTAGCAGGTGTAGGAATAATACCTTTCTCCCAGTGATTTATCTGCCAATCAGCCATGCTGGCTGGTCTGTCATCAGCAATGCACTGGAGTACTGTGGACCTATCTGGCATTTGATTGCCAAGCACATCACTCCATGGAGACCCCATTACCTCCCCTCCCCTCTCTAACTATATACACACACACAAAGGATAGTCTTGTCTGCATGTAAACCAAGAGTGATGTTTGGACTGACTGTTGCTTTAAAATGTTTCAGATGGCATCTGAGAGAGAGGGTTCAGGCAGCACGGACAGCACAGAAGGTGGAGACAAGAAGGAGGAGAAGCAATAAAACCACAGTAATTCCTTCAATGGACTGGAGAAGAGACAGATGCTTGGGAGCGACAGAAATGGAAGAGAACTTTTCCTGAGCGGATTTGCACGATATTCATTTTCATACTGTGTTTTTGCAGTATACTATATATAGTTTCCCTTTATTCCCTTTATTAAGTAAAAGTATCGGCGTTTTAACAAATCTATATGGTTTGTTTCATTCCTATGTTCAGAAATTTGCCCAGCATAATAGCTGGTGTTTCTGTGGGTCAGGCATCATAGCAGTCTGTTGCAAATAAACTTCACTCAATCATTTAGATTTGCAGCCAAATCTTTGTAATTACCAAGTGGGGTGAATTGCTTGTTCTGGGGAGAAAGTCAGTTGGAAAGAGGTTCTGGAAAAAGACTTAATTTTGTTGATGTAATTTTGTCTATAAAGAAAAACACAGGAACAGAAATCTTAGAAACATTACCCAGAATTTTGCAGTTCACTTGTGAACTAAAACTGAGGATATTGGATATAAAAAAGAACAATTGTTCATAGTTCTGGCAGCAATGTTATGTTGCCATTATAGACAGGGTAACAGCTTGCATAAAAGGTGATACACTGATATTGGGGTCATGGGATACTGTGGTAACAGTAGCAACTTTATGATTTTTCCCATCGTAAGCACAGAACAAACAGTTTGGGAACAGTGCCCAAAGTCATTCTTGTTGCTTGATTGTAGATGACACCTTCTACTTGGCATGCAGTTTTATGGGGGTGACTTGGTGGCTTCTGTCATCATAAATTTCCTTTTATCAACTGCAGTCCACTTTGCATTTTAATGGAAGGGCAGGATAGGCTTGGGAAATGAGACCTTGGAAACTGTTTAGTTCATTAAAGACCAGGTTTGTCTCAGACCAAAGCTCCATTCTTATTTGAGTACTTATTGGTGTTTGAAATGCTTGTAAAAATGCAGGCACATTTGGTTAGTTCAGTTTGTGATACCGTAAAACTAAGACCACTTAAGTTCTTAACTGTCCTCTCAATTCGTGCGCAGTTTGGAGGTAATCAAGATTTGGCTAGCTTCAATTTTAGTCTGATAATAAATTATGTTGGTATGGAGGGCATTCCTCTGGTCGTCTTGCTGCCATTAATGGGTTTGTGGTGAATGAAACCAAAATTCCACAGAGAACACTGATGATTGCAGCATTGTGATTTTTTAAAAAATAAAATTTGATGGTAAATGATATCTTTTGTGGTATTTTACATTTTATTTTTTCCAGGAAAATGTTACTGTATACCAAAATTATTTTAATTCTAGCTCCTAGTTGTGTGAGTGCTTTGTGTAGTCAATGAGTGCCCTATGCTGACTACTTGAATAATCTGCTCATGGAGTATTCCCATTCTAAGGGAACATTTGCAGAATAATTTTGTTCTTGAGAAGAACATTACAACATTACTCTGCAATCCTCCCTAGTTTGGGATTTCAGCTCCTGTCATTGAGCAATGATCATTAAATATACAAACTTCAGAACACCAAACAAGCTAATGAATAATCTGGAGGAATAGAAGGATGAACTGGTGGGTTCTGGTATCATGGATGGATGGGATCAATAATTTCTCTGTAATGCAATAGAGGCTGATACTCATGTTCAGATTCCTCCCTATTACGTTGACAGTCAAAACATGCATTGAAGGCCATAGCCTACTTTTGTAAATTTGGACCCATTACAAAAAAAGATTCTAACTGAAATTTTGAGAACTGTTGATCAAAAATTCTGGCCAGCTGATAGCTTTGGATGGCTGACAAAAGAGACAAAAGCCAGGGTCAGATCTCTGTCAATGTTGACTTGGTCAGCGATTACATTGTTAATATTTATTTTTCATACATACACTGTTGCAATCTGACATTTACAAACAGTTTTGGCCTCAATCCCATTCCAAAATTGTATTTTTTCTGTTCTATGTTCTAGTTTTCCACAGATAGAAAACTGATATGTACAATACTCTTCATAAGATTATAATTCAGGAATGTGCTGTGGGAACAACTGCAGTCTTGTAATTCACTTCTGCTCGTTTCCACACGATGGAGGAAGCATTGAATGGTAGTTAGTGGATATGAGTCAGTGTGCAAAGCCTGAAACCAGTACAAAAGAAATATTGCTTATCTCATTAACATGTTGCTGGTTACTTTCAGAGCAAACTATTGATGGGTGTCTGAACACATGATTGCCTGCCTATCCTCTTGAAAAAGAAAATGTTTCACTGGTTCAGTGATGATTGGTGCTAGAATATTGATTGAATCCTCGTATACATTTATCTACCTTAACCTGAGATCTAGAAGAAAGGGAAAAATCCAAAGTCACATCCCTCACCTACAAAATAAAAATAAAAATTGTAAATATTTCTGGGTGAATTGCTGAAGCATAGTAGTGCAGAGACACTGGCAAAGTGATGTCTTAGGACTGCAAACCAGAGTAAAAACTGGTGTAGTACATTCCAACAAGTGACCACATTTTTCTGTGGGCGAGGTTAGCCCCCACTAAGCCAAATTAAACTGAATCGGGCTCCTCATACGGGAAATGAGAGTTGTCCCACAGACTATTCTTTTCTCCATCTATAAGTTAGGTTCCAAATCATCAAGAGACGATGCCGACCTTATTCCAAGTTCACAACCACTTGAACATGTCCCAAGGCACTGGAGTGTCAGTGTTTCCGTCCCGAGCTGGAGATCAGGGAGGGTGGAGGGCAGGGTGGGGGGGGATGGTGACCGAAGGCACGGTCAAAGAGGAGGGTCTTGAAGGAGGCAGGACCCAGGAAGAGGCCTCAGCACCAAGTACCAGGACAATGGGTCCCCAGGGACAAACCGCGAGAATCCATTCCATCTTTTTCTAAACCAGGGAGGGACTGTGGGATGGAGTTCCAGAGAGTGGGGGCAGAGTGGCTGATGACCTGCCTGCCAATGGAGCGGGGGACATGAAGTAGGCTGACGCCCGATGAACGGAGGGAGTGGGCAAGTTGGGAGGGGGTTAGAAGATCGCAGAGGTAGGGGGAGAGCAAGGCCATGGAGGGCTTTGAAGGTGAACAAAGGAGTATCTGATAAGAACAGACACTACTTGATCGTCACCAAAAGGCTGAGAATAAGTGACCTTCAATGCCACCTTTTTTTTTGAAAATATATATTTATAAATATCATATTTGGTACAACAGAAATCCCAAACAAACACATCTTCTGTTACAATTTTTTTCCTTTCCTCCTGATGCAAAAAACATTTCGTTGTTTACGGTACATTCCTTCACTGCACAAGGGTTATGCTCATATTTTTTGGGATGCTCCCTTTAAAACAGTCAGGGAAGGTGAAGGGGTGGGGGGAATCGCCCCTGTGTACATCACATCCATGTGCATGGCTGCACACACCCTGATGAGGCGCACTTGCTGCTTTCAGAAGGTGCCCCGATGTGCACTGTATGCAAACATGTTTACCGTACATACATTTTCGGGACGCTCTTTGGTTACATCTCGAGTGTCCTTCCGTACCTTTACTTCAGTCAGTTTTGGGTGCCCTCGTGGGCGACCTAAGCGGGTTGTGCTGGAGCAGCTCCGGCCGGGGTCAGGCCCCATCTGGCCTTTACTGTGGTTGAGCCGAAATTCAGCTTGTCCCTCAGTATATAGTCGCTGATCCAAGCGTGCACAAGCCTGAGGCAGGCCCTCACCGTCCTCTGGTTCTGCCAGAAGAACACCTGGTTTCGGGAGTGGCCAAAGGGCCTCCTTTACCGAGTTTATGATAACAAACCACGAGAGAATCCATTTCATCTTTTTCAAGACCACCTTTGCAAAATAACACTCCAGGGAAAGGTGGTCCACGGCTGCTGGCCTCTGCCGCCCAGGTTTTGACTTTTTAAAAAATATATATAACACAATAGAAACCCAAAACAAACACAACGTACAATATCTTCTGTTACAATTTTTTCCTTTCTCCTGATACAAAAAACATTCCATTGTTTACGGTACATTCCTTCACCACACACATTTTATGGGACTGACTGGCCCAGATGTTGACCATGCATTACTGAATTCCCCCACCAACATCCTGGCAGTAATTGACAAGAAGGGTAAGTGGGTCAGTCACATCAGCATCATACTTATGGTGAATGGCTTACCTCTTAACCCCTTAAAACCTTTTCATCATCTACAAGGCTCTTAAGGAGGAGCATAAAGGAATGTCAACCTGGATACATCCAGCTGCAGCCACACAAGAAACTCGACATAATCCAGGAAAGATCAGTTTGATCAGTATCCCAACTGCTCAGTCACCATCCATTCTATCTCCCATAAACATTGGCTTACCGTACATACTTAAATAGCAATGCAGCAACTCACTAACCACTCTTTGATAGCACCTTCCAATCTTGAGACAACCGCCAGTCAGAGGAACAAAAAAAACAGCAGCATAGGGACAGAATCTCCAAGTTGGAGTATAAAGTGAAGATCACAAACGAGAAAAAGACTATTCTGGATAAAATACATTTCATAAACATTTTCTGCTGAGACCACAAGAGGGCATTGTTACATTACTTTTCTTAAACTTGTACTCTGTTTTTTTCATCCCAAGGCAAGTGAGCAATTTTTTTCCTCCAATCTTTCACTTGTATATACTTGTACCTAAGTCACTGCACTATCTGCCTACAAAAATATTACTATACTTGACAATAATTACTGTCAAACATTTTCACACATTTTGATATTATAGACCCATTTTCTTTGTTTTTTGGGAGATTCTGCTGTGTTCCCCATTATAATAATAATAATAATAATCCTTGCATTTGATATAGTGCTTTTCACGTCGGGAGGACGTCCCAAAGCGCTTCACAGAACACACTGTAAAGTGAATTGACTATATATTTGTGGGCGAACGCGGCAGCCAATTGCGCACAGCAATGTCCCACAAACAGTCGTAGATTGAAATGACCAATTTAATATTGTTTTGTTTTGGAGGGATTATTATTAGGCATATGGAGTAAGGAAACTTGCCCAAGGTTTCGCCCTCTGCCTGGAATTGAACTCAGGTCTCTCGCTTGCATTAGTGGGGAGCCTTTAGATTGAGGGAGAGTAACATTGAAAAGTATATTTTATCTTAATGGAAGGGTGAGAGGGGGAAGAAGCACATTGGGCACTGCTATCCCTCTGTGAGACTGCATACATCACTTTATGAACATCATTCATTGGAAACTGGTGGTGAACACAATCTTAACTGTTTTACTAAGCAGTGAATGGATCAGCACACACCTTCACTAAAATAGTGAGGAACTGGGATTCTTTAACATTCAGCTCTCCTAGTAACGACCATTAATGCAAAGTGTTTACCCCACTACCCCTCTGTGTTTCATTTAAAAATACAACTGGAACACTGAATGATTTCAGAAAAAATCAACCCTTCAGCCAATTTTCCATATTTTACTAATCTTTCTGTACTTTTAGGACAGACTGATGCTAGTGAGTTTATTGCTAAGGAACAGATGCCCTGTAAGGAAGACCCACACTGGTCTGTGTTGAGTCCTATTTGGTTAAATGATTCAGAAAGGATATGAAGGAAAAGGCTAATCTAGTAAAATAACATTTTATCACAATAGCAAACAAAGTTGACAGGTACTATTGTAATTTAAAAGGCAATGGACAAATTAACATTTGGTTCAGGGAACAGCAGATCAATGTGAAGTACAGGAAGCATGGAACACATATACAAAACAGATGCACAAGCCTTGGCAAAGCTTTCGGCACAAACATTAACCATTTGGATGAGGATATTAAATCAATCTAAAAGTTAATCATTGCCACTGAAATACATTTCAATGGCCCCTCATAAAAGTGGAAACAGGTTATCTTAAAGCTGTGCTATTCAATTGCACTGGGCAGTAATCACCTGCTTGACCCAGGCCCTGCTTGCTTGAGCAAATTATGAGCAGTTTTATGCTGTGAACTAACACTCACTATGGAGTGGCTTGGGATCTACCAAATCTCATTTCAGTGGGAGCGTTACAGCCAATCACCTTGGCAGAAACATTTAAATCAGTCAGGAAGTATCTTAAACCTAGTTCCCAGAGGTAAAAGATCCCTGCAAACCAAAGCTCCAATGGCCATAGTCGTCCAAGCTAAATAAACAGAGGGAAGCTTGCAAGACAGTGTTCACAATAATTATTGCCAATGCAATATCAGCTGATTGAACTCCAGCAGTATCACAACTTGAAC